CAATCTTTTGAGGAACAAACTTATTTATTAGATCATTGACAACCTTATAAAAGCTATTCACAGCAGTTAAAATGTCGTTTGGGTCTAGATGATTCTCCCAATCAATATTTGACAGTTCATAATTAANGGCATTGTATGTTACATCACAATCCGAGGTATTGCTACAGGGGGGCTCAAAAACAGACTGAAAGAATGTGTTAAAAAGGTTATTCTAGTTATAGTAGAAGCTCTTTATGCTACAATACACTAAATAAACGGTTAGACAGTATAACAGATAAAACAACCCGATCTAGGTGGTCTAATCGTTAAAACAGATCTCTACCTTTACTACCTATAAAAGCTCAATATTAAGCTGGTTTCACTGGTCAAAACTGGCACTAGTTTGCTATCTTGGCTTTAAAATACAAGCGTAGTATAACGCGCGATCGGGCGTAAGACGTAAACCGATTGGCATGCTAGTGATCCACTCATAGTAAGATGCGCCCGCGCCGCCCGCCTAGCGAGCGATGGGATTACGCTTCCGTGTTACAGACACCGATATTACACAAACAGTTATCTCCGGATCGCGGCCCACACAGATTGTTATGTTATGCTATTTACAATTACTACAATGCTTAACCCTCAATCTGCAAGATGCCACGATCGGACGCTACTTCTTCATCTTAAAATAGATAGCGTCCTGTGGCCTGTTGTTTTTTTAATCCAAATACCAACCTCGTATGGCTTGTTTGTTTATCCAACTTCGAACAAGTCTTGTCATATCATAGTCCAGTCATTTAAGCTTAAATTAGGTAAGAATCTCGGAATTAGAGATACCCAGCTGTAAGTCTGTAAATACTTGTATATTGACACCCTAAAAGTTGTCTCAAAACCTACATATGGTAGGGTGTAAGCAACTATTAAATTTTAAGGTCAAAGGTCACAAAAATCGGTTTTTTGCGCTTTTTTTGGAAATATCTCATTTCCTATGGGTTTTTTGCTATTTGTATTTATTATCAATATTGTAGAATACTAAATTCTCTACAAATTTTGTTTAAAAATTTTTTTTATACGGTGAACCGTTTTCGAGATAGAGGGCGGAGAGCGCGCGGTCACTGCATCACTTCAGGTCAACTTAAGCGGTTTAGGTTTTTCATACAAAAGGATTTTCCCGCTAATTCCCGTGATGTAGGTACCTTAGTAAACTCAAAGCTTAGTTACAACAAGGAATTCCCGAAATTCCCACAGGAATTAGCGGGAAAATCCTTTTGTATGAAAAATCTAAACCGCTTAAGTAGACCTGAAGTGATGCAGTGACCGCGCGCTCTCCGCCCTCTATCTCGAAAACGGTTCACCGTATAAAAAAAGTTTTTAAACAAAATTTGTAGAGAATTTAGTATTCTACAATATTGATAATAAATACAAATAGCAAAAAACCCACAGGAAATGAGATATTTCTAAAAAAAGCGCAAAAAACCGATTTTTGTGACCGTTGACCTTGAAATTTAATAGTTGCTTACACCCTACCATATGTAGGTTTTGAGACAACTTTTAGGGTGTCAATATACACGTATTTACAGACTTACAGCTGGGTATCTCGAATTCCGAGGTGAACTTACTATAATGACTGGACTAATCAAGTAAAAATTAAGAATAATTGTTCGATTGTGTCATTAGGGTCTTTTCGCTGTCTGGAAGCTTTTGAGCTTTGAATTTGGTATGGACTTTGACAGTATGTTAGATGTGCTACATACGTGCATCTTATTAGAGGGATTTAGATTTTCTTTTTACTTTATTGCGTATTTACAGGTTCAAGTTTAAACAGTCCCGTCAAGCAGTTAGGTTGGGGTGATAAATATGATGAGTCAATGAGGGCGCTGCGATTCTATTTGTGCGCGCAAGCAAGGGCGTGCATTAGTCATCTTTAACTGTAGTATTGTCTCGTCATCTTATTATCGTGTTATTTTTAATACATACTTACTTATCCCTTAATAGTATTGATACTAGTATTAAACTACTTAAGTTATCTGTTACAGCATGATTTGCCACAATCGTGAAAAACGGAAAATGTCCAAAGCCTGAGTAGAAAATGTCTAAAGACTTAATGACTAATGTAACATAGGTTTTATTCTTATGCTTTAACTATACGTAGGTACGCAATGGGTTAAATTAATTTCAAAGTTTAATTTAGCGTTAAATTGTAAGCTATTACTGCTAATGTTCCAAAGCTAACGGCAGTGAAGAGGCAATAATCAATGAGTCAATAGGGATAAAGTAGGTGCGTTAAATACTCGGTAGACAAGGGGTGCTGAATTGGTAAGATTTACGCGTTTGTCATTGCCCACAAGCGCCATCTGTCCGAGGGGACAGTAATTTGGATTTACGCCTACTCCATTGACTGCGCCCGGATTACTGTGGGGTTACTCCGAAGAACGTTATCCGAAGTTTCGATTGTTACCATCTCTCTCACGCAAATCCAGATGCCAACAAGAGCGCGGTGATAGATAGAAATAGACCTGAATCTACGTAAACAGCGTTTCGAAGTAGCCCTGTTGAACGTGACCTATCGAATTGCCTCCATGAACATGAATCCCATAACAATTGGCGTGATATATGACCCGGTTTATTCTTGCCGCTCGCGTCCGTATACGGAATCTGTTATTTGATATTTGGGTTGTTTGGAAAGCTTGCGGATTTCCATTATCATTATGACACAACTATTCCATATCGAATTTATTGAACCCTAATAACATCATAAAAGTCTGGAAGCGGATTTCTCCGTATTTTGTGGGTTTGTGATTGCTTGTCTGTGTCCGTGCAATATTTCACCTGCAAGATACCAATTACACCTTCAAATGCACAACCCACGAGTTAGATAAATTATATTTAATCAGTCCAGTAGTTCCTGACACATAGAACTAGTTTTAACAGAAATAAAAAACTATATCTCGATCGATCACTTCCACTTTAATTTTGTTCAAAATATTGCCCATTGTTAGGCTTAGGTACTGTGTCTTGTCAATGTTCTGACGGGAAACTATCTGGGGGCACGGCAGTGCCCCCACCAAGTCGAGCAAAAAAGCGGCACGGCCGTACCATCCTTTTCTCGAAGCAATTCAGGCCATTTTCGACCGCCTGTAACTTCGTTGTGGATACAACTAGAAGGCTGAATTTTCATTAGCTATGNCTTTCACCGTGTAATAATACTGTGATCAATATTTTGTATGTAAACTTAAAATACAAATAGGATTAAGTAAATGTTTCTATTTATGAACTGTTTATGTAATTGTAATACTTATTTATAATTGTGTTTAAATAATATTCTTTCTTTTTTCAGACAGTGGATGAAGAAGTGTGGGATTATGAGTGATTATTTCATTCTAAAGCAGACATAATCAAGTCTTCCTCACTATCATGAAAATTTACAATAACAATCAGCAAGAAAAACTTCAAGGGTACTGGCTAGGCTAACCAATTCATGGAATTCTGTTGGTATTTGAAATTATAAATAGCTATTGTAAAACTAAAAGTTTTCCAAATAAAGATTTTGTAAGTAATGGTTGAATTATTTTGAAATTACACTGCAATAATGAATTTATTGCCTGCGTCCAGCACCTTTCTGCTACCATTATAATGTCTTCGGTCCACCTTGTGGGTGGACGTCCCACGCTGCGTATTCCGGTACCCGGCCTCCACCCCAGAACCTTGCTGCCCCATCGGGCAACATGGAAAGCATTGGGGGAGGCCTAAGTTCAGCAGTGGACGTCCTATGGCTGAGATGATGATGAATTTATTATAATGGAATAAATTGTACAAGATTATCATCCTGTCACATTAAAGCCCTAAAAAAGACCACATGGAGGAATTAGATTGATAGTAATGTGGAATGTATGTATGGTATCACCATCAAGTTATAAAATTTGTAAAATTTATTTATTCTCATTGTTATTATAGCAAGTTTGATTACACATCCCACCCAATGCTAATTTCTGACAATGACCTTGCCACTGTTTGATGTAGACACAAGAAGCTCGGTCACCACATTCCGCCCCATTTTCAATAATTTTACAAGATTATGTACAGATGACAGTAGGTACTTAAATCAAGCTAAACACTGTGGGGTATCTCACGACATTTGCAACTTAATATGTATTGTCTGATGTACTGTTGACTGCCTACCTAAGTAGGTAAGTAATGGTTATTTTACAAGGTAGGTAATGTAATAATTAATATGTGGGTGGGACTGTGGGAGCACTAAGATTTTGCAGCTAGCGATTATAAACTGTCGCAAGATTCGCCTCACACTGATAAACTCTTGAACTAGAACTCAATCTCCACCTAGAAGTAAAAGTATCACAAAGGTGCTAGATTCCTTTCTTTGAATTTTACTAGCCTCAAATTAGTCGTAAAATGTCATTTACCATTATAAATGATAAATAAATAGAGTTAAAGTAGCTTGCAAAAAAGTTAATCTCCTATCGTCTTGCTATCGTGGGCAAGGATCGAGGACGATAAAAACACCACATCCTATCCTATCGTGATGTCAAAATATGATATAGTTAGCGCTTCATGTTAGGGCTTGCCAGGTTTATCACAAAAAAAAACAAATCTATCACTATCACATTTTGACAGATGACATGATAATTTTCGGGGTGCCATGTTAGCGCCGGTAGATAAAACGATATAGTGACGTCAAAATCGATATAACGCCGCGATAGCAGTTTATCACGGCGCGCATCTTAGCCCTGCTGGACTTGGTATTACATGGATCTCACAACTTTTTACCGTAGAACAACTGAGTTGCGAGACTTGGTTTTTTTGACAAGTATTGTTTTTGATGGGATTAATTATTCTTATGGTATTTTTTTTTCATTATTATTCTTGAGTTCTTATTGGAATTACCAGAATCGAAAGGAAACGCGCCTTAAAAATAATTAATGAATTCACTGACAACTCAACCTTTTTTTATCGTGACAAAATATGAAATTCCCTGCAATAAATATTTATTGATTGACATTCCAGGCGGAGCTGGTGGACATGCGGGCCGAACTGGTTCACGCGCGGGCAGCCTCCGCAGGTGAGCATTGCTCCTCGCGCTTGACCACTAATGATTTATCACCGTTTGTCACTTTTATCGCATCCAATAAATCTTCACGGAACCAAATCATCGTGCATGTTAATTGCTTGGAAGGCTGTCTAAGTGCTAATGTAATTTTGTCATCAATAATAAATTAACGTTTACTTTACATAAATTAATGATAAATAGTAGTGAAAATAATATCCTGGGATTTTTCCTAAAAATAATCTGTTTTCATAGCAAAGTCTGACGGTACGGTTTCTAGAACCGATTTATTGCATTACTTAGCTTAGATACAATGATGTTATTCACTACACCGCAGAATTGTTAAAATCGTGTGGCAGTGGATAGGACTCATAGCTCGTAAAGCTAATAAAAGCCTCTGCGGCAGAAAAGTTCTTGAGTGACGACCACGAGCCCGAAGATGTACTTAGTGGGGCAAGCCCCCCACTAGCTGGACCGATGATGTGGTGAAGGTCGCGGAAAGTACCAGGATCCAGCAGTGAACGTCATTTAGCTGAAACGAGAACAAGAACCATACGCCCATATATTTGTCGTCTAAAATCGTTTAAGATTGTAATGTGGCGCGCATCAAAGTCAAAATCAAAATTTTCTTTATTTGTTTAGACTAATTAAATTAGTTCTTGCAAATCGTCAAATGCTCTTAAGGAGCCTATACATGTCTCATTCTTTTTTTGCCCTACCAGCGCTTCGAGACAAACATTTGGCAAGTGCTGAGAAGAAGCGCCGCAACAAACTCAGTCACCACTGTCTGCCGGTTTAAAAAATATAAAAAAGTAGGAAGTTACAATACATTCAGAAGCAAGTTACTTACCACGCGCTCCCGTTGATAGAAGGTGGCCTTTAAGATCATCCTAGAACATCCATCCTAGAACAATTAGAATATGTATGTAGATTTCCGCTACGGGACTAGCTATTACCACCTGGAGTTACCACCGCTGCAACTCCTGTATAATCAGGGTCTACAGTAGGCCTAAGATTCGCGCCGTGATAACTTTTATCGACGTCAAAATGTATGAGGAAAATCGATAAAATAGCGTGAAAACCGTTTATCGCGGCGCGCATCTTAAGCCTACTGCTATAGAAAAGTATTTCTGCTACCCCCCGTTGTTGGTCGCGCAGGCGGCTGCCAGGACGGCGGCGACGGCGCCGGCAACGTGCCGGAGGCGGCGCGCGCGCGCTCCGAGGCCGCTCAGCTCGCGCGAGAGAACGCCGCGCTGCGCGAGACCGTGCTCGCTTTGCACTCTGAACTCTTTGGAGCTAGGTAAGTGCTATAACTAAACTGGTTCCTACCTGAATTTTAAGCATGAGAGCCCTTGAATCTTTCCCACCATTGCAACTCCTGTATAGCCTGGATCTACAGCTTGGCCTCCAATGAAACCCAATTAGTGAATGTTGAGAAGTCCCAGGGGTATTAGTATAGTTACACTGTTGCCCGGAGAAGCTGGAGAAACCGATTTCTGCTTCCAGTATAGCTCATTCAGAAAAAAATGTGATGAGAGGAAATTAACTTGCTGACGCTTAAAAACGGTAGTGTGGGAGGACTCTTACTTCTGCTACAAAGCTCTAAGCGTTCCAGCTCGCATTGCGTCTTCAAGGCATTTGCTTTTCAATATTACCACTACTGTGTATTATGCTCTAAATTAATTTCAACAGCTCCTGTTCAAGTCTTAGGTTTGAAGATTCAAAGATTTTAACAGTGCACATATTAATTTTGCAGATTAGCAACAAAATACCTGGATAAGGAACTGGCAGGCAGGATACAACAGCTCCAACTCCTCGGGAGGGATATGCGGTCTGATATTAGAGATTCTCTATGGGCACAGGTATTATTATTTTGAAATTAAAATTATGTTCATTTGACAGCATCATCGGACTGTCATGCTGTTAGAAAATAGCACCTATTATTACTTTAAAAGATGCACAGTGTATACAAATAACTGCAAGGGACAACATTTAGTTTGCTTTTGAAATATCCAACTTATTATTATGGTAGAAGTTTTACTGCATACGCGTTATATTTGACTTGGCAAGTGCTAATAATAGAGCTCTTATGCAAACATTATCTCATAAGTGTTGGATATTGATTGATTGACAGCCGCAGCGTGTAATGGTCCTAATTTATACTCTTTCATGTTGTGGCGGCCTGCGAAAATTGCTAGGTCAGGATTTTACTTTGGATATGGTAATGCGTGATAAATTACATGCCTTTAAAGTTTAAACAAAACATACAATAACGTTATGTCGGAAAGTGAAAGCTCTGCTTAGTTACAGCACTTTACGGTCAGCTACCTTGTCGTTGAACAATCTGTCGTTTATCAAGGCTTAGTCATTCATCAATTTTATTATTAAATTTTAAATAGCAGACAGTAGAAACACGATGATGGATAGTACAAGAAAAATGCTAATAAAATTTTAAAGTATACGACCTAGTTAAAGTTAATTTTAGAGACCCATTTACACCATGATTTTAGGCCCGTTTTACAAGTGTGCGTTAATTGTGCTGCTCCAAACTTAAAAAAAAAACCTTGTGCTTTGTTTTGAATTGAAACTGTAACGATCGCGTACACAGCGCATTTTCGATTGCGTGAAACTAATCTGAAGAAAACGTGGCATGAGGCACTAAAACACACTTGCTTTATACAAAGTCTGTGATAAAGAACGGGACTAATCCCATCGCTATTTCCTACATATCAATTCCAGTAGTAGTCTACAGTTTGGACTCCACGTAGTCCCGGGGAGAGGAAATAGCTGTCTGTCAGTAATAGAAGAAAGAAACATTGAGAAACAGAAAATTTACTGTCGTGTCGCCAATTTTCATCATCATCATTATCATCATCTCAGCCATAAGACGTCCAATGCTGAACATAGGCCTCCCCCAATGCTTTCCATGTTACCCGGTTGGTAGCGGCCTGCGTCCAGCGCTTTCCTGCTACCTTTATGATGTCGTCGGTCCACCTTGTGGGTGGACGTCCCACGCTCCGTTTTCCGGTACGCGGCCTCCACTCCAGAACCTAGCTGCCCATCGGCCGTCAGTTCTGCGTACTATGTGCCCTGCCCATCGCCACTTCAGCTTGGTAATCCCAGAGTAAATACAAATGAGTAGGTCATCTTCATAGAAACGCACCGAGCGCGGTTTGTATGTGAGCGCGCGCCAATATGTATGCGGCGCGCACGCACACACTGACAAAATTCGGCGCAACATCCCGCTAATCCACGCTAAATTTTGTCAGTGTGTGCGTGCGCATACGTATTGGCGCGCTCACATACAAACCGCGCCCGGTGCGTTTCTATGAAGATGCCCTACTCATTTGTATTTACTCTGGTAATCCGTCGGGCTATGTCATAACGATAAATATTCGCAGGTGGAAGCAGAGATCCTGCTGCAGCGCCACAAGACACTAGTCCGCGTGTGCCGCGGCGTCGCGCCCCGACCAGCCGCGCCCGCGCCGCCCGCGCCCCGCCCGCACCGGCCGCGTCCGCGCACCGTGCGCGTGCGCCGCTCGCCGCACCTCGGGCTCGGCATCTCTGTCACGGTGGGTATTACCAGGCCTGTTCATCTCCGCGAGTTTACATCGAAAACAAAACACGCACGATGGCCCACCTACAGGATACTATTCGACAAGGCCTCACATACGAGCGAACATTGACTCACGCACGCGTATTCTTGTGTATGATGGAAGAAAATAAAGAAAATGGTGTACTAAATACTGTGCAGTATTTAACTGCCTAAATAATAATAAAAACGCAGAATGTACATTTTAAGTTGCCTCAAGACACTGAGAGGTAAATAAGTAGTTAATATTATTCACGATAATTCATGCTAAATCATGTATTTCCTCCGCCATTTTCCGCAGTTTGGCACCTCACGTCACATCATTTTACCGAAGTCAGTCCTATAGCTTCGGCGCAGTGCCGATCTCTGACGTTTGTCAACAAAATGGTGCTTGACTCTTGAGACAGGCTAAATTACACCATATTGTTAATGACATTGAGCATACATTTTTTTAAATACCTTCGCGAAGTAAAACTTCTGTACGTAGTACTTATTATTATTCTGTGGTATTACTCACCAGTTCACCACCACCCATGGTTCTATCTGCCTCACGGCGTACGAACCGAATCTCGGGAGAGCGCGCGGGTACTTGCTCTGGGCTCTTTTCCTCGGGCGCTTTGCTTGACTCCCTACAAATTTCTCTGATCCATATCCCTTCTCAGTCAATTCACCCCCTTCTGGGGCTTGACACCACAAATACGGTACTTCGCGTCGGGCTGCTATCGTTGATAAATGTCATCACTTCTTCTCATAACTTCGCCCGATTGTGTGCCAGCTCACTCGCGCAGCGCGATCAAGTTACTGCGACTACTCGTGAGGTCCTGGTGATAAACAGGTACTTGCTCGGCTCTCCGTATCGCATCCAGCATCTTCTGTCGAGCTTCGTCATAGAGGTTACATTCCCAAAGTGCGTGATCGCGGCTCTCTTCGACTTCCTCGCCGCATGGGCATAGTGCAGACTCGCACAGCGTCACGGTGGGTAGCCGAGAGCTTATACTGCTGCAGCGCCACAAGACACTAGCCGCGTGTGCCGCCCGCACCGGCCGCGTCCGCGCACCGTGCGCGTGCGCCGCTCGCCGCACCTCGGGCTCGGCATCTCTGTCACGGTGAGTGCAGAGCTGAGCTGGAGCTTGCATATTGCAGTACCCGCTGCCCGCTGTGTGCTTTAACGTATGTAGGTACAGAGTTCTTATGTAAGGGTCCTGCATATAAAAATCAATGATATGCTAGACCAGTCTTTCCCAAAGTGGGCGATAACGCCCCCTTGTGGGCGCTGCAGGCTTAAAAGGGGGCGGTAAGAGACCCAGAAAAAAAATCGGGACGTTGTGTAGAGGCTTGGGAGGCGTCATCTACTAGGAGGACTCTTAGACATCGACTGAGCTCGACTCTTGACTACAAAAATGGGGGGCGCTAAAAAATAATTTATTCTCAAAGTGGGCAGTAGACTAAATAAGTTTGGGAACCACTGTGCTAGATGGTGCGTTCCGGCGCCGCATTGCAGGTACGCCCCGCACTTCGATTGACCGAGACGGTGTCGTTGCGGCGCCGCATATGTACAGTGATGCGGCAAAATGTTTGCGGTGCGGTGTGGCTTCTCCCTAACGGCCGGCCCAAGAAACCGGCGTGTAAAAATATTGAAACTCTTTACTTTTTTACCCAGTAGAAACTCTTGGCCTGAATCTCACCTAATGAAGAGTGATAGTCAGGTCAAAAATGGAAACGTGCTTCATCCTGTTTATGTAGGTACTTTTCAGGGTATTTTTGTACGCCCCCAATTATAACTTTCAAAAGAACAGAGCGTGATACCATAGGCAGATCTGAAGATGCTGTTTCTTTGTTTCGCTCACTACTACTTACCGTACATCCCTAATAATTTCACCAGCAATGTGTTAAGTTGTAAACGAGCGCCTTATAAAGAATGCCACTGAATGACAAATGCAGCGATTATGTATTCATTCCTGCATCCATTGCTTATATTTCAGGGCGGACGCGAGCACGGCGTGCCGATTCTAATCTCAGAGCTGGAAGCGGGAGGGCCCGCTGCGCTCACTGGGGAATTGTACGTGGGAGATGCCATCCTAGCCATCAATGACGTTGATCTCACACAGGTACAGTACTCGGTTTTCTACAGGCTACACTTCGGAGAATGTGCGAAAGAATTAGACGAATTAATTCCACCAGCCCCCTTCCATCATCGGGGAACCAGACGCAGGTTAGCGTACCATCCCTATATTGTTGACATTCCACCAGCTCGCACTAAGCGTTTCGATGACTCTTTTATAATGCGAACAGCTAGGGACTGGAATTCGTTGCCTGCTGCTGTCTTTCCCCAAAACTATAATCCGGGCCTCTTCAAGGCGAGAGTGAATAAGCACTTACAGGGCAGATATGTACCATCCTAGACTGCATCCCACTTAACATCAGGTGCGATTGTGGTCAAATACCTGCCTTGTTATGCTTAAAAAAAAAAGGTAAGGTCCCTATTTCTTTCGTTCGTTTCAGCTAAATGACGTCCACTGCTGGACAAAGGCCTCCCCCAAGGTTTTCCACAATGAACGGTCTGGCCCTGCCTATATCCAGGTTCCTCCCGCGACCGTTACCGGATCGTCAGTCCACCTAACAAATAGGAGGCCGGCCCACGCTACGTCTTCCAGTCCCTATTTCTTTACTTCGTATAAAACAGTCGCTCCTGCGATTTGTATGTTTAGATCTTTTAGAGATAGAAGCGATTGTTTGTTCTTTACCAACATCCTTCGCTACGCATCCTCGCACATCTCTGGTGGGAACGCAGCCTTGTTGTTTATTGAAATACCCGCTATCAGGCTTTTTTTCTCAGCGGGAATCCCTAGTAGGATAAGGGAGCCTCATTGCTGAGAGTCCTGGGCCTAGTCACTAGGCTAGGTAGGTTATAACGGCCCTGAGGGAGTGCTATATGAAGATTTTAGTTCTTCAAAGTTTCTGCTAGGGGCGCTGTACAATCCATCATACATTTAATGTAATTTTTTTCGCAGTCACTAGTGAAGACGTTTGATTTAAATTCACATTGGCCTGCTTGCATTGCGTAGTAAAAGCTAAAATAAAGCGTTATTTTGGATGTTCTTCAGGCGTGCCACAAAGAAGCGGTGCAAGCGCTGCAGAGCGTGAAGGGTGACTGCGCGCTGTGCGTCCAGTTTATAGCCACCGACGACGACGACCGGCTCTCTGAAGACAATTACAGGTTTGTTTCTTTGTTGAAAAAATTCTTGCTATAATTGCTAATTGACGATTAAAACAGATCATTTTATTCTTCTTCTGATCTGGTTTATCTACCGCTATGATCGGTAGGAAAAAGTCTATAACTCTAGCTAGTAGATTCACAATCGCATGTAACAATACTGTATGTGGAAAATGCTCCTTTATTAAGGAATCAATAACAGTCAAATTTGCAAATGTCTCGTTGTTTGTTTCCAGATTTCCACTGTACCCAGAAGATGGCGAAGTGTTTGGGGTGGAGCCCGACGGCTCCGGCGCCACGCCCACCGCGCCAAGGACGCCTGACTACAATCGGTCAGTCATCTTAACCATCATTTCATTTCAACTAAAGCCTGGTCCGTGAGCACGTAGAATTTTGTCCAATGACCCCAAGCTACCCATCCTTATCGCTCGCGCGTAATTATATTGCTGTCGCGACTAAGCGACGCGCGCTCGCAGTGAGTGTGCGAGCGCGACAGCAACATAATTACGCGCGAGCGATAAGGATGGGTAGCTTGGGGTCATTGGACAAAATTCTACGTGCTCACGGACCAGGCTTTAATCATAGCGATTGTGATACATAAGAAAACACTTGCGCGTAATAGGGCATTTTGCTATACAAGTCGATCGATTGACCAGTGCCTGTGATCTCGTGTCATCTAAACGCAACCTTACGCAGTTATAATAAATGCGATTTTTGGATGCGGTTGCGGGCTTGACATCACCCAGCTCGGAGGACCACTCGCCGGCGCGACGCTAGTCCACTACATATCAACCACAACCTTACCATTCTCTCGTATCATATAAACAGCAACCTCAAACAGTTGTATTAAGCTTTATTTTCAAAAATGTGCGTTGAACGCGCGCCAGCGTTTGGCAAGTTGGAGGGCCTGTCGCATCATATAAACGCAACCTTAAGCCATTTGTAATAAGCGCTATTTTTCCACGTATGCGCAGACGCACATCGGACGCGCGCTCAGCATCACCCAGCTCGGAAGGCCGGTCTCCCGCGCGGCGCTACCCCGACTACAACCACATCAACAACAACCTGGCCATACTCGACATGGATGACGACAACATCAAGATCGAGGCCCGGCTTGAGGTCAGCCTTGAGGTGAGAACCAGCATTATAGTGATAAAATAAGGGCTGCTACACACAAAACGCAATAAAATCGTGTATATGTGAATGAATGCTCGAGAAAAATTGGCGCTCGACTTTGCCGCATACTTACGTATTAGCCAATGTATGCCGAACGAGTAAAGTAATTTCTTCGGGCCGGCTTTGTGCTGAACCGAAAATGCCGGCCCGCTATGTGTGTAGCAACCCTAAGATTATCCTAGTCTATGGTTGTCGTGCATTTTGCATTGTATTGTCTTTTGTTCTTGTCTGTGAAAACGTCACTGACAATTGATTGTAAGTACTTCATATACAATGTCAAAGAAATCAAAACATTTATTGAATAAGTACAACAAGCAGTGGATCCAACTCCCGTTTTGGCACATTGTGAATCGTCTATCCGTAGTAGTCTTGAATCTTGAAAGTTGGATACCTACAGTAGGTAACAACAACAACAATATACTCGTATAAACGTACAAAGTAGAACATGATTTGATAGATTCATTCATTTAGTTTCCATCCCTGCCAGGTCAACTTTAGTATGTACATGTGATTGGAAATCGTGCTATGAACGAGCAAAATTTTGGCAATTTATTGATTGGCTTAATGTAATCTCGTATCCTCGTGATAGATATCTGCATTCATAGGCAATATAACACTGAATCTGAGTGCCGTATTGATCCAATGTTGCTGCCAATTTGCCAATAAATTTTGCTTGTTTGCAATGATCAAGACACAATTGCCCTCTTCAATATCCAATCACTATAGTATATGTCGCACAGCAAGAGTTGAGGCGATCAACACAAACGAATAAAACGCTGACGTATTCGATTTATTTGTAAAGTACGGCCAACGAGAAGCGATACAAAAGGTCGATTCGACTTTCGAATTGACAATCTATTCTGTTTCTTCCCATCTTGTGTATTTGTCGTAATGTCTCGTTCTCCCGCCAAAATATGTGAAAGTCAAACCCTTAGGTTGGGTTGCACCATCTTACTTTAACTTTGACAAACGTCAAAAATCTGTCAAATTCCACACAAAAAGCACCGGTTATCGTCATAGTTACCGTTAAAGATAGGTGGTGCAACCCACCCCTACTATTCCGAATCACAATGAAATTGGGTTTGTTTACATTTGGTATCGCTTCCGTACTTTATGTTCTGTATTCAAATACATCAGTGGGATTATGTATTCGCCTCAACTTTCGTTGCGCGACCTATAACTTATAAGTAGCTGTATACTAGTGTAGCGTCACTCACGTAGCGTTGTCATTACGCCAGCCGGGGCTGTCGCGCGGCGGCTACGCGGCCGTGGGCTCGTCCGACTCGCCGCACTCCACGCCCGTCCACAAGCGCGGCAAGAAGAAGCGCAAGCCGCAGGTACGTCACGCTCCTGCTAGGGATCTGGACTGTTCTTCGAATTTGAACCTTGTTACAGCGGAATAGGTTAAGTAGTTCATGCATACATTTTTGTGCTCGTGATTTCATAGGTTAAGCGCTTCACTATCAGTACCTGGACTATCTGGGATATGGGAGAGGCACGGGAGGGTTGTCATTAGTACATTAGGGGGCGTCCATTAATTACGTGAGACGTTTAGGGGGGGAGGGGTTCAATAAAAACCTCACTAAATCTCACGTAGGGGAGAGGGGGTCTCGACAAATATCACGTAATTTTTTACAGCAACAAAAAAGGTCAAATTTCGAGAGAACTGGGTGATTTTAAATTAAAAAAATAAATATAATATGTATTTTAAGATGATAATGAAAAATAATTCATTTTTTTATTCTGAAGCGTCTTAACATGAAATAAATTAGAAGAAAAAGATTTTTTTAAAGAAATCTCACGTGAGATTGTGGGGAGGTGGAGGGTGTCTAGAAAAATCTCACCAAATCTCACCAAGGGGGGCGAGGGGGTTGAAAAATTGCCAAAATTGTCTCACGTAATTAATGGACGCACCCTTATGACGTAACAGAGCATACAGATCTAAAGTACATTTGAAGTCTCCCTGAAGTTTTACGGCAACAACACCCTCCTCCCGTCCCGTTCCCATACCTCAGGCACTAACTGAATTTTGAACTAGGCCTATACCATCAACAAAGTCGACGTATGATGACTACTTCTCATTTCCACGAAATGACCAGAAATATAAACCAGGTGGCCATATGTCAACTTTGCTGATGGTACATGTAAACGTGGTGCGTCACTACTGTGAGGGTGTTATTATGAGGAACGTTAGTATTAGAGATATTAGGAGCATAGACGTGGTGCGTGCCTATTATAACCACCGCATACTATGGGGGTGTATGCGGTGGATATATGGGCAACGTTACTGCTAGGGGCGTGTACGAGGTGCCTATTTGTGGTAAGATGTTTTAGTTATAATTATCTTTGGAACGTTACTACTGCTAGGGATGTATACGTGATACTAATACGTGGCACGTTGCTACTTAGGGGCGTGTAGGTACGCTTTGCATACATGTAGATCGTTACTACTATGTACGTGAAACGATACTAGTGGCGTAAACGTGGTTCGTTGTTAACGAGGGCGTGTATGCAATGCGTATAGATATGCGCAGTTGGGTACGCTTAAAAACGCCTACGAAATTTGTAAAGTATCGACTTTTATTAAGAAAATGGTCGCTGCTGGGTGCTACACAATCACAATCTAAGCACATGGTAAAATTAAAATAGTAAACCATCTATAAAAATAGTTTACAATAGAAGACATTTACGTTGTACCGATCTAAAGTTAATTTAAATATTTCACGGAGCGATGATTGTAATTATTTTCACTGCCAGCCAGGACACGTGAAATCATCATTTGCATATCCTTATCGTCGGTCATCTGGACTTGACGACAACTCTTCTACACAATCCGGTCAGTAAATGTCGAATTATTTAATTCCTGTTCAGTCGTATCCTTTTCCATATAATGCATTAATTCTCATTCATTTGATTGTTTTTTTTTACCCCCTTCACTCACTAATATTCAGATTCATTATTCATTTCATATCTATTTGGTGTGAAACAGATCGAATCAAATGAGGAATAGATTGCTCTCGTAAATGTACGCTTGTGCGCGCTGTGAACGAACCACATTCGTATAACGTTTACCATGATGTGGCGATGTGAATTTATGTTTCTGAGGGTTGATTTTTCAATCTTTAGATAACTATTAACTGAAATGAAATTACTAAAATTGTTACTTAGACATTTCCCTCGCAGAAATAGCTGTTAATTTGTTTAGAAGTTGCCTGGCGATTGAAAAATAGCCCTAAAGTGAGTTGGCTATAGGTTTGACGGTTGGTATTTGTTGGCTACGCTAGGACTGGCGCACCAAGGGAGCGTATCGAGCGGTGGAACCGGACGCCGCGTCGTCGGACGAACCTCTCGAGCTTCCTCGCGAGCGGCCGCGCGATATAGCCATCGTGGACAAGGGTAAGGCTTGAAGCTTAACGCCCGTATTCACAAACATTATTATGAGGTCTCACAGTGCGCGTGGACGCACAGGGTGTCACACGAACCAATCACAGAACTAAGCAAGCAAGCTGAAACTGAATACGGGCGTTAGTCTATCCTCTTTTATTTTATTCAGTTGAAAGTTGAAAGATCCCCGCTTGGCCAGGCCTCTGGTAAATTACAGAGGGTCGTTCTCCTGCAGTGGAGATTAAATGATCTGATGATGATGATGATGGATCCCACAACATGGGGAATCCTAGTGTGGGAACCAGTGCCTAACTTTACTGATATCATGTAACATTTTGAAATAAATATAGATGATTATTATCCACCTCTCATACTAATGCGGTACGTGCGTTAACCTTCAGTGAGGATCATTTCGATTTTTAGCTGTGAATGCAGATTTATAGGGCTAAGAAATCCTTAATACACAGTCCAAAAATTTTTGTTCTACGACAAAAATTGACGAAGTTATGGCCAAATTACTAAAAAAGTTCACTGACCGCCCGGTGCGGGACCGTTGACGTCACTGTATCCGATCCGAACGCTGCCGGCGTACTGCGTGGATAGAAAATATTTTTTTCTAGCCAAACTATCAGTTCGAGAGAAAAACTTGTAATGACATATATTCATCAGAATAAAGTAAGCTATCGATAGGTAATTTTAAAAATAGAAATTGTGAAAAATAACGCAAAAAATCCATACGCTCATACGATTCAATGGAACGCAGAGACGCGATTGGGGTCTCCGCGGTGGGCCAGAAACTGGGTATTAGCATCATATTATGTATTATTATGTTCAATACAAACAATCATTAAGTTACACTCACCCCAACCGCGTCTCCGCATTGCATCGAATCCTATGAAAATGTGGTTTTTGGACATAGCGATACTTAATTTTCACAATTTTTATTTTTTTAAATTACTGGTCGATAGGTTACTTTATTTTGATGAATAAATGTTATTAAAAGTTTTTTTCTAAAACTGATGGTTTAGCTGGAAAAAAATATTTTCCATCCCAATAGTACGCCGGCTGCGCTCGATTCGGATATAATGACGTCACGCGGCCCTGCGTACGTTGACTTTTAGCGGCAAAAACGGCCTATGTTTATTACTTAATATCTTCGTAAGTAATGGTCCGATTTGGATAATTCAAAAAGATATATCTTTCTTGTGTCTTAAAGATTAACGTAGATACTAGTTTTATTGAATTTTCTACAACAGTACTGATCCTCGTTGCAGTATCTTTTGAAGTGATTTGAAGTGAACCAAAATCGTATAAATTTCTTTTACTGACAGTTACCATATAGGGCTGTATTTTATGGTTCGAAGTCCAACACAAATTATTATACTCAATGCTTTTGTATGAAAATCTGTATTATGTCGGACTGGGTTGTAACAAAAAACGTACGATTCCACAGCAGTTGGTGGGTCGCCTGTCACCGCGCCGTTGCCAGCAGCTCCCATCATAGGGCCCACGCCGGCGCTGGCCCCAGCGCCTTCGGTTCCCGCACACATGGCCCCCGCGCGTCTGTCCTCCGCACACCAGGCTTCCGCGCATCTGGCCCCCGCGCAATTGGCCCCCTCGGACCCCTATGGAATCCACGCGCACATGACGTCTTCGGATATGACCCCCGAGCATATGTCCTTCGTGGCCCCCCCGGTGGCCCCCGCCCCAGTGGCCCCCCTGCCAGCGGTCCCAGCGACTGCAGCCCCTACGCCGTTGGGCTCATCTGTTGAGACGCCGCCGCCGCCTGCGCCCGAAGCGCCGCCGGACGCGGAACACAAACCGACCCGTACCACCAATGGTGACGTCAAGCCACAGCGGAGAGAAACTAAGGGATTTAGGTATGATTCCAAACCTTCGTAGTATTGTAGTTACACTATGTGACCACTAGTCTTCCCACTTCAGTTTTATCAAATTTGAAAAATCTTAGTTATTTAATTTTAGCGTTAAGAGTCGCATCTCAATCGTGGGTTCAATTCCCGCCTTAGGCAGTTCGATTTTTTCAAGTTGTTTACAATTTAAAAATGCTGTTTTAATAAAATGTTTCACAAAGGTGTTATTAAAAAATTGAAATGACCTTTACTTTGCAGAAACTATTATTCCTGCTCTATTTTCGCTCTTTTTATTCCTTTAACTTTTTGTGCCATATAAATTCGTTCGTTTCAGCCAAATGTCATCCACTGCTAGAAATAAGCCCCCAAGGCCAATAAATTACTCTTACTTTATTTCAAAAGCCTCCGTTTATTTTACCCACAGGATAGGCTCAGCGCGGCGCGTGACTGACGCGATGGCGGCGGCGGCGGCGGGCGGCGTAGTCACGAACGGCGACGCCGAACGTGGCAAGTTTCCGGCGCGGCTGTTAGCCGGCGACGGAGACCCGGACTTCGGCACGCCGGTTTGAACCGCTGCAACCCTTGACCCGGGCAAAACCGTTCGATGCGTGCATCCAAACACTTCTACGTACATTCGACAACACATCAGAACATTTATTACAACTTTGTTAGATGCCATTTAGCTTGATGTGCTGTCGTTTTGGTACTACTAGACGGGATGTGTTGAACTGAGAAGCTCACCGCGAAGGTTAGTTGTAGACTAACTTAACAATAGTTGAATATGACCGATAACACTGTCAATATTTGTACGTGTACGTGTGAATTTTACGCCATTTTTCATCGAAAACTTGTCTAGTAGTATACTTAGAAGTCTTTGAATCCATCCTGCTCTATCTTCTATGGTCGATGAGAGCGGCGGATGTACGAGTAACTGTGCAGTGTAAGATTCCGCAATTTTCAACTCTAAATCGAATTTGGGTATGTTATTGATTTTGTCTTTACAATGTGTAACTAAAATGACGCAAAACTAAACTGATACACAGACTCTTATTTGTTCAAGATCTGTTTACTTTTTTATTTAGTCTACAATAACATTCATCAGTAGCTAAAATGTCAGACGCACGTTCACAGATGTCGATAGCTGTATTTGCGCTTCTCGCGCCAATCAACTTTAAGACTCAGAATGTTGTAAAAATAATCTATAATTGAAAGCAATGTGATTTCACTCTCGATTTCTAATTCATGTTTTGCGTTAATTAAATTACACATTGTATAAATATGTCAATGCTTCATTTAACTTTGAGAATGTTATTTATTTTTTAATAACTAAATATCTAAGCAATCTTTGCATTGTATTTTCTTCCTTTTATTAGGGAATGTTTCACCATTTGATGACAAAGTCCCTGATAGCCTATTAGGAATTTCTCCTTCATATACACTACAACTTTTGGTTTCATATTTCTCCTGTATAGACATCTCACAGATTAGGTCATGCAACATTTATGTCCAATAACTATCAGGAACTGATGAAACTGTATCCAAAAATACTCCTTCGGTTAATATTCAAAGTTCTATGTATGCGGGATCGTACACCGCCTCGAAATCGTTTTGCGCAGGAGGTCTGTGAAGAACAAGTGAATATCGGCCTAAAGTGAGAATATTCTATTGTAACAGCTCGTTCAAACACTCGGTATGTTGCCCGGTGCCTCTTTGAAACGCACAGACAAAATAGAATTGCCGCTTACCTCGTCAAATAGCAGTAATAGGACTAGCTAGCTAAAACTAAGTTTTGTAGCACGTGGTGCTGTTAGATACACAATAAGAGCCGAAGCACACGATGTGATTCGGCGGCGGCACGACGCCGGAGCAGCGGTGTCGCTGCGTTGTCTTACATACGAATATTTTATCTTTGGCGCGACGCAATACGGAGAAATCTTTGCGGTATAGCGCCGTAACGCATCGTGTCCTTTGGCTCTAACGCTCGCGCGGTTGCCTGGAGGCATTTACGAGTGATTTTTAGAATAAAAGTTAAGAAGGATGACGTCACTCCTTTATGATGGAATGAGCAATTTTGTAAATAAGAATTAGGATCTGCTTGCCTGGATTTGTGTTTGGATAGTAATATGCAAAATAATAATGAATATTGAACTGGTCTGTGAAGTAATAGGGGAAATTATCTATTTATAAAAATAAACTATCCGCATAAAGTCTCCCAAATGGAAACATGTAACTATAAAAATATCTATCTTTTAGAATGTATGCGGTGATGTTAATATGTATTCCCTTTTGAGATATTGTATAAAATTATTTATGAATTTAATATATTGATTAACATCACAAAATTAAGTTATTATTTATTGTGTATAGCCATGTCAATGAGTGTATATTTTGAAAGTAGTCGAGAATCGAAGCTTAGACGCTCTGCCTAACGGCCTATCGAGTCCGATGTGAGTAGTGATCGCTCGAATGTAATTTTCTTTTGGTGCTTATTTTATTTTTTTAGATATAACTATACTTTTTCTTGACAACTTTTAGAGTAAACAAGCCATAGACTAATACATTGTCATGTTTACGTACTTTAATATGTTTTAGCAACAATTCGTAGCTGAATGCATTGTTACGTGCGAAGAACGCTCTGTGGCAATTATAAGAACTTCAAAGTCCTTTGAAGTACAGTCAACAGCACACAGCTTGATGTGCTGTCGTCTGTACATACTTTCACGTTGTATTTTTTGTGGTTGGTTAGTATTTTCGTAAAAGTAATCAAGATTATCATGATAAATTTAGTTTTTGTAATTACTGCTTAGTGCAAAGTCGCATCATGCAGTATTTATTTATGTAATGGGATGAGTCATCATCATGACATTGACGGTGAATAATGTTGCCCCATGCGAGAATTGTCATTAAAATGCTGTGAATAGATGAAAATGTTATACAGTACAAAATCCTCGACTCCTCAATGTGGCTTGATAAAGAGTCACGCAAGAGTGTGCACTCTTGCTGCACAAATAACGACATCAAATACATATTTATTTATATGTTAGACTTTGTCAATAAAAGACAATGCCGGAAATTGGCGTCTTTTTTTTTTCGCGCGGCCATCGACCAAACTTTGTTTTTTGATTACAAAATACTTTAATAAACCAAACTTACTATGACATGTATACCTCTAAACTCAGTCTGAACTGAGTTACAAGCATTAGAAGTTTGATGATTTTCATACTAGATTTGCTTTTTGCGCGCAAAGTTTTGTAAGAAATTGCAACAAAATAGTGAGATTGTATGTGTAAACAAACAATACCATCCATTAAAGGCTCCAGACATCAATTTGGAGCAGAATCAGCGCAATAAAAAAATTGCGCAATATTTTGTTGCAATTTCTTACAAAACTTGCGCACAAAAAGCAAATCTAGTATGAAAATCATCAAACTTCTAATGCTCGTAACTCAGTTCAGACTGAGTTTAGAGGTATACATGCCATATTAAGTTTGGTTTATTACACTATTTTGTAATCAAAAAACAAAGTTTGGTCGATGGCCGCGCGAAAAAAAAAGACGCCACTTTCCATACTAAATCTGGCATTGCCATTTAGTTAAATGAGGGGTGAATAAACCAATTATAGCAATAAATGCAATCGCAAACATTATCAATTAATCATTCACTTTCGAAATCTGTGAAATAAATCTAGTGATATGTGTGCTATATTGATATCCAATCGCAATTTTATTTTGTTACCAAATGTTATTATTTTAGTTAATTATGTGTATTTTTACGCTGCTATATTTCTTGTATTTTTATAATTATATTATTTTTTTATAATGATTTACTGTATGATATGATCTCATCGTAAAATTGGCACGACATCCTACTGCGAAATTGGATGAAGCTAGAAGCATTCCAGTGCAGTCATTCCTTTCACGAATGTATTTATTATTTATTTGTATTCTTATTATTAAATCAAACTTATATTATTAAATCGGCGTTAATGAGTGTTGGTAGAAAATTGACGTCGCCGTCGGCAACGACGAACCCCGTCAGCTAAATGGTTGTCGCATCGTTAATTGGATCTATTATTACGATAAATAGTTAGAGCGTCACGCGGCCGCCGTGCCTGGCCGCGCGCCAGCCAGCCGACACTCCTAGTAACGCGAATGCACAAAGGTGGACGTACACTCGACCACGCCAACCGCGCTAAAGCAATCTTCCTTGGCAATTTCGTGCTTCTAACTCGGCGCCTTTAGTACGCGTCACTCCATAAGACTAAGTAAAATGTAACAGTAATCTATCACTGCGATGCGTGTACGCTTCTTGCAATAGGACAGGTGTGCGATCACCTTAATGAGGTATTCACACCATTCTGCTTACGACGTTGTAGAAAGGTTTGTTTGTAAAACGATTTACTGAGATTACCGAACCAGAAGTCTGCTTGTTTACTGATACATTTCGTTGTGTCCTTATCATGAATGTAGATCTTGAATCGGAATTAGAAATGATTTAAAAGTATTATCAAATTTATTTAATAATGTGATTGTAAAAATGTATAAAATGTGTTTGGAATAATGTTGGAAAGCTGTTAATGTAAACTAGTGGATAGTTATTATTTATCAAATTTCCTTTTTTTTATATTCAAAATAGAAATAAATTGATGTATGTAATTAATTAAACTATGAAGAGCGTGAATGGATCGTTAGGAATTTTTCAAAGTGTGTTTGTGTATGAAGACTGCGCAGGGCATTTCACAAGTTCGCGACGCATCGCCTTGATTTGCCGCGATAGTGCACACCGTTTTTCATATTTACAGGACAATACGCCTATGTATTATACTTATAATATGTATTAAATTTGTACCTATATTAAAGTGTTTCATTTGCGGTTCAACTCAACTCTCACATAAATGTACGGCGGCAAATATGTTTGTTGTAAAACCCTATTACAACAAAACATGACTTTGCGTTATTTAAAATAAGTTTATTCATATAAGCAAAGCCATTTATTTTGCCATAGGAATAGAATAGTACATTTATGTAATCACAAAGTAGGACTGTCTATTACTTTCCCCTGGATTCGAACCTGTGTGTGACCATGACCACCCAAGGCTTTGTTGTTGGAGCCATGAACCCATGTTGAAGGACTTTATTCATAAACGGCATGATTTTATTGCCAACTCAATAAGTTAATTTTTATTTCAAATCATAATGTATTAAATGTTTTTTAATAGCATAAAATGTATTTTGATTTTTTTATTTACTTCTTACTTCTAAGAAACATTTTTTGCGTAAACCGAAACGTAACTAATGTTGCCAAACGCTGACATCATTATCTGCATTTTGGTAGTAAGAGTAACATTAACATTTTGACTCTATTCCCTAAATAGTTTTCATGCTTTACATAGCATTCATATACCTAGCACGGTTTCATAGTGATTTAACGGAATTATTTATTTGAACTAATAAATAAATCTATATATATAAAAGAAAGTCGTGTTAGTTACTCCACTTATAACTCAAGAACGGCTGAACCGATTTAGCTGAAAATTGTCAGGGAGGTAGTTTAGAGCCAGGAGAAGGACATAGGATACTTTTTATCCCGTTCGAAATAAAAAAAAAAGTCTGCTTATTTATTGCCATTAAGGCGGAACAAAGTTCGCCGGGTCAGCTAGTAATAAATAAATCTTTGGACAATTTCACACAGCGCCAGCTAGCCCCAAAGTAAGCAACTCAATGATTGTGTTATGGGTGCTAGCTTAACGGATATACTACTTAAATACTTTTTTTTTAATTAAATACATACATATTATACATAGTTACACCCAGACCCGTCACAGAAATTAAAATTCATCATTTCAATTTCTGCCCGGCCGGGAGTCGAACCCGGGACCTCTCGGCATAGTAGTCCGTTCTGAGCCCCGATTACGGAAAGTTTTAACGTCAACAATACAGACACGCTTCTCGATTCTGCGATACGATTGGTCGTTCAACAGCGTACGTCAGCTGTTTTGACCAATCGTATTGCAGAATCAGAAACGCGTCTGGATTGTAGACGTTAAAAGTTACCGTAATCGGGGCTCTGAACCACTACACCAAACGGCCGACATTAACTATTGTGTATAATCGATTTTTTTCCCATAGCGATTCACGCTGATGTTATTTAACAACAATAACTATTTATTTTTGCTTAGTAAATGTATTACAATAATGTTTCTTTTTACTAAATGTTAAAAAAAAATTTCACATTCATACCTATAATAACCACGAAAGGTATTGTTCTAAAGGATTTTCTGCGGGATGTAGACGATGTAGTCTAGGGCATGTAATATCGGAAGGTTTTGAATTCCGATATTGGTTTCCGATATTAGATCTCAATATCGGAATTCCGATATTAATATCGGAATTGAGTTTGTGTTATAAATTTTAAATATTTGGTTATATTCGTATAATTTCTCGATTGTATACAGTAAAATAATGATTTTAATCAAAATCTTTAATTTATTACAAAAGAGCACTTCTTAAAATTATAAAATTGAAGTATTTAAAACCATTTTGTGTGTTAAGGGTAATCATTGGTAACTGATAATGGGCCAATTATGGAAATGGACTAGCAAAGAATTTAAGTGTTTTTGTAAAACAGGTATCAAACAAACTTTTACTCCTTCAACCAATACTGGCGGAACGATTTGTAGAGTCATTCAAGTCATATGTTACAAAAATATTAGACAGTGGTAAAAACTTGAATATACTTGTAATTTTTTCCTTTTTGATATCGATGTACAACTCACAAAACCACGAGGCGATATCATCATCATCATTTCAACCATATGACGTCCACTGCTGAACATAGGCCTCCCCCAATAATTTCCACAATGGCCGGTTGGTGGCGGCCTGCATCCAGCGCCTTCCTGCTACCTTTATGAGGTCGTCGGTCCACCTTGTGGATGGCAGCCTTATGCTACGCTTTTCGGTACATGGCCTCCACTCCAGAACCTTGCTGCCCCATCGGCCGTCAGTTTTTCTAACTAGGGCAGAATCGCTGGAAGACCTCGGCACAATGCTCGAAGACCTAATCGAGTCTCCCAACAGGTAGGCCTTGGATATGGACAAAACGAAGCTTATGACCATGTTCCGCCCTACCTATTTTCGGTTGGGAACCTGATTTTCGAAATTGTTGACAAGTATGTCAACCTCGGATAAACGATTCAGCTATGTAGATTCAATTTCGAGAAAGCGGTAAATCGTCAAATCCTACTCGGCTGGGCCGCGTTCGGGAAACTATATACACAACATCTTTTCGTCTAAAATACCTCAGTGCTTAAAGACCACCAGACTACCACCACTTAAAGATTACCAGTGATAATATACGGCTCGGAAACGTGGCCTCTCAAAGTTGCACAGCGTGCTATGAAGAGGGCTCTGCTTGGTGTTTCTTTACGAGTTCGAATCAGAAATGAGAAGCCCTGTTTACGAACTAAAGTCGCTGACCTGACATAGCCCGGCGGACTAGCAAGCTGAAGTGGCAATGGGCAGGGCACATAGTACGCAGAACTGACGGGTCATAGTCCAATTTTATTAATGTTTGGAAGGGAGTTGAGATGTCGTTTTTAATTGCTAAGACCAAGTACGGTAAGTGCTAAAATTGTTTTAGAACATTTTATGGTTAGTAATTATTTAAAGTGGGACAAAAAGTGATGTTGAGAGACATGAGAAAATCATTGGTCTTTGCCAATTATGTACTTTGAGCTTTGTAGCAGGTTCTGGCGCGTTTAAACGCTTTGTTTAAAGTCTCAATTAAAACCTTTATCTGATTCCGATATTACGATATTGGGTTGCTCAATATCGGAATTGTAATATCGGATCTCATCTTCCGAGATTCCGATATTACGAGATTCCGAGATTCCGATATTCATGCCCTAATGTAGTCCAAAAAAAATAATTCGTTTGGTTTCGTTAGTAGTTTTTGTTTCACTGATGACAACACTGCAACTGTCACCCATCCACTAATTATTATTATTTCAGATTGACGAATGGCCAAGCCTATTTTTTTATTTTAATTTTTCTACGATTTTATTAATTAATATTGTAATTTGAGAAGACAAATTATCAAATATGGTTGTCAAAATATACATAAGTGGTATTTCCGGAAACAAGGAGGTAAGATAATATTAGAAAATTCCTGGGTCGGCCGGGTGCTTATCACGACACTGTACGGCTGATTCACGAATTGTTGTTTTTGATTACGTGAATATTCATGTTTTTAGGTGAAGAAGAGACAACAACGTGTATTGATGATACTAGATTCTAAAAACATAAAATATGATGTCATTGACATAACGGAACCAGGAAGAGAGACTGACAAAGATTTCATGCAAAACAATTCTAAGTCGAATGGTGGTACAGTGAGCGATCCAAATCCGCGTTCGCCTTTACCTCCTCAGATTTTCAACGATGAAGAGTACTGTGGGGTATGTAGAGAAGTGTTACATAGGTCACATTATTAGTTTTTGTTCAACTGCTAAACTAACACAAGACTTATGTTTGCAGGACTATGATCAGTTTGATCTAGCAAATGAGGTAGACACTTTGGAGCAATTCTTAAAAGTGGAAGTGCCACCTGAAGACCCACCAGCACCAGAGACTGAACCGGTAAAATAATAATGCACAACACTTACTAACTTTGACCATAAATATAACGATAACCGGTGTTTTTTGTATGGAGTTTGACAGATTTTTGACGTTTGTGAAAGTTAAAGTTAGATGTTCCAACCCAGCCTTAGAATGTGAACTTTCACATAACATTCGGATCAAAATCAATGTTATAATCATACTCTTTCATTTCAGGAAAAGGTGGTTAATGGAGATGTTGAAAAGCCAGCTGAAGATACCGAATCAAAAGAAAACACACAAGATTCAGAAGCTGGTGATGGCGATAAAGCAGATGAAAGTGCTGAGGCTGAGGTCAAAGAGAAGACTCCCAGTAGGGAGGCCACTCCTGCTGACAGGGTCGCCTCAAAAGAACCCTCTCCTGCCAAGGAAGATGATGAAGAACAACCTGCTAAGGAAGCATCTCCAGCCAAGGAGGCCTCGCCAGCAAAGGAGGGCTCTCCAGCTAAGGAAGCATCTCCATCCAAGGAGGCGTCTCCAGAGAGGCAAAAGTCTGTTGAGAAAGAAGAAACCCCAATCGAAAAAGAAAGTTCTCCAGAAAAAGAATCCCAGGTAGAGTCTAAGCCATCGACAAAGGAGAATACTCCAGAAAAAGATGAATCTGTCAATGAAAATGGTACTGTAAGTTCTCGTGAGCAATCTGAGGAGAAAGAAGCCACAGATGTTGTGGAAAGCAAAAAAGATAACCCTTCAGAAGCTCTAATCGCAAGCGAGCAAGCTGCTTCTGCGGAATAAACGACTGGACTTTAATCTTTGCTTCTCAGCTCAAATTAAGCCCCATTAGCACTAAGCGAGCACTATTCATTAAGTCTGTTCTGTTATTTATGATGCATCTCTCACTTCTTTGATATAATTAGTCATTGTAAATAACACAAAGAAGAGTTTGTTGAGGACTTGTTTTATGTGGCGATGTACAGTTACAAAAGTGGCCTATTTACACGAAGATGTCATTATCATTAGATATATTAATCAATTTTATATGAAGTTCCAGAATAAGATTTCTATTTAACATTTTTATCTTTCATTAAGGCTTGTATTATTTTAAAGTATTAATAATATTCTTTTTTTTTACACATTAATGGACTTTTCTTTAGTCAAAATTTTATTTATAAAAAGTATTAAAAGTTATTTATACTTGTTAGATTAAAATGCTGTTAAGAGTGCTCTATCACTGTTTTTGAACATAATCTAGTGATCATCGTGTTAAAAATCATCTGCATTATTTAATTAAGATTTAATCATAACATGATGTTCGCTAGGTCTGGTAGGTGCTATCTTTAATACGCTGTGTATTTTTTGATTGAGCATTCTTTTAAAATCATTTCTTTTGGTTGTAATGATCTTTTAGGCATTTTCATGACATATTTAACACATTTTAAGTTATTAAAGACAGTTTTTAAACTAATTTTCATACAAATTATAATATAAAATTATTTAAAACCAGTTCTTTTCATTTACTAATTTGTGGACCCTTTAACTTAGTTACGGTGAGAATAAGAGTCATAGGAAGTAAGAAGTCAGTTAAAAAGTAGTGGATGCTCTATCCAGCGGTCTGCCACAGCAAAGAGCTTTTATGGTAAAGCAGATTTTGTTTTTATGCCCATTTGAGTTTATATCACAGAAGATAAAATCATTACAGAACTTTAGCTGAAAGTGTAATATGAAATGAAACAACCAAATAAGCGAAATTATTTTTATTTGATTATTTGAGCAAATAAATCTCCTTAATAATTTGTAATAACGTTTAACTTATCATAGTAAAATAAATTACGGAATAACACGATATAAAATCTATAATGGAAATGTAAAACATCAGGTATCTAATAATTTCATTGTACAAATACAACTACAATGATCATTTTCTATAAAATATAGCCTCTAGGAAGTGTACAAACAATATTTCATATATTCTTTTTTAGGACCGGTGACGGGGGATCGCTGAAGTCTTTGAGGAGGGACTCGCCGGCGAGCTCCGCTATGTTTCGGTGGCGTATCTCGGAGTCGAGTTGGTCGTCGAGCATGCAGGCTTGGATGTTTTTGTCCAGGGTGACGAGTCTCTGGCGGGTGTTTTTGTACTCTTCGACGAGGCTGAGGTTGCGCTTGATACCGTCCACTAGACGCACGACGGAGTATTCTCCCATAGCCGCGCCCTCTTGTAGCTTGGAGCCGGCGATCTTGGCCATGGAGGAGTCCTTGACGTCGGCCAGCAGCTGCACTGCCCACTGGCGCAGGTTGCTCATGACGGTCACGGGACCCTCGTACTCGTTGGGCACGATGCCGTCCACTTCAGACTCGAAGAATGAGAGCAACGGAAACCATATTCTCGTCCTGGAATATAAGAAATAACATTTTAATTGCAATAACAGTGGGTAGTTGACCTTCTTCGTTAAAGACAATTGTTAATTAATTGGTATAATTTAGTTGTTTTGAAATAAATAACGTCTAATCTTTTGAACAAGTGACGTCACTACCAATTACCCAAATTGCGGGTAGATCTTTGTCTGGCCCATTCCCACTTTATTTTACCCAATTGCGGGTAGATGTTTCAACAAAATAGAAGGTAGAAGAAGCGGGCGCAGATCTATTATACCTAGTGGTCACGAAGAGAATGCATCTGATGAATAAGACAACATTATGACTAACTTAAAGGAGTCGTCCTGCATAAGCGCCGGTTGTTGGATAGCATGTAGTAGTAGAGAAACAGGCGTCAGGTGATACTGGTTGTGTTGTGTCAACTACCAATTGTGGGTATCTAAACAAATTATACCTACAATAAAATTTAAAAAAAACGTTCAACCAACCTAGAGGAGTCGTTCTGCATGAGCGCCTGGTTGTTGGACAGCGTGTGGTAGTAAAGGAACAGGCGCGAGGTGATGTAGAAGGCGATGACGACGTCGATGGAGTAGTGCTCGTGCGCCGCCAGGATCAAGAAAATGCCACTACCAATTATTGTAGGTAGCTAAACAAAATATAGAAGTAAAACAACGTTCAACCAACCTAGAGGAGTCGTTCTGCATGAGCGCCTGGTTGTTGGACAGCGTGTGGTAGTAAAGGAAGAGGCGCGAGGTGATATAGAAGGCGCTGAAGACGTCGATGGAGTAGTGCTCATGCGCCGCCAGGATGAAGAAGATGCGACTAACAATTATTGTAGGTAGCTAAACAAAATATAGAAGTAAAACAACGTTCAACCAACCTAGAGGAGTCGTTCTGCATGAGCGCCTGGTTGTTGGACAGCGTGTGGTAGTAAAGGAAGAGGCGCGAGGTGATGTAAAACGCGATGAAGACGTCGATGGAGTAGTGCTCGTGCGCCGCCAGGATGAAGAAGATGCCGAACATGTTCATCACCCACGTCAGGATGTGCAGCAGGTAGAGGTTGCGCGACGTGTCTGCAACGATTAATGGATGTGAGTATTCAAAAAGCTTTCATTTATTTATTCCCTAATCCCTAGTCGCAGACTACAGACTTTTTGTTGGGCTGATAATAATCAGTATGGATATGTATGAAAGTGCGACACCACCGATTTGGTATCGGCTGATTCTGAATACAAAGTAGAATCGGGCCTAACTATCACCCAACTAAAAGTCGGTGGTCTGCGCCTAGACTTATATGCTAATCTATTTATTTGTTTAAAAGTTAATGCCACATAAAAGATGCGAACTTAACGTCATAGGCAATGACATATATCATAAACATCTTAGGTCATAGGCTATAATCCTAAATATCGCACAGCACACGCACATGTAGGTGCGTCCTTTTCAATTAAAATATTGAAGTGATTGCTCTAGTACTCGTAGATAACAATTCCACCAATTTTTATTTAAGAGTATAGACCAGAATGAGGCTTATTCCACTATTCCCCGTTGACAATCCCCGTTAACGCCAATTGGAGCTTATAATGGGGAATAATGAACTAAAAAGTTCATTAATCCCCGTTATATTAGGATTTTATTTTGAATGGACTCTAACAAAGATATCATGGCTTTATCTATTACTTTCGAACAGTGGCAGTATATTATCATAAGTTTACAGGGACGAAGGAAGGTATCCCAAAACACGGACTATGGCGTTGCCCAGTTGCTCTAAAGTAACTTATAATATCACTAGCTTTCCGCCCGCGGCTTCGCCCGCGTGGAATTTTGTCTGTCACAGAAAAACTTTATCGCGCGCGTCCCTGTTTCAAAAACCGGGATAAAAACTATCCTATGTTCTTTCCCGGGACTCAAACTATCTCTATGCCAAATTTCATCAAAATCGGTTGCGAGGTTTAAGCGGGAAAGCGTAACAGACAGACAGACAGACAGACAGAGTTACTTTCGCATTTATAATATTAGTTGGGATTTAATTAAATAAGGGTCGAAGAACAAAGCGGATGTATTTGTCTGCGGCTGAGTCACTTGCTGACACACCAGCAGCGGTAACTGTTCCATTGCTCTTTGAACCTGATATTTATTGGATAAATCACCAGAATTTGACCGACATTCATACATCTGCAATGTGAAGCTAAAATCTCAAGAGACATGTATTTCTTTTGTTATTTGTGTATTTCTTTAATATTTCTAAAGTTAGTTTTCACCAAACATATAGTTACGGTACCGATTCGTGTTATTGTACAATTGATCGGCAATAAAAATCTGCGATAAATGGTAGAATTTATCGTCAATCTCGCTCGGTTGATTTCGTTTCTACGATGAAACTGTAAAAGCACATGTTTAGTCACGCTGGATGCGATTTGCGCGTTCACAACAACTTTGTATCAGTATTATCTTTATCATTCATATTATTGATGGCCGATTATTATATGCGCATGCAGTTAACAACAACCGATAAGAACTTAACGTTATGTATAATAATAATTTAAGATGGTGAATAGACGTACGTGTCGTCTTATTCAGAAAACAAAAACACGTAGGTATGATTTAACTACAATATTTGTCTTTCTTGTGCGCAGAGCGTAGTGTAAACATTTCGATTATTTAAGACCACTACAAAGGTCATTGTAGTTCGAGGAAAATCGATTTTCCTGTATGGTAAAAAGAATTTGCTAAGTTGGCCATTGTATAATTAGTAAAAATCCCTCCATTTCCAACTCGACAGATTCGATAGGTTTACAAAAAATATTAACTCTTCAGTTTATACTGAAGTTCAGTTTAATGAATTGGCGGGCGGGAGCGGGCAGCAAGCATTACTTATGTTTCTAAAGTTGTAACACGAATCTTTGAGAAGGAAGAGTGACTTCAATCAATGGTGTGGTCAGTGACAGTGGTGTACTTCTTACTTCTACTTTAGCGCCCTAGACTAAAGAAAAGTTTCGAAAAGTATCAATTCTAGAGTCGTTTATAATATTAAAATCTCTGGATCTGAAAGGCTATAAGCTGTGAAGTGCCGCAGATTGCGAAATACCACTGAAGCTCTAATAAAATTGCTTGTAAACAGTTTATTAACGTCGGGTGGGGAATTGGGGATTACTAAAGTCAGCTAAAAGATAACTTTAAAAATCGGGAGTTCTAGCCATTATCTGTTTGCAAAAGACACCTATTTATTTTCTATTTATTCGATCGAATCAAAAAGCTCGCTTGTAGCCTGCCAGTGCTCATTCTCTTTATCAAAAAAGTGCAAAATACAATGAAAATTGTATGACAACTAAAATTTATGTGATTGATAAAATATCTCTTTTATCAATACCACTCCAAGTGTAAATACTATAAGTCGTTAAATAATAGGGCACAACTTCAGCGATAAAATATCTAATGTAAACATTAAATGCGTCACCGAGCTACGATATCGCTTCCTTGTTTTTATGTTATGTAGGTAGAAGACAATAACATAAATACGATTTTGCAAAGCTTATTTATTTGCAAGGAACGAAAATTAGACGCATAAAATACTATGCGACCCTGAACACATTCTTAATACCTTACATTTATATTTTTATGTTGTTTACACTTCACATTAATTTGCTACGTTTTACTGCTAAGTTAACCTACACTTTTCAGAATCTAGAATTTTTTTAATAAATGGTTTTTATTCAAAAAATTACGTATTATAAACATCGCAGAATAAATAATTTGAGTAACAACAACCGCTAAAACATCTTCACGCATGCTATTAATACATCCTGTTATTTTTAACAGGACAAAAGGACGTTTCATTTTAGGAAGATAGGTACGTGTTTAACTGTTTTGTATCGAAATAACATTTAAGCTAATACTGTGAGTTCATATCCGACCGAGCTGAGAGACATTTTTCTGTAGAATACGTCATCTCCTTTAGGTAAGTAATATTATTGTGCAGAGAACTATGTGCTCTACAGGAACCTCACACTCTATATTTCGTATGTCAAAGCTATGTGAAGACATTTTGTCGGTAAAGCGAACAAAACTTTTAATTTCACTGCACCATACGCATAGTTGTGCCACTTTCTGTAATCTAAGATGGACATTAAGTGGATTTAAGATAGAGTCAGTATTAATGATGTTTTAATCCCTAATGAGGCTAACTCTGGATTATAGATACTGGCACAACAATCAATATTCATGTTTTACCTCATGACTTTAAAAGATCGACATAAAAATCATCGCAAACACAAAGAAATTGATAAAACAAAGGAGTAAGTAAATAACTTGAAACAAAGACACGTGTAAAACGGTAAAACCTCTACATACATATTATTATACTCAATATAAATTGTATCACTTTTGTAACCGTTTTGTCCGATATTTATACATAAACTGTCTACAAATACTGATACCAGTAAAGAAGTGGAACCCTTTCTTTGTTTCAAAATATGGAAGGTTCAATGATCGGCTATTGAAAATAAATCCACCATAACAAAGCGTAATTTTTCGTTTTCTTCGCAAAAAAAGGCATAAAACCGGTAGAAATCGGATGCTTTTGGTGAGCTTTTTTTTTAAAATGTAGGGAAATTATTGTAAAATGGGTGCGTGACTTCGTCATATTAGGATTCCAAATTGCTATCATCTCAATTCATACAAATCCATGTTCATTATCATAACTACGTGGTTATCTAAAACACAGCTACTCTTAAATTAGTAGTAAGTTTCATCATTTACCAACATTATCGTTTACGTAATCAACAGAGCGAGGTGAAAATTATTAGACCACTTTAGACTTTTTACGACGCAATTTACGAAAATAATTTCCAACTTGATTTTCCATTGGTGAAATTCTACTGAGCGTAATAATTATGAAACTACCTAGTACCTACCTATCTAATTATTTTGCGCAAAGTGAAGTATTTCTGAACTGAAATCTAACAGGCGTTTATTTACAGCTATGACCTGAGAAACTCTGTTTTTCGCAACTGTAATTACTTAAACCAAGTTTTAGTGAACTTATGAATATTCGGTTATTCATGTTTTTGAAGATGATGAATCATTTACGCCAATATAATTATCGAAAGGATACATTTCCAGTTTTGCGCAGAAGTCATAAAGTTTTCTCGGCTCTATCTATGTTGTGAATATTTACTTATAGTCTAATCTATGATTAAGTTTTTAAGGACATAGTAAAGGGCCTTGTCCTGAGACTCCTGTGATTAGGTCGTGGGCAGGGTCAACCTTCACCTACCCCCGCCACACTTTCGGCATGAGCTGTACTTTCGACGTACTGCTTTGCATTGTTCCTTATTGAAGAGACCTAGATCCCCGCCGGACTTGGACTAGTTTTTGTTGCTCCCACCTCATTTTAGTACTCCATGGGCTCGCCCTAGTAATACGGCCTTGAATTGCAAGCGATATTTAGGAGGTATGCTTATGCTAAAACCGTCACACGTAGCCGCGCCAGTTGCGCTGTCATAATTTCTCAACACCAAACGACTTGACCCGCGTGCGTTTTATGTAGGTACGCCCTTATTATTACGCCGCCTAATTGATGCCGCGCCCCGGTGTAGCGCATACTTTGACATTAAAATGATCTGTCGCGTGCTCAGTGTGTTCACGCGACGTGATATGCTCCAATTTTGTGTGTGACCTTAAAGCGTACAGGTATACATTAACGACAATGTAAACATTAACCCAATACCCAGATAACTTATTGACAAGACAACTGCGCATGGTATTAAAGCGTGTCGCTCCTAGATAAGTGAATAAATAAATATCCTTGGACATTTTACACTGCGCCTCTACTCCCAAACTAAGCAGAGCTTGTTTAGGTTAACGAAAACTCATTAGTTTTTCAACTATCTCACAGTCCGATGGTGTAGTGGCGCGGTGGATCGCTAACCCTAGTGCTACCAGGTTCGATTCCCAGTCAGCTCGAAAAAATCTGGTTTGGTTTAGTCAGTTTTTTTATAGATTGACTTCAAATTAAAAACACTTTTCAATCAAGTGATTATGGTGGGCAATTAGCGTTGTTAAGTTAAATTAACAATGTTTATTTGACATTACAATGTCAAACAAAGTTAAAATATACAAAATCATAGCCTACAACTGGAATCAAGAATAACACAAATACAAACAATGTCATAAAACCTATAAAAGAAAGAACTACTCACATTCAGTGATGAAGAAATTGAGCAGAGTCAGCGCTACAGTGTGTCCTGAGAACATGTAGTCGCCACAGGTGCGCACGCCGCGGACCGACATGCCGGCGCCGCTCCATATGTCGTAGGCCTGCCGCAGGCGCCGGCCCCACACCGTCAGGTCGTCCGCCGGCGGGTAAGACCGAGGCTCGCACTTCAAGTGCGACCCCGGCACCGATAGAGACGTTATCAGCATTGTAAAACAACGCAGCAGGAAAACAGTACCGGCTAGGGCGAAAAACCGCCGGAGGATAATAAACCTGCAACGAAATTAATAAATTGTTGTCGATTCAAGGATAACATAACATGAAAGTCTATATGATACTAATCATACTGATTTACCAATTCATGATTTCCTTTTTGCATTTAGATTTATTAATAACCTATCCACTATTAACAGTGCAATCATAAAACCAAAGAACAGTATCATACATGATAAACGTTTTCTTGGAAAGTTATATCCGTTGTCTAGTACCTACCCATAGTTCAAGCTTTGCTTAGTTTGGGACTAGAAGCGTTGTGTAAAACGTCCAGGGATATTTATTTTTATTTTTTCTTGGAAAGTAGGTAAGTATAAGACCAAAAGTTTTCTAAACTATTCCACTATGCTTATCTGTAAACCGTTACTATGGTATATTAAATGTTCAAGGTTATTATACACAATCTGATTTTATTTTAAAGGCTATTGTTTAGGAATACTTAGAAAAACAATTCAGGTGTAGGTAGGTACTCTTTCACCTTTGTGTTCAGACTGCATACAATTGTTTTGTCAGCCATTGTTTTCACATTTTATTGATCTCTGAATACCAAAGTGTTTATACAATAAAAAGTTACATCATGCTACTGTACTAAAAGACTTGTAGATATTTTAGTTTCTTATCTGTATAAACAAGGGCTCTATAAATACACATTTGAGGCAATTAACTAAAATATTTTCATACAGTGTAACAAATAAGATAAAGAATTAATTAATGTATCACAATATTTACCTATGTTTATGGAAGAACAAAACAGTAAGCCATATGGCCAATAACAAAGAGCCAGTGATCTCACACATGTCAAAAGCCCAAGGAATGTGTGGAACGTTGTCCAAAAATAAATCCGGCAGCGGCGGATACTTCTTCATGTCGGGCACCTTGTCGTGCACTATCACCATCACAACCGCGGTCACCCACGTCACAAGGAACACATAGCCTGCCAACAGACAACAGATAGAACTCAAATAGGAAGTTTACAAAATATCAAATCATGTTTGTTTACACTTGCGAGACATTGACATTGTAGATGGCATCTTGGACACAATCCCAGTTTATTAATCACACGATTATTTGTAAAATTATGCTGCAGGAAAAGTTATATTTACCCAAGGCTATCGCTGTCTTCCACACTTCAGGCTTCAACTTGGAAGCCTTTACATCTGGGGTGAATGTCGACACAAATTCTGGATTTCTTCCACGTGAATATTCCGTCGGAATTTTGTTATGAAGATTGTAACTTAAATGTGACAAATTAGTACCCAGAAAATTTATATTTGTTGACGCACTGGCGAGCATTTGATCGTCACATAAACCTAGTTCGTACATAGCATTGCGATTATTTCTTTGTAACTTTTTAACGAGAAGTATGAAACGTTTCCTTTCGCCCAACTTGAGCTGATCAAAAGGATATTCATAAAAGTCCCGATCCACGAAAGATAAAAGACACTGTCCATCTAAATCATGAGTTCTACAGATATCTGTCACAAGGCCGGAAATCTTCTCTTTATGTAATAAATCTTGCACTTCTTTGTTAGTCCAGTTGATGATATCCGATTCCATTGTGGCTGAACTTATGTATTGGTAATTGTCTTAGACGCACATTTGCACTTTAAATATTTTCCTTGAATAAATTTACTGTAGTAGAAACTATCAAGTCTAAAGATACAATGAAGTTTACTAAGTAACTGTACTTAATTTATTTAAAATTTAGAAATTCCCTTGCAAATGCAATGCAAACCAAACTGACACAGACAGTATTGACCATAGAGAAAAGTAATACATAGGAAATAGAGAACCCTCTCTGTCAAATTTTTGAGCCTACTAATTGACAGCCTGGTGTTAAATTCGCTGTACTTAACCTACGTACGTAACGCTCACATACACACATAGTACACGCACACATCCATACATAAAGTCCACGCACACATACACACAGTTCACGCACACATAGGCCCTCATAAACTTCAAAGAATTATTGTTTTTTTGATGTACAATGTAGAATTTTTTCAAATCCATTATTTTGAAAGTATTTATCTTTATGGTGTACGTATTGTATTATTTTCAAAACAATGGATTTGGAAAAATTCTACATTGCACATGGAAATGCAAATAAACAAAAACTTTTCAATTTAATAATTTTACTTTATTTATGAACACACATAATATTATACACCAAAAGCGTCTTTTCGCAAAGTTTTCAACAACACTAAAAAAGCATTTGCACTTTGAGAAAACTCAGATCACTTGTTAACATAACAGAAAGTTTCTTCGCGATTCACGAAGGAACGAACAAAACTCCGATGAACCAGAACAGCAGCAGGTACGAAGGAATGAACTTGAATTTGACTCGACTCTTCAATACTTTAATAGGGCCACAGAACTCATAAACGATGGCTAAGAAAACAAGAATGCATTCAACCTAACAAAAACAACACCGGCCATTTTGGAGGAAAAACAAAGTTGCCATATGTTAAATAGTAATTTCTACTACTCTATTAAGTAAATTATAACAAAAAATGTCACCGTTCAGTTTTAAATTAAAACAAATTAATTTCATTTTAAAAAAAGTTTTCACATTGTAATTAACAATATTCTGAAATATATTTTAATTAAGAAAAAAATGAAAATATGAAGGAAACAGGAGCAGCGACATGCGTTTTAGGGTAGTTAAAAAGTATTGCTTCCTCATTGTTTGTTATAGCATTGCTGCAAAATCTGAAAAGCTTTTAAATATTTTAAGATGTGTTTCTGGAGTCTGGTGGGGTGCTCACCCAGCGTCATTAAGACTTTTATACAATGCTATTATAAGAAGTGTACTTGACTATGGCAGTTTCTATCTAGAGCCTTGTAATTTAGTTGGTTTAAGTAAATTGGATGCGATTCAATCTAAAGCGCTAAGGATTATAGCTGGTGCTATGAAATCGAGTCCAATTAATGCCTTGCAAGCTGAATGTGTTGAGCCCCCAGTGAAATTACGCCGCCAATATTTATGTGACAAGTATCTTTTCCGTGTACTTCAATTTGCTGACCATCATAAATATAGCAAACTCAACAGACTTAATGATTTAATTGATACTTCCTCTTATTGGTCACGTAAATCTCCTCCTTGTGTGATTATTAGTTTTCGTAAATTTATATCAATCCAAGCCCCAGTCTACAGAACCTCCTTTCTTCCGATCATCATCAACAGCCCTTTACAGTCCACTGCTGGACTATGAGCCTCCTCCACTATGGTGGAGGGATTTGCCATAATCTCCACGCTTGGCAGGCGGGTTGGAGATCGCAGTTTAAAAGATTGATGTTTTTCAGAGAGCGCTGCTGCCCATTCTCTGTTTGTTGTGTAGTCCCTAAGTCGCCTCTTACGACACCCGCGGGAAGAGTAGGGGTTGGTGACAAATGTATTCTACTCTGCCGTCACCACACGGCGATTCTTCCGATATTTTCTGTTGAATCCCTTATTCTTACTCCGACAATTCATTTCAACCTAGACATACATAAGGATGACTACAATGCTAACATTAAGTTCAATCAGATCGTAGACGAACACTGGGGCGATTGGCATCATATCTATTGCGATGCATCTAAGCACTCTCCAACGGGTCATGTTGGCGTTGGCGCATACCATAAACAATATCATATTGTCCAGAAAATAAAACTCCCTCCAGAATCATCAGTCTTTACAGGAGAATGTTTTGGCAGCCATTCCCAAAGCTTATCTCAAATCTGCCTGGGATGAGAATTGGGAGTTCACTAGCCAATCTAAGGGGAAACATTACAAGCTCATTCAACCATCCATCCTTTGTAAACCATGGTTTGTTAAAATGAATCTTTCCAAAACAGTTACTACCATTTTAACTAGAATGCGACTTGGTCNCCACAGAACTCATAAACGATGGCTAAGAAAACAAGAATGCATTCAACCTAACAAAAACAACACCGGCCATTTTGGAGGAAAAACAAAGTTGCCATATGTTAAATAGTAATTTCTACTACTCTATTAAGTAAATTATAACAAAAAATGTCACCGTTCAGTTTTAAATTAAAACAAATTAATTTCATTTTATGAAATGAAATGAAATGAAATATATTTATTTGCTTCAATCTTGAGTAATACAGTAAGGTGTTCTTAAAATAGTTTGTTCGTCAAAATCTACTTATATAAAAGCATGCAAACATTTTACATAATAATTTAATAATATATAATATTCAATTTAATACATTAATATAATTTTAAAAAAAGTTTTCACATTGTAATTAACAATATTCTGAAATATATTTTAATTAAGAATAAAATGAAAATATGAAGGAAACAGGAGCAGCGACATGCGTTTTAGGGTAGTTAAAAAGTATTGCTTCCTCATTGTTTGTTATAGCATTGCTGCAAAATCTGAAAAGCTTTTAAATATTTTAAGATGTGTTTCTGGAGTCTGGTGGGGTGCTCACCCAGCGTCATTAAGACTTTTATACAATGCTATTATAAGAAGTGTACTTGACTATGGCAGTTTCTATCTAGAGCCTTGTAATTTAGTTGGTTTAAGTATATAGATGACCCACGCTGAACTGTCCCGCCAAACTCAATGACAGGGGGGCGCTACCATCGTTCAACTATATGGTTTCCAACATGGCAAAAATCTGAACTGTCAATGTCATCGACACTGTCCTGTCGATGACATTGACAGTGGGGCGCCACCGTCAATACCGGATCGCTGGTTCAGATTTTTGCCATGTTGGAAACCATATAGTTGAACGATGGTAGCGCCCCCCTGTCATTGAGTTTGGCGGGACAGTTCAGCGTGGGTCATCTATACCTTTTCACTTTGACTATGAGCTTAGAGATTCAGCCTTTTTGGTTAAGTGCGAGCGGTGCAGGAAGCAGGTAAAAAGTAAGCAAAACAACGAAAATTCATTCAGAATTATTTAAGAAAAATAAGATTTATTACGAAACAATACAAATTAAGATTAAAACTGGGAATTTTACAATAATAAGAAACTTAATAATCATAGTTACTTCAATAAAAATCAACATTATTCAGTTTAATTAACAATATGGTACGGAATGACACTTAAAATGCAATACAATTAACATTAACAATCGAATATCACATAACCACGAATACGGCGGACTTAATTATTATTACACACTTAAATAATAAAAACAAAATAATGAGTTTGTTGAAGAAAGAAGATTCTTGAAAGAAAATCAAATGGATTGAAAGAAACCGCGAGTCGACAATTACTTGAAGTTGAACTTCACTTGAATCAGGTACTTGACGTTCACTTGTGCCACGTCGTACACGATGAATCTGTAAATGCGTGCTCAGGAAAATATTGTAATTAAAATATGTAGCGCTATCACGTAACACGATATATGCGTAATGGGTGTACCCTAGGGAAATCAGTTTTTTTGGCAAACTCCCCCATAATCTCCATGACCACCTGTTATACGGGCATTTTTTGGAGTTTATCAAATAACCAAAAAAATACGAATTTAAAAGCAGATTTTTTTCAAAAAGTATCATTTTTTATTATTTGTTGACCTTTTTTGTGTATTTTATGTATTTTTTTAGTATCGCCTGTTATTTAGCATTATTACTGTTTTATTTTATCAGGATATACAGCTTAGTTTAAAAGTTATTACGTTTTCTTTACAATAAGTAATTGGAAGAAAAAAAATTCTATAAAAAAAATCTCAAAATTTTTTTGACCTCTTTTTTGTCGATAAAAATAGTTCTAGTTTCATCTATTTTCATATGTACACTGTAACGTGACTCACACTGTAGAAATATCACGTCTGTCGCCACGTCCCTACAACAGCCTGTATTACAAAAGGATACTCGTTGTACAGCAGCGAGGTGTTGATGTTCCTGGTGACGGGCGCGCCAAGCGGCACCAGCGTGCCGTCGGGAAGCGTGCGAGCCGCCGCCGGGTCGGGCTCCGTGCGTCCGCGGCCCCAGAGAGAATGCTTGCCCGCCGGCGCTTTCTCCACGTACTCGGCTTGGGTGCACTCTTTCCTGCAAGCGAATATATGGTAAAGGTAAGAAGTAATTTGCTGCAAATTGCAGAAAAAGGCTAAGACAAAGGCTTGGTTTTACTTTTTCGCATTAAAAAGATTTTGCACGGTTTGACGGTGAGTGCCTGAAAGGAACTCCTTTTATTGTTCGGTTGATCTTTATGAGGTTAGGTTGGCAGCGTAAAAACAGGAGCCAGAAGTGAAGTCCTTAAAATAAAGCTTTGAAATGTCATAAAGTGTATCTAGATGAAGTCAACCGAATCTGCGTTCACTGGTCGGCGCCATTGTAGAATGAGCTCCCGTGACTCGCCAGTGGTGCCAAGCGCCAACACCCAAAACACTGCATTTTGGCTCAGGAATGGGACCAATAGGGCTGCTGGGGTGCGCGCAGCAGTAGTTGGCGGCCTGCGACATATATCCGCGAGTATATGTCCCGACATGTCGCGCGTCATACTAACATGTTCCCGAGCGCGACCTCGCGCAGCAGTAGTTGGCGGCCTGCGACACATGTCCGCGAGTATATGTCCCGACATGTCGCGCGTCATACTAACATGTTCCCGAGCGCGACCTCGCGCAGCAGTAGTTGGCGGCCTGCGACACATGTCCGCGAGTATATGTCAATAATAATAAGTACTACGTACAGAAGTTTTACTTCGCGAAGGTATTTAAAAAAATGTATGCTCAATGTCATTAACAATATGGTGTAATTTAGCCTGTCTCAAGAGTCAAGCACCATTTTGTTGACAAACGTCAGTGATCGGCACTGCGCCGAAGCTATAGGGCTGACTTCGGTAAAATGATGTGACGTGAGGTGCCAAACTGCGGAAAATGGCGGAGGAAATACATGATTTAGCATGAATTATCATGAATAATATTAACTACTTATTTACCTCTCAGTGTCTTGAGGCAACTTAAAAAGTACATTCTGTGTTTTTCTTATTATTTAGGCAGTTAAATACTGCACAGTATTTAGTACACCATTTTCTTTATTTTCTTCCATCATACACAAGAATACGCGTGCGTGAGTCAATGTTCGCTCGTATGTGAGGCCTTGTCGAATAGTATCCTGTAGGTGGGCCATCGTGCGTGTTTTGTTTTCGATGTAAACTCGCGGAGATGAACAGGCCTGGTCATACTAACATGTTCCCGAGCGCGACCTCGCACAGCAGCAGCAGGCCGGCGGGGCTGCTGGGGTGCGCGCAGCAGTAGTTGGCCGACTTCGACACCATGTCGGCGAAGTACACGCCTTTGCCGAACATGTAGCCCGTCACTGGGGCCTCGGGCGGCGCGATGCGCAGACCTGGGGATAGTTACATTGCAGTTAGTTCATGTACAGGTGAAGCAGCGGTTGTAAAACACCGCTTCTGTTCCCAAAATAAGGTTAGGACGGTTTTAACTCCCTAATGAGCGTAGAGTCCCTTATCCCCAAGATGCTTTAGGTCCGGTTCATACCAAGGCGGAGCAGAGAAGTGTTTTGAATAACCAATCAGATTTCATTATTTCCACATCTGTCCGCTCCGCGCCGCGCCTCCGCTGCTGTCAAATTCTATAGAAAAATTAGTCTGCCCGACACATCTCTCTTCTCTGCCTTGTTCCGCCTTGGTGGAAACCGGGCCTTAGCCTTATGCCCCACCTAACAATAGATACGTAGATAAAGTGAAGGATGCAAGGATTCCCTAGAGCAATAGCATACATGATACTACATCTTGGTACCTTACAGTCACGTCTTCCTATACAGTTGACTGATTTATCATACGATACGATGCTGTTATGTACTAGAAGTTACAGACAATACAGGATGGAGTTGGATATGTCAACGTGAAATTGTGAACTCTGTCAGTTTATAATATAACGCGTTAGATTGTAAACTAACAGTGGGTTAGGTTAGGTTAGATTGTAATTTAACTACGTCAGATTATAATCTGACCAAATTCACAATTTTACGATGACAGATATAATGCACATTTCATGTTACTTTGCAGTGATCAAGTGGCATACCTNGCGGCTATGGCAAAGCGCGACCGGGCATTCCGCAACTTCAAGGGTGACCGTTCTATTGACAAGTGGAACGCGTACAAATACGCCAGGAACCGCTGTAACAACTTGACCAGAGCTGCGAAGCGCCGTCACTTTCATGATAGTGTGCTATCTTCTTCTAGCTCCGACGTCTGGAAATTCTTAAAATCACTGGGTCTTGGTAAGGCTTCTTGTAGTAATGCCCCTTCCTCATCCTTCACTCCCAACGAACTCAACTTACACTTCTCTTCGGCCACTCTCTTGGATGACACTACCAAACTCTCTACGATCTCTTACTTAAACTCTCTTCCTATTTCTTCTCCAAGTTCCTTTTCATTCTCCCCTGTCACCGTCGATGAGACCAAAAAGTTCATCCTCTCTATAAAATCAACAGCTGTTGGCCCGGATGAGGTTAGTAGAGCGATGATACTCATTATCCTGGACGACTTACTTCCTGTTATCACCCATATCATCAACTCCTCATTTGATCGTGGGTGTTTCCCTTCCACTTGGCGACTCGCCCATGTCATCCCTTTACCCAAACTCTCCAACCCTACCGCATTAAACCAATTTCGTCCTATCTCCATTTTACCCTTTCTCTCTAAAGTCCTCGAAGCTGCTGCTCACAAGCAATTCTCTAAATTTGTTCTAGAAAACCATCTCCTCAGCCAATTCCAGTCTGGCTTCCGCCCGGGACACAGCACTACCACTGCACTCTTGAAAATTGTTGATGACGTCAGAGCCGGCATGGAGGAGTCACGCGTTACCGTTCTTGTATTGATCGATTTCTCTAACGCCTTCAACACGGTCGACCATGACATCCTTGTTGCCATTCTACTCCACCTCGGAGTCTCATCACCGGCCGCGGAATGGTTCTCATCCTATCTACGCGGTCGGAGACAGGCGGTGCGATTCGGTCGAGCATACTCGGAGTGGAAGGACCTTGCTACCGGCGTACCTCAAGGGGGCATACTCTCACCTATCCTTTTTTCCGTCTTCATCAACATTCTTACTTCTCACCTTTCTTCATCCTTTCATCTCTACGCTGACGACCTCCAACTCTACGTGCAGGCTGACCCTTCTGAGATATCTGATGCGGTTTCGCGGCTAAATGCTGATCTACACAATATCGCCGATTGGTCCGGGAAGTTCGGTGTGAGGGTCAATCCTGGCAAGTGTCAGGCGATAGTGCTGGGGAGCTCCAGGCAACTGGCTAAACTGGATCTGGGATCGGTCCCTAGTGTTGTCTTTGACGGAGTTGTCGTTAACTTCTCTCCATACGTAAAAAATCTCGGACTCTTCATTGACAGCACTCTGAGTTGGTCCCAGCATGTCAGGGAAGTCAGTAGGAAGGTGATCGGCTCAATGCGGGCACTCTACCGCTTTAAAAATTTCCTCCCTTCCAGCACTAAGATCTTACTTGCTCAGTCTCTGATCCTGCCTATCCTCGACTATGGTGATGTATGCTGTACGGACATCTCACAGGAACTTTTAAACAAGCTGGACCGCCTTTTGAACAACTGCATCAGATTTATCTTCGGTCTCCGCAAGTTTGACCACATCTCACCTTTTCGCTCGCAGCTTGGTTGGCTTCCCATCAGACAGCGTAGATATCTTCGTTCACTTTGTATGCTTCATTCAATTCTTTTCAATCCCGGCTCTCCATCTTATTTAAAAGATAAATTTCAGTACCTCCACTCCACTCACAATAGAAATCTTCGCTCTAGTCAGTCTCTTCAGCTTGCCACCCCTCATCATAGCACTGGCTTCATGTCCAACTCTTTCTTAGTCTCCGCTGTACGGCTCTGGAACGGCCTTCCGGCCAAATTACGCAAACCTTCTTCCAAATTTACTTTCAAAAAGGCTTTGCGCAAACATTTCAAGAAATGACCTTTTTTTCTCCATTTTCTCGCTATCTCAGACATGAGTGATGTGTACATCTATATTATTATTATGTTTATGTATTTATGTGTATGTCTATTATATTTATTTGTATTATGTTATTTATTTTATGTAATCTTATGTAAGTAGGTTAAATTATCAAAAAATGTAAATTTTTTGCACCGCCTTACTCTTTCTGCATGACCCGTGGTTGACTGGCAGAGAATGCCATCCGGCATTAAGTCCGCCACAGTGCATTTGTTACTTTGTGTGCTGAAGTATAAATAAATAAAATAAATAAATAAATACCTTGCGAGATGATGCCTGCGAAGTTGGTGACGCGCGAGCCGTGCCACAGCAGGCGGCGGTTGTGCAGCTTCTTGAAAGGCTTGTAGCGCTTGTCCTCGCCCTCCCGCAGCACCTTGAACACCTGACGCCCCGCGAGGGTCACGGTCAATATTTGTCATATTCATTTTTATTTTTATGCGGTTTGCTTTAAATGATTTAAAATATTCGAATAATAATTTCATAAGCTGGGGCAGGAAAGTTCTTGAGTGGCGACCACGAGCTGGAAGACGTAGCGTGGGCAGGCCTCCCACTAGGTGGACCGACGATCTGGTGAAGGTCGCGGGAAGTACCTGGATGCAAGCGGCGCAGGACCGGTCTTTGTGGAAATCCTGGGGGAGGCCTTTGTCCAGCAGTGGACGTCTTTCGGCTGAAACGACGAAGTGATGATAGATGAATGATAAACTCCCAACTTCACATAAGAATGTAACTAAACCAAAGATTTTCCCTAACTTCTCTGGCCAGCTTAGGAAGTGTAGGCCTAATTCTCCATTCGGATAAATTAGAGGGGGTCCCCTTCAAGTGGAGACTAAATGACGCAACGGCGATGACGATTTGTGATGCTTGATATTTTTAAAAATAATATACGGTGGCACGTCAAGCAAAACACTGACAAACTGTTGCAATAGGGGCGAGTTTGCAACAAAAATGTAAGGTTGTGATGTAACCTTAACCTTTTTTCAGGGTTGTATCCGCGCCTGCAGGATTACTCACACATTGTATAACTGCCTAAATTGTAAGACCTATAAATGTGAATGCTAATGTGGTTATGCAATAAAAGTATTGAGTATTGAGTACTCCAAAATGCTGTTTCGGGTCGTGCCATCTCGCTTTGCCTGAGAGGGATAGCAACATTTGAAACTTCGTTAACGTTTTTCAGAGTAACCCCGCTGTATTAAAACGTTGGCAACACTCACGTGGTCAATTTCCAACGTGTAGTGCGAGTGGGTGGCGGCGTGCGTGTTGGACAGATAAGTGGCGATCATCTGGTACTCCTCTGAGGAGCAGTCTAGGGGCCCGATCTCGGCCTTCAGCTTCTTGTAGTGCGCGTCTAGGGGACTGTCGCCTTCTTGAGGCTCTGAAACAAGTTGTAACTGTCTTCAGTTAGAGAAATAAACTGTCTTAGAAGCACGGTGTCCCAGCATTTTCGTCGTATTGAAATGGATTTACACCCGTATTTACAAACAATGCTGCTTAAGTGACGCAGAAAATCGAACGCACAGCGTTTAATAGAGCTCTGTGATTGGTTTGTTTGTGACTATGTGCGTCCACGCGCACTGTGAGACCTCATAGTATGTATGAATACGGGCGTGTAAATAATATTCGTTGCTGTGTTAACTTTAGAAAAAAATTACGCATATTCACGAACAAAATATAAACAGCGACGAATAATGGCGCCAATATGTTTAATAATAATATTATGCGTTAAATAGCATTGTATTATAAAAATTCAAATATTATACCCCTGTTTGTCAGAGCTTAGAGAAGATGGGGAAACTCCCATATTGTAAAAAACTTACCTGTTTTCATTAGACTGTAAGCAATCTCTATTTCCAACAAGTTGTCCAGCATTTCTGTTTTGCTTCTAATCAAATCGACGTTGTCCAACAACGGCGGGTTGTTCACTCCAAAGTCATGTGGAATCAATGTGAAGAATCTACAACAAGTATCAACATTTTAATTTTTATCCTTGATTGTAATTAAAAATATCATAACAAATACACAAAATAACAAACATTAATAATTTGTACATACCTATTTGTAGCGTCGACTACTTTGTTCTGGTTGATTTGGCCTTTTTCAAGGAGTTTGATCAGTTCCGATAATACTTGATATCCAGCTTTAATTTGCTTCTTTGATAGTTTTCCCAGTGGCATTTTCTCTGTGTCAAGCTGTAAAAAGTGTGTGACAATGAATAATACAGTGTGTTTCTTATAAGGTCTGAAACTGGTGTTAGGAGAAGTTGGACCTTGCATCAACTTGACAATGTTTTAAAGAGCGCAGTTCCTTTTTTCGCAGATTCCTGCATAAGATGCATAGCGATTAAACGCGCATTGCATTGCGGTTCTACGTAATCCACGGCAAGTGCGCATTAAATGCAATGCGTTTTCTTTACCGTATTCCGCCAAAACCAAACACATCACACGCGTGTGTAAGGCCCGGCTTCTACCAAGGAGGCGCGTGCAGAGAAGTTTTTTGAATAACCAATCAGATTCCATTATTTGCATATCTCCACTCTTCTCCGCTACGGTGGAAATGGATCGAGCGGAGAAGTGCCCGGCGCACATGTTTTTCTATATAGAATTTGACAGCGGCGGCGGTGCGGTGCGGCAGTAGACTGACAGCTGACAGCTACTCCTCATAGATCACGCATTTCCTCCGTCTCCGCTTCGGATTGGTGGAAATAGTGCCAGCTTCGTCGCACTCTCTCGTCTTCGCACCGCTCCGCCTTGGTAGAAACCTAATTGTATACATTACACCTTTGCGGCTCTCAATCACTTCTACCACGTCTCTAACCCCCGTCTTTTCTCTGATCCACTCGTTCCTTTTGTGATCTTGTAGGGAAACGCCAAGCATCTGTCTTTCCATTGCTCGTTGTGCGACTCGGAGTCTCTCAGCAGACTTTTCTGTCAGCGTCGATGGAGATGGAGTTGGGGATGGATGGGCAGGGCACATTGCACGGATGAACCAGGATCGCTGGGCCAGAAAGACCCTAGAGTGGAGACCCCGCAACAACACCCGCGGCAGGGGAAGACCGCCTAAACGGTGGACAGACGATATCCGGCAACAGGCTGGAGTGAACTGGATGCGTGTGGCCAGGGACAGAAGTCGGTGGAGGGTTGAAGAGGAGGCCTATGTTCGAAGGCGAACCCAAAGGCTACTATTTATTTTATTTTACTTTATTCGGAAAACAAACAGTGTTAATTGACTTATTAACTATCTGAATATAAAGCTTTACACCTATATAGATAGATAGACACCTTTGCACTCATGAAACGTACCTCAAACTCCACTCATCTATTACCACCTGCTTAAAAAGAATCCTGTATAAATGCAACGTACCTCAAACTCCAGCAGCACCTTCTTCATAGTATCCACGTTGAAGATCTTGACGATGAGCTGTTGAACGGGCGCGGGCAGCGCGCACGCGCGGTCCTCGGCCAGGGCCGCCGGCGCCGCTTCCTCGTCGCCGTAGTCCACGTCGATGGGGTAATAGCATTCGGGGAACTGGTAAGGCAACGCAAAATGGTTTCAAATTTAATGAAACTATTTTGAAACGTCAAATGGCAAAGATCGGAAATAGTAACCCGCATTGATAGTAGCGCCTTCCTGTAAATGATATTTTAGTATTTTCCAAACGTGGCAAAATTAGGAACCAGGGATCGGTATCGACAGTGACGCCGCCATTTCAATGTCACGGGTGGAAAGGTTCAGTGTAGGATATCTATATTCAATTTTGACCAGTAATTTGACACTTCGTCGTTCGTTTCTTGACTTGAGTGGCAACCACGCGCCGGAATACGTAGCGTGGGCAGGACTCCCACTAGGTGGACCGACGATCTGCTGAAGGTCGCGGGAGGTGCCTGGATGCGAGCGGCGTAGGACCGTTCTTCGTGGAAATCCTTGGGGGAGGCCTTTGTCCAGCAGTGGACGTCTTTCGGCTGAAATGAACGAACGAACGTTCGTTTCACCCAAATGACGCCTATTGCTGGTCAAATGTCTCCCCCAAGGATTTCCACAGTGAATGATCGGTCTTGCGCCGCCCCCATCCAGGGCCTAGGCACTTCCCGCGACCTTCACCAGATCGTCGGTCCAACTAGTAGAAGGTCTGCCCACACTACATCTTGCGGCTCGTGGTCGCCACTCGAGAACTTTTCTGCCCCAGCGACGATGATATTTCGTAAAACTTGGGATAGTTTTCTAATCCCTCGAGTTGCGAGCGAAAAAGACTTTCTGTGACTGGCCAAAATTCACACGGGTGAAGCCGCAGATAAAAGCTAGTAATATAAAAAAACAGATAGTACTTAACCTTTGCGCTTTAGACTTTCTTTCTTTCTTTTTGTGCAAATGCGGGTGGGTGAAGAAAACTCATCGCGCCGGAGCAGACGACGCCGCATCTCTTCAGTCTGCCCGCGACCATGACTCGTGCAACCGAGCCGAAACGTCAGGAGGGTAAATATTTTATTTACCGTTAAAATAGATATTGTTGCAATAAATCCCGTGAAGTGATAATTTTCTCATTTCTGTGAGCCTTCAAGCATTTTATTGTAAAGAATTGTCGTGACGTTCTGGAAACAACTAAACTCACCTTTACAAAGTGGTGGCGTGCCTCCCATGGGTTTTGAGTTTTCTCCAAGTAGAGTTCCTCAAACTTGTGGATGGCGTCATGAACAGACGAGCAATCCTCGACCTTGTTACCTCCAATGGTAGTTCCGATGCGGCCCCATGAGCGGAACACCCAGAATCTTAAAACGAAATAACAATTATAGTTATAGACAAAAGCATTTACTTTTTGTCTGTTATTGGGCTATCTAAGTAACTTATTTAATTTTAGTTGAGGTCATTGTGCGGTAAAACTAATGCTGTATCATTATGAAATTTACTTACACGGAGTCAAGGATGTGAAATAAGTGAAAATAAGTTCTAATAAAATAAAGCCCTTTATTTTTATTTCAAGTAGATGTATGAACTTACTTCTGTTTTGAGTTGTGCTTCAATATTTGTAGCTTGTAGTAGGAGTTCTTCTTTGCAACGATATCAGTTTTGGACAAAACCACGGTATACTTTGTGCCGTCTTGATCCTTGTAGACGTGGGCGGTTTCAGCCAGGCCCGAATCGGGATCCACTGCGGTGCCTCCTAAAATTGGAATTGTATAAAGACTTTGTTATCTATGTTGTTGTGGAGAAGTGCCCGAAAGTTAAGCTTTGTATCTCAAAGCATAACTTTCGGGCACTTCTCAACTCAGCAGTTGACTGATAGTACTTGTGTCTAATACAGTATTGTCGTACACACACTGGTGTGCGAAACCCTTGAAGAAAATCTGCTAAAAGTAGGATACAATTAAACACTGACAGATGTAATTATAATGAGATCGCAAGTTATAGCCACGATAGCCCAACGGTGAAGTGGTCGGATTGGCCAACTCGAGATCCGAGGAACGCGGGTTCGAATCCCACCGCCGCTCGACTATTGTGGTGAGCCCACTCGTAATACAAGCTTGTTTAGCTTAACACGAGGGGCTAACGGGACTATTAGTAAAGTGTGCAACACAAATTGCTAATAATCTTTTTATAAATAAAAAAAAGTTGATATGCACATTTACGAAAGAAGGAGCAAGATTGTAAACTTGGAGTAAATTTTAAAGGCTCAAAAAGAAGTCGGTACATATAGCTGAACATAAGACGTGAAAAAATATAAGAAAACCTGACATGATGACCATAGAAAGTAGAGCAGGAAAAACGAAAAAAGGTAAAGTACACAATAAAACGAAACAAATGAAAAGTGAGTACATTTTAAGCTTGATTAGATACCTTGAATCTTTAATTTGACTGCCGATTTTGAAGACTTAACGTACATGCTGCCAGATTTAGGAATCGATTTCCCGTCAACGACATCTTGCGGAATACGTCTCTCTGGCTGAATAACAAAATAAAAATAAAATAAAAACAAAATAAGTGCATCTTTAGTTTCAAACCACGACTTCTTGCAGTTTATAAAAAAAGAAATTGATTATTTAATCGTCCAGAAAACTTACACCAGATCCCCATTCGGCGATGTTATGCTGCTTGATTAATTCCAACGTGTTGGAGACGGTTCCTGTCTTTGGGTCAATGAGATCGAAGAAAGCCTCATCAACAACCTGAACAATAAAAAGGAAACAATAAGTTAAATGAGCTACTGAGTAACTCAGTGTTAGAGCATTTACTAGGAAAATATAAGAGCGCTTTCACATTTAGGCGACTTTAGCAGTGCGACAAACGCGCGACAGACGCACTGCCGATAATTTCGTACTATATGTGCTTGTTCACGTAGGCACGCGAGGGCGCGGGTGCGGGCGCGGGAAACGTTGCGAGCTCGTGTTCACATTAACCACCAGGCGTTCGCGCGAGTGTGACGTACTATCGTTTCTAGCGACAAGTTCAAACTGGTTGAACTTATCTGACGTCGCGAGTGAAACGCGCGCGCCGCCGCTAGTTTGACATGAACACACACAAACATCTTCAACCGTTGAAATTACCGCGAGCGCTCCGCGCGCACCAGTCGCTAGCTTGCCCGCTAGTTAGACCGCATGTGCGTTTCGTACGTGAACACTTGGAATCACTACATATGTTTGATATTTCGTCACCGCGCCCGCCACCGCGCCCGCGAGTCAACGTGAACAAGCACTATGACAGCGGATGCCTGCCTTAACATTATAAAAATGCCGCTGCCGCGCTGCTGTCACGCTTCTCACGCCCTAATGTGAATGCGGCCTAAGACCGTGGGTGAGTTACAACCCGATCTAGTTAACTGCGCACCTGGTAGCCGTGACGTCACATCGACGCTCTGGTACGGACGGGGCGATCGCGGGAAAGTCGCATTCCAGCGAGGTGCACAATGAGGGCTATCGTTTTTATACTTAACAGTTGGCACCCCTGGCGATTGACAGGACCTTACTCTACAGTGGCGCCATCTTGATGAGTGCAAATGCGATAGTCCTCCTACCACTTTCGCGCTCACCAGTTGGTGCCACTGTCTTCGCTACTAGCAAGTGACAGGACCTTACTCTACAGTGGCGCTAACCGGTGAGCGCTAAAACGATAGCCCTCATTAGCTCGATCAGGTTGCATGTCTCACCCATGCCAAGACTATTAAGTGTAATGTGAAATGAATATTATGTATCCATTTTGAAGATGAATTACCTCCAAGTCTTTCTCTTTAATCTCGTCCATCTTATTGGGCATCCTCTCAACATCCTTCTCAGTGGAGACGACGGCCGCGAGCGTGTCAGTCAGCTTGTTGACCACGAGCCCGCCCAACTTCAGGATGCGATTCTTCATCTCCTCTTTGGGCGTCTTCAGCTTGCCGTATATGAAGAATTGCAAGTTTTTCAGCGGCGGAATCGGGATATCTTTTTTAACGCTGGTAAAAAAGTTTAAACATTAAAAATAACAGGATTATGATTTTGTTGCCAGGGCCATAAATGATCGAAAGGCATAGTGCTAATAAGAGCTTAGATTTATACAGGGTTATATGTTACGAGTGAACATCCTTGTAAGGGATTATAGTAAAATCATAAGGAGACAACTTACGATTTTTCCATACAAAATTAAAATCAAAATATCTTATAAATGGTTGACTTTGCCAAGGCATATACATAACAAAATTGGTTGCATATGAAATGTACTATAATCCCTTACAAAATGTTCACTTGTTACAAATCACCCTGTATACGACATTACCTTGGTCCTGCCTCTGACTTTACAGTCAAAATCACGGGTGGCGGCGGTGCAGCCATGAATTCACGAACGTCCACTTTTAGTTTATACTTGTTGAATATGGAACCTTCTTTGTATGCACTCGGCACTATCATTGGCTTCCTCTTTGGGTTTTGGGTGGTGTAGGTACATTTTGTCCATTCACTGACACTACCTGTAAAATAAAATGTAATTTTAAATAGGGGTCAAAATACTTTGTTCTATTTAGATAGAATATAAATAAAAGGCAGTACCTGTGCATTTATATCCATAAGTTTCTAGTACAAGTTGTCCTTCTCTACATTCTGGGCAAGCTTCAAGAGCGCCAAATGCCATGCAATCTGCTAGACGGTCCAAACACTGGAACAAATCGTTAAAGAATAGAAAAAAGTTTTGTATACTAAACTAATTATTTAAAAATATATAAAAATTAATTGAGTAATACCTCATCCTTGCCTGCAGGAAGCGCTTGAGAATTTTCTTCTAGTAACTCATGCAAATCACTCTTTGATAGTTGGCTCAACAAATTACGATACTTGAAGTATAATTTGTTTTGTTTTTCCATCTTTTTCTCTTTCTTTTGTTCTTCCTTCAACTCTGCAGCATCTTTAGGTTCGTCCTTCAATTTCTTCACTGGAACTTCATCTGTCTTCAATGGTCTGTTGAGAAAAAAGATAATTTTAAATATTATAAGACAGCATCAAAGCTAACTAAAAGATGCAAATTTTAATAAACTATGCTTACTTGATTTCTTCACAAACCATCTTCTGATCGTCACTAGATAAGGTTTTGAAACCTGGCAGACTTTCTCCTCCCGCAAAGAACAATAGGTCATTCCTGCATTCGGCGAAGCATTTCACATGGTGCCACAGCGGCTGCCCGCCGTATTTACTGCCCACTTCTGTGTCAAACACAGTTTTACTTATGCGAACTTCATCCTAAAATTTATTTAACACCTTGTAGACAGTCTATTATTGAAGTGAGGTTTGTTAGATTACATGTAGAGATTTGTTATTAATTCATGAATGATGAACTTTCTATAGACCAGCAAATTAGTTATTATTAATTCATTGGCCACCAGCAAAAATTTATTACATAATGATGGAAACTACTTCATGAATAGAATATGTTCCACATACAACCAAATACCCTTTATTTTATTTAGAGGCATGACATCCTAAATCTGCACTGGAGAATGTAGAAATACACAAATAAGTAGTATTCTCAGTGGAGGAGACACTTAACAAAGGGACTGATTGCAGATAAAGCACAGGAAAACAAAAAACAGCATTATTAGTTACCTTACAGATCTTAATTTCACAATGCCTGCAGGTCGCCCGGCTACTCTTTGAGTATTCAACAGCGAAGTCTCTAAGCGCGCCAGTTGGCGCAGCAGACGCAGGTCTTTTAGCTGCCTTCCCTTTTTTTCCTTTCGCACTTGTTTCTGGCATTACAATGCCAGATGACTCTTCTACAAATTAGATATGAGTGTTCAAAACCAATGAAAATAATACCTATTAAAAGTATTTTTTAAAGTATATTTTTTAATACACTGTTTTATTTTCATACTGAAGTTCAATTAATTAAAAAAAATGTCTTTCCTTACAGTCATTTAGCTTTGAGAATTGGATATTTTATTTATTTAGTTATTTTATTTTTATTTAGGATAACAAACAATATTGTACAATTCAGATATAGAAATAGTAGTTAGCACTACTCAAGTAGTGGAAGTATAAACCCTTTTTATTTGATCAACTATAAACATTAAACAAACACCCTGTATAAAGCTGCTGCCGAAGAATAAAGCTAAACAATGCTTACCTATCTTAGCTTTGAGGTTCTTCTGATCCTGCATTTTGAGTCTATTAAAGTTGCCAATCTCAGTGTGGCTGGTGGGTCTCTGCTTGTTGAAGAAGCAGTCCTCATGGTACCAGTTGGGCTGCATACCATCATGGAAAGCACTCTACAAACAGTAAATAAGTGAGAGTACATAGTTAACATTAACAGTACACGCGCCCCCTTTTTTTTACACCACAATAAAAGCGCGGCCTACCCTGGTAAGCCAATTTAAAACACTGTAAATCAGTTTGTAAGCAATTTAGAAGCCACGATAGCCGAACGTAAAGGGTCGGACTGGCCGACTCGTGATCCGGGGAACGCGGGTTCGGTCTCCGCCGCCGCTCGACTACTGTGGTGAGCTCACTCGAGATACAAGCATATTTAGCTTAGTAAGAGGGGCTAATTTTAAAAAAAATAATGAATATAATTACTATGTAAATGATAAAAGTATTTATTATAGTTCTTTAATTTATAATAGATTCTCTAAATAACTATTTGGAATCAAAAATTTTTGGACTAAAATTGCACTCTGAGATCCATATCAACAATAAAAAATTACAGGAAAAATATGTTTTTTTATCTGTCATAGTATTCAAGACTTTTTGCTACACGGGGTAAATCCATTTGTTGCAAATCTTACCCCGTTACTCTGGTCTACTATAGTACGCCGCGTGTGTACTCTAGTGTCACGGTAATAATATCATACAGTATTGTAACTTCATATAAACCGACGAAACGCGAGCTTTCCTTCGAATTTCAAATCTCGGGATGTGGTCAAAATCCAAAAGTTAGGGGTGTCGCGAATGTGCCGAACGGACGTCGATGGCCTAGTGTTGAAAATGACTAAGGTGATTGAATTTGACTGACCGTCATTTACGATCTTTGTCAAAAACTAGTCATTAACTGTCAGAAATTGTCATTTTCAGTCAGTTTGATTTGAAATGAAAATTATAAAATATATTGTATAAAACCAGCTTTTGCCAACGATTTCGCCCGCCTGAAATTAAAGTAACAGGTCATTAAGTACTCATTATGATTAGTAGATTCAAAATTATTTTAGTATATTTTTTTAAATTAAATCTACTAATCACAAAACAACACGCATTTTTATCCTATTCCATTCACAAAGTATTTTTGTTTATCTAAATAAAAAAAATTACAATCACAAAACTAGATAGAAATTCTAAGTAGACAGATGTAATTTTATTAGAATGGGTACTGTAGGTAAGCAGCCCTATCGCATGTTGTCATACCGTGACATACCGCGGGGCCGTTGACATTTTTTTCAAAAATATGGCCGAGTTGGAATACTGTATAGATAGTATTACCGTGCTAGTGTTAAGTGATGGCATTCATGATGGAAATAAATTATTTGATTTGGAAATCCTTAAACTCGACGGTATTTTCTTCATTAAATTGCAGGTTCGAAGGCAATAAATATTTTTTTTTATTTATTTATTTATTTCAATATTTATTCATATTCAGTAGAAAACAAATACTTGTAATTCTTGTATATTCATAGTTATTGGTTATTACAAATTCTTATAAAAAAATCTTAATAATGTTTTAGGATATATTGTTTTTTCAATACAGCTATTTAAAAGACATTAATATATTCCATGTAAATCAATCTGATAAACCTTTCAGCCTCATCATTTCAGCCATAGGACGTAAACTGCTGAACCTTTACCATTGATTTTACTAAAATGTGTCTGATTTTGGTCAACAAAAACAAGTCATAAAAAATAACAGACTTCTATTGACTGCATGCAGATTTGGCAATAAATGGCATCATAAATGAAATAAAATCAATTGCTTTCAAATACAATTAAAGCTATATTATATATGTAAATCATAATAAATAGGTAAATGTTATTTTTCTTACTACGTAGAATACCGGATTCACGGATTCATGTACTAACCTGCACCATACGAGCTATGCGTAAGGTCCCTTGATCAATTTTCTGTTTACAATTTTTACATGAGGCTCGCCCTGATTTAGCATATTCCGCTTGAAAAGGAAGATCAGCCATTCTGATAGTAGAATATTGCTTTTATCAAACACTTGTATCTTGTTCAGCATTAACCGGCGGCCGGCGCGCAAAACATCCGCACGATTCTTTAGACATACTCTCTAATCTGTGGATACGATCGAAGAAAAACGGAACTGTTTTTTTTTTTTTTTTTTTTTTTTTTTTGGCTACGCTATGCCCAGAGATGGGTTTCCACCCGGGTAAAAACCCACATGAGGGTAAAAACCCAATAAAAACCCGTTTCATTCCACCCGTGGGTGTTTACACCGGGTGAAAACAAATAATTTTATAATTATTTCAATTGGTATCTTTTCTTTATTTTTATTGAATTTTTCTCATTTAAGTTTATTGATTAATAAGTAATAAGTCAAATTTAACACTAATATGCATTTATATCGTGGCCAAATCGTAAAATTGATCACGTTATGATGATGTGACCAATTATTTTATAAAATGGTGTTATTTCAAGAATCGAAATCAACTGCATAGTAAACAACCGCCATGATGGGCCGGATTCGGCCGATGTTGCCACATTACCGATACCTCAGAAATTGGGATTGTAATTCCCTGATTTGCCAACACATTAAGCCTAAATGGCCGACAATTTTGTGATTTTTTATTTAACTAGGTAATCTAAGTTACAAATATTAATTATTTATTTATTTAACTTCTTATTTGGTTAGTGAATTGGCTATTTCGAAGAATTTACAAGGAGATTTAAATAAGAAGATAGCAATACTACAGTTCACACTAAAAAGAGAGGTAGGGCCACAGAGAGCGAGATAGATATAAGTAGGTATTTGACTCAAGTTTTGTTCCAACTTTGCCCTCCATTTTTATCTGTAGCTTCATGGAGCTCATACGCTCATTTTTCGTGCATTATTTATTTTCTGTGGTGTGGTAGAACACAACAACCATAGAGCATCATGACAACAACTGAACAACAACAAAACAAAACGTCAAATGTCAATTTGCTGCATCAATCAATTTTCTGTATTTTGCACGGATAGGTATTTTGGGATCTCAATTTTTCTTTTTGCCGAGGTGCCAATTTTGTATTAAATATCTTACATTGGTGTTCAAATATCCAGCGTTTTATATTTAGAAAGTAATCAATAATAGTTTAGAACTAGAATGAGCAGAAAAGAGCATTTGAAAAAATCTCTTGGTATAACCGAGTACCCATGGAGTTCTGGTGCGTATTATGCATAAATGCGTATTTATTGGCATTAAATTTTCAAATTTACTTACTTAAATATCTTACATTGAATTAAAAACGCTATGGGAATATGAATGGATAATAATTAAGCTTGGGAGGGATGAGGGTTGGAAAAATGGTATTAAAATTTTGACACAAATTATTTTAGTAAAATAGGTACCCATTTTCCGTAATATTTATCGATTAATAACATTTTTACACTTAAATTACTGCTAGTTAGTAACTAAAACAATATTTGATGTTTATTGAGTTCATGTGAAGTACCTACCTATCATAAAATCGATTTTGTTGTTCTGAAGACATTTTGTTTGGTTAGAGGGTTGAGGATTATTTTCTTTACTTTTTTAGTATTTAAAAAAATAATAGACTAATCAGTTTCTATGTGTACTACCCACACATAGAACTGATGAAAAGGTAGATGTAAAACTTAGAAAAACTGTGAGCAGATATTGTTAAAAAATTGTAATGATGTTAGTAAAGATAGAGTATATGTCTGTACTTAAAAGACATGTTGTGGTGGTTAGATACACCCATAATATGCAGTTCATTTTGTTACCAGCAATCAATTGACATAATTTTTATGATATTTCAAAACAATGTTTCTTTATTTTACCTATTGAAAGAAGGCTCAAAGTGTATGAGTATTTAAAACACAAAATACCTACCTACATAGTATGAACTTCACTTGCCTAGCTTGCATGCTTGTATTCTACATAATTCTTGACTAAATTTCTTGTACTAGTCAATAAGCTGACAAAAAGACTTAATTATTTTTGACCACTTCTTAGAGGCAAAAATGACTATAATTAAGATTAAAGAGGGATGTTAAAAATGTTACAGATGACGAAGATCCTCATATGTCAGAAGTGAATATGCTGTTGAGGACAACCTACGAGAATCGGACCAGCGTTGCAGATATGCCTGGTACTAGTGGTAAGTGTAAACTTCTTTCTCAACCGTAATATTGTTTTGTTAATTTAAACAGGTTTTAACGCGATATGCAGGTAATACTGAATATTACCTGTATTTGCCTGATGTATGCATCATGAAAGTTTAAAATTAAATATTGTTTTGCTTCATTAAAATTACAATATTTACACTAATATTTTTTTAATTCAGGTCTACAACAGCTGCCTACACTGCCAACATCACCGATTATACCGGTTCAAAGGGTCCAAGTGAAGCAAGAGAGAGACTTATACTGGCCATTACACACGCACACACACACTCATACACATACTCATGCTCATGCTCATAAACCGATTGCTGGAACACAGTAAGTATTTCTGTAATATAATATCTTTGTTTTTTTTTAACTTGAATGATAAAAGCTAAAGCGAATTCACTATAAAAACAATCTGACCTTTGATGACCAACTGCTTTGCTCATACATTTGTGTTTTAGAGAGTACTAAATGTTTTTATCTATTTTATGGTACCCATAATGCAGGCTTTACTTAGTTTCGGTTTAGGCGGCGCAGTGTAAAACGTCCAAGGATAACATCAGTATTTGAGCCACAGGACCTCCACTGCTGAACATAGGCCGTCCCCAAAGATTTCCAGATTAGCTACATTTATATCTCTTTGCAGTCCATGTGCTCAAGTAATTTTCTGGTTGGCCACGGATACATTTATCTGCCGTGCCCCCACCAAGTCGAGCAAAAAAGCGGCACGGCCGTACCATCCTTTTCTCGAAGCAATAGCCCTCATTGCTTCGAGAAAAGGATGGTTCGGCCCTCGTTTTTATACTTAACAGTTGGCACCCCTGGCGATTGACAGGACCTTACTCTACAGTGGCGCCATCTTGATGAGTGCAAATGCGATAGTCCTCCTACCACTTTAGCGCTCACAAGTTGACGCCACTGTCTTCGCTACTAGCAAGTGACAGGACCTTACTCTACAGTGGCGCAAACTGGTGAGCGCTAAAACGATACCCCTCATTCAGGCCATTTTCGACCTAACTCTTTACAGCACATGCGGTGCCAGGATGCTGGACATCCAGCCAATAAGCCAGCCGTTCCCGATGCCGATGCGCTCTGTGATCCACACGCCGGCCGCAGAACTTCGCGAGGTGCGCCCTACGCCCGCTGAGAACATGCAACGGCTGTTCGCTTTCAAGAAGCTCACCAAGATTCTCCCACGGCAGAACCGCGCCGCCAATGCCGGTACGGCGACGCGTGGTAAGTGTTGACATTTACGTCCGTTTTCACAAATATTGCTATGAGGTCTGACAGTGCGCGTGGACGCACAGGGTGACATACCAACTAATCACAAAGCTCTATTCAACGCTGTACGTTCGATTTACTGCTTCACTTAAGCAAGTATCGTTTGTGAATATGGGCGTTAGATATTTTTCATCTAATGCAGGGGACGACAACCAGTGTCTTGTGCATGCAGCTTTTATTTTATCGTTGTCTCTTCAGTTTCTTATTTCAAAACCCAGCAAAAATTGTCTAAGCTGGTTACACTATAAGGTGTGTATGCCCTCTACTGCGGATGTCAAAAAGTGGCTTTTTCAAAACTTGAAAAATTTTAAAATTCTTATTTTGGCTTTTTTATCTGGAAAGTTTTCTTGAATGACTTGATCTAACAACATTCATTGTATCATATTAGCTTCTAAAAGCTACTTTTTAGTGGTGGTTGCTTTGTTTTGCTTTGCCACTGCGAACGTCACGGGGCACACGACATTATTACATAATCATTAATACAACCATTAAAATTTATTCTAGATTTGCAACATGGCTTACTTACTTATAATATACAGCTCTCTTCAAGTTCATAATGCTTACTAACAAATCAAACAACCTGTGTGCCCAGGTCCAACTAATAAAAACAGGCGCCACATTTATAAACTAATAGATTCCATTTTAACTCTGAAATAGAACCTTTGTGATACATCCTACTTTGTCATTACAATATTTAAAAATAGCTCACCAGCAAACTAAACAATCTCATTGCTCTTAAATTCAAAAACTCTCAGTTTGTCTTTACCACTCTTAGTTAACCAAGTGATGAATTGATATCGTCACATCATAATTTTTTTCCAATCAATAAAATTAACGGCATTTAGCTATTAAAATTTTCTAGCGTTAAGAGTCTCAAAGTAAATTTTAAATAAACTTGAAAAAAATCGCATTGCCTAAGGTGGGAATGTGTTTATGCAGCTCAGATGGTGTGCGCAGTCGTCCGGCAAGGGGAAAGGTCATGAGTTAGATTCCCACCTTAGGCAATTCGATTTGGTCAAGTTTATTCAAAATTTAACGTTCATATACCTACGATTAAGGTATTTTACGGCCTTTTTAGCAACCACAACGCGTAATCCTGTATTTGCGTCGACGAGTACGCCAGAAGTGACCCACCTGACCTTGACGAAGAACAGGGCCCAACTGGCGCTGAAGAGGCTTCAAAATAGCCGCAGCACAGTGAGCTGGGACAGCCATAGATGCGGTTCGTTGTCTTTTTCTTTTTAATAATAATAAATAATAACATGTCAACTTAGAGTTAGACAGTCTTATTCCAAAATTTTAAAATTACATACAAGTAATTTGTATTTTTAGGGTTCCGTAGCCAAAATGGCAAAAACGGTTATTGTATATCATCTAACAATGGATACTTTAGATAATACGTTTTCCTACATTCTGAATTATAATAACTATATCGAAGATGATGTGGTTCGCGCATTTCATGAAAAGTTACTTCGGTGCACATCATTTAGACCGCGTGAGCTAGAATTATTTCAACACCCTGAACTGATTGAACCTGTACCTAAAAATGAGACGCACCTTCAAGTAATTTATGACGGTGACGTGGGATTAGTGGGGCACTGGAGTTGTATTTATTACATTAATGGAATACTGCGTGTGTACGATAGTCTTGTTGGTGTTCTAGGAAAATCGCAAAAAATATATGTAAAAGCCTTGTTTCCGTATCTATCGGAGTCATGTATTCAGTTTCCAAGTGTTCAGCGACAACCGAATACTATTGATTGTGGTTTGTTTGCCATTGCTTTTGCCACCTCTTTAGCTCGGAATATTTATAAATACATATATAAAATTAATATTCATACATAAAAGTACAAGGCAAAATATCGGGAGAGTTTAGGCTCCATTCACCAGGTGTATAAATTGACATAATAAGTTTATTATATTTGCTGCTACGGAACCCTTTGTGCGCGAGCCCGACTCGCACTTGGCCGGTTTTTGATATTGAATGTATAGAAAGAAATATTGGTGACTCGTGACGTTCGCAGTAACGTATTCAGTTCTTACAGCTCTGCACGCTAGTCGCTAGCAGAAATGAAAATGCTGCTTCAGTGTTCTATAGTCTGGTCTGTGAGCACGTAGAATTTTGTCTAATGACCCCAAGCTACCCATCCTTATCGCTCGCGCGTTATATTGCTGTCGCGACTGTGCGACGGGCGCCCGCAGTGAGTGTGCGAGCGTGACAAAATTCTACGTGCTCACAGACCAGACTATAACTGCTGCAGCAGCTCTAGACCATTGTTTGGAGCGGGGTATAGTTTAAAATGCTGTTTCCACATTAAACGTCAACTTTAGTGCTCAATGTGTGATTATGTGTGTATGTGTTGCAAGGTTGGGTCTGAGACAGGTGGTCTAGTTTTGAACCACCATTGTGAACCACCATTGTGTATTCCTTCGGAATAGACCAACAACCACGAACTGTCAAACGAAACCGATTTCATGATGTCATTTGTGTGTCAGTTTTCAGCATTATTTCACTGTTTTGTACAATAATAATCAATCACTGAACCAGTCTCCACGTTTCTGAAACATCATTTCTCATAAACATCTGCGATTTCACTCACGTAAAATCTGTAAAGAATGTCTGAGCTCAAATTTTTTGCGTGCCAATGTGTGCTAACGAACTGTCAAATAGTTACACAAACGGTTCTGTGACGTCGCATTACGCATCTCTTTTTATCACGCAGTGTCGCTGCTAGTGACAACTCGCTCGCTCGACTGAGCGATTGTTCGTTGCCCTATTCCGCTAGGTATATGAACTTTAAGGTACAAGTCCAAGATGGTACTCACCTGCCATGTATCACGTAACGTAGCATGTAACGTATCCAACCTTCAAGTGAGTACGTCTCGTCCACGGTCATCGCGTATCTACTGCGAGCCGCCTTTGTGCTCGCAATGATGCCGCCACTTGGCGGGTCGCTGCGATCTCCCTGCGAACCTCGCGCGAGCAGCTCGCAGCGGGCTCGTGCCTATGTACTGACTTGATACAGTATTTGATACATTACATGATACACGGCTAGATGAGTACCCTGCTTTGGACTTGTACCTTTATGGTGTTGACTGACGAAGGCGTGTGGTACAGAGCGGTGGATGTTAAGTGCAGCAAGCGCGCGGCCGGAGCAGGTGCAAGCTTCGGGCGGGACACGCGCGCTTCGGCAGAGCACGGCGCCCGCGGCCGGCGAGACGCGCCAGCTGTTCACGATGCCGGCCGCGCCGCCGCCGCCGCCGCCGCCGCCGATTCCTGTCGTCGAGATTGAAGGTGAGGTGATAATTATTTTTAAACTTTCGTATTGCATCATTTGATTATTTTAAACAGGTTTTAAACGCAGTTGGGTAATAATAAAATATCACCTGTATTTGCCTGACGTTACGACCGGGTTGCACCGGCCGAGATCATAGGCTGATTGGAGCATCGAATGAATGATCCATATGGTGGGCGGAATCATCTTATTCTACCACGATGTTATTATTCCTTCAAGTACCGTCACACACTACACCAATTTGGGTCCCTATTCTGTGATACTTTGTTGATCTAACTTTATAAATCAATAGGTTATATTATTGTCTTATTATGGGAGACGACGTCCAGCTTACGGGCTAGATCTGGTTTGCGCACGCTTTTGGCCCGCCCGAGAAAAGTGAATTACTTCAAAACACGCTGCAACTGAATAGTGATAACTAAAGTAAATCATGGTGTGTAACTTTTGGTAGTTGATACTCCACGACACTGCCTTCACTAGTTTATGAGATTCAGTCATTGGCGGCCAAACCGACCGAGAGATGATAGTCCATTTATCAGTCTCAGGCAGGACAATAGTTGGGTATGTCTTATAATTTGTTACTTCAAATATCCTTCTATTTCAGATGTCCCTGAAACCAACACCACCACCCCCGCTGCCGAAGCCGAAGTTATCGCTGACGCATCAGACGAGCCTATTGATGGTAAATTAATTCATACCTTTACCATAATTAAATTAAAATAAAGTACAGGTGCAGAAGCAGATAAATAATTACATTCATTTGTTTTAAATTTTCATAGCGTAAGACCGCCTCAATGGTGTCGTTTCTTTTGTGTATTTCTTTATTTTCTTATATTGTGTGGTGTGAATTAATAGTATTTATCCATCTATTCATCTATTTTGCAGTGGAAATATCAAACAACTCTTCAAATGGAGGCGTCTCGTTAGAAGAAGAAATCGTCGAAATAGACGCACCCGATGAGACGGAAGCAAACGCCACGGCCGAGGAAAACAACAACAATAACAACGACAATGTCGTTAGCTCCGTCGTGGTTCTCAACGAGGTAACCGCTAACCACTCCATTGACACGCCGTGACGTCAAAAAATATTTGTTTCTGCAAATAGGCTTTTAAAGCGCTTTTACACGCCCCATAAGTCTAATCCAGCTTTTTAAACTACTTTATTGTAATAATTGGAAGTTAAAACAATACATTTTCAATCTATTTTAGGGAGCTGCAGCTACAAATGAAGTGGATGCTACTGATGGGCTGCAAAGCCCGGAGCGAAAGAGAAAGAGGGAAGCAAGCAACTCCTTCACTGCTCCAGAAGAAGGAGAGCCCGTCACCGTTAAGGAATTCAATCAGGTGTGTTTCCAGATAAGTCCAACGTACCTACTTCAGTTGCAGAAGTTCAACGACAACGGCACGACATTTTGGCGCTCGACACGTCACTTTTTGTTTTCATAAAATTTCTAGAAGCGCAATGCACGTCACAGAGGCGTCACTCCAGCACTTCCTCACGTTTCTAATTTGCAGGAGCCCTTAAGGACGCAGCACACTTATCAACCCGAAAAGGGATCGAAACCATATCACGGAATAATAATAAGTACTACATACAGAAGTTTTACTTCGCGAAGGTATTTAAAGAAATGTATGCTCAATGTCATTAACAATATGGTGTAATTTAGCCTGTATCAAGAGTCAAGCACCATTTTGTTGACAAACGTCAGTGATCGGTACTGCGCCGAAGACATAGGGCCGACTTCGGTAAAATGATGTGTGACGTGAGGTGCCAAACTGCGAAAAATGGCGGAGGAAATACATGAATAAGCATGAATTATATTTTGTGTTTCTAATATTATTCAGGCAGTTAAAAATACTGCAGAGTATTAATTTTTACATATGGTTTATTGTCTTTACAATGCAAATGGGCGAAGAATACGTGCGTGCGTCAATACTCGCTCGTGATTTTCCTGTCGATTTGGTATCTCAGGAGGGTTAGTCGCGCGTGTTTTGTTTTCGATGCAAACTCGCGGAGATGAACAGGCCTGCTAGTACAGACTTATTGAGGCGCGGTAAAGCGTAGTTTTCATGAGATTTCAAGCGTCGCTAAGAGCCGTTGAGTCTCCATTTCACCGGAGTCGTCAATGCTGCACGGCGTCACCTGGAGTAGTTGCGCGCCGGTTCTTGTAGCAGCTTAACGGCGCTCGCAAGCTGCTTACTAATTTTTAGCTTTTCGGCATGTCATTTCCAACCGTATGACATAAAATGAAGGTTTTGTTTAAATTATGCGCCATCAAATTAAATACGTGAAGGCGAAGACGTTGAAGTAGCGTCACTGCGCCACTTCTAGTTTACATAAAATTTCTAGAAGCGCAATGTACGTCACGGTATTGGCGCTGCGACTGACTGCTGCGGCAATTGCGCCACAGAGGCGTCACTGCAGCACTTCCTCACGTTTCTAATTTGCAGAAGCCCTTAAGGACGTAGCACACTTATCAACTCGAAAAAGGATCATTACCGTATTAACTCGAGGCGGTTAGTATTATTTGTATGAAACTCCATACTGCAACGCACACTTCCGCACCGTACCGCAAACGCCTCGCTTCGCGTTTGACAACTCCCGAAAAGTGATGACAGCGCACGAAAGACGATAAGGTGTTGATCCCTATCAGAGTTGATAAGTCTGCTATGACTCAGTTTCTTCTGGCACCTCACGTCACATCATTTTACCGAAGTCCGCCCTATAGCTTCGGCGAAGTACCGATCACTGACGTTTGTCAACAAAATGGTGCTTCACTCTTGAGACAAGCTAAATTACACCATATTGTTAACTAGCGGCCGCCCGCGACTTCGTACGCGTAGATCCCGTTTTACCCCCTTCATCTATCTTACGCGGTTTAGATTTTTTCATACAAATGTTTTTTCCCGCTAACTCCCGATCCCGTGGGAATTTTGCAATATCCTGTTGTAACTAAGCTTTAAGTTTACTAAGGTACCTGCATGCCAAATTTCAAGCGTCTAACTTAAGCGGTTTAGATTTTTCATACAAAAGGATTTTCCCGCTAACTCCTGTTCCCGCGGGAATTTTACAATATCCTGTTGTTACTAAGCTTTAAGTTTACTAAGGTACCTGCATGCCAAATTTCAAGCGTCTAACTTAAGCGGTTTAGATTTTGCATACAAAAGGATTTTCCCGCTAATTCCTGTTCCCGTGGGAATTCTTAAGTATACTATAACCTGCCCAGGAGTATGAAGAATAATTGTACCAAGTTTCGTTAAAATCTGTCGAGTAGTTTTTGTTTCTATAAGGAACATACAGACAGACAGACAGACAAAATTTTACTGATTGCATTTTTGGCATCAGTATCGATCACTAATCACCCCCTGATAGTTATTTTGAAAATATATTTCATGTACAGAATTGACCTTTCTACAGATTTATTATAAGTATAGATGACATTGAGCATACATTTTTTTAAATACCTTCGCGAAGTAAAACTTCTGTACGTAGTAATTATTATTATTCTGTGGTTATACCTAAAATGGCATACACTTCTTCCATAACAATTTGTGCAAAACTCCAGAGCCTGCTTCGTCTGCTGGAGTGCCCGGTGTGCCTGGAGTGGATGGAGCCGCCGATGTCGCAGTGCCGGCGCGGGCACCTGGTGTGCGGCCGCTGCCGCGCGCGCCTCGCCTCCTGCCCCGTCTGCCGGACCACTTTCTCGTCTGTACGGAACCGCGCCATGGAGGGGGTCAGTATAGCGCCGCTGGTACACCCGGAGCGGACGGAGCCGATGGCGCAGTCAGGGTTGCCAACTCTACGTATTTTTACGTAGATCTACGTATTTTAAGCCTTCCTTGCAAACCTACGAACTTTAGTCCCAGAATCTACGTATTTTCTATCAAATTTGCAAAATAGGCTGAATGGGCATCGTTTCCTTTACTTTCGCGAAAAAGTTCGATCATGGTTCCGATCACGGTTATTTGGCATGTGGCAAAAGTCGGAACTAATGTTATTTTGACATTTCCCCATAGAAAAAATGCTGTACAGCGCCCCCCTGTAAATGTCACTGACGCTTTAAAATTATTTCGAACTGAGATTGTGCTAAGATTTCGAAGGTGTTGTTGTATTTTGATATTTTAAATACCTTATGAGTGCTGCCCATAATTATGTATTCTTTCTTCAGTTCTTCTTTAATATGGTGATGTATATTAATATACATGCGAAGATAATAATGACCGCCAATAGGGTAAAAAGGGTTGCTTGATGTGATTTCATGTTCTTTCTTCACGATTTCATTGGCTCGAGTGGCAGGGTCGCCATGAAGTATGTTGAGTCTTGAGGATGAATCAATACAAATGATGATCTTCAGAGGTGTTTATTAAAACATCTTCTCTCAACCAGTTTTCCACTTATAATGATATAAAATCTAGTTACATAAATTACTTAAATTATTCTTACGAAATCTGCCTTACTATGCTTTTAAAGCGCATACTCTGCTACTTTATGTTGTAGACACTATTAATAATTATGTTACTGTTAAACACTAAATAGCGACTTATTACACCCGTCTGCCGGACCACCTTCTCGTCCGTGCGCAACCGCGCCATGGAGGGGGTCAGTATAGCGCCGCTGGCACACCCGGAGCGGACGGAGCCGATGTCGCAGTCAGGGTTGCCAACTCTACGTATTTTATACGTAGATCTACGTATTTTAAGCCTTCCTTGCAAACCTTCGAACTTTAGTCTCAGAATCTACGTATTTTCTATCAAATTTGCAAAATAGGCTGAATGGGCATCGTTTCCTTTACTTTCGCGAAAAAGTTCGATCATGGTTCCGATCACGGTTATTTGGCATGTGGCAAAAGTCGGAACTAATGTTATTTTGACATTTCCCCATAGAAAAAATGCTCTACAGCGCCCCCCTGTAAATGTCACTGACGCTTTAAAATTATTTCGAACTGAGATTGTGCTAAGATTTCGAAGGTGTTGTTGTATTTTGATATTTTAAATACCTTATGAGTGCTGCCCATAATTATGTATTCTTTCTTCAGTTCTTCTTTAATATGGTGATGTATATTAATATACATGCGAAGATAATAATGACCGCCAATAGGGTAAAAAGGGTTGCTTGATGTGATTTCATGTTCTTTCTTCACGATTTCATTGGCTCGAGTGGCAGGGTCGCCATGAAGTATGTTGAGTCTTGAGGATGAATCAATACAAATGATGATCTTCAGAGGTGTTTATTAAAACATCTTCTCTCAACCAGTTTTCCACTTATAATGATATAAAATCTAGTTACATAAATTACTTAAATTATTCTTACGAAATCTGCCTTACTATGCTTTTAAAGCGCATACTCTGCTACTTTATGTTGTAGACACTATTAATAATTATGTTACTGTTAAACACTAAATAGCGACTTATTACACCCGTCTGCCGGACCACCTTCTCGTCCGTGCGCAACCGCGCCATGGAGGGGGTCAGTATAGCGCCGCTGGCACACCCGGAGCGGACGGAGCCGATGTCGCAGTCAGGGTTGCCAACTCTACGTATTTTATACGTAGATCTACGTATTTTAAGCCTTCCTTGCAAACCTTCGAACTTTAGTCTCAGAATCTACGTATTTTCTATCAAATTTGCAAAATAGGCTGAATGGGCATCGTTTCCTTTACTTTCGCGAAAAAGTTCGATCATGGTTCCGACGGTTATTTGGCATGTGGCAAAAGTCGGAACTAATGTTATTTTGACATTTCCCCATAGAAAAAATGCTGTACAGCGCCCCCCTGTAAATGTCACTGACGCTATAAAAATATTTCGAACTGAGATTGTGCTAAGATTTCGAAGGTGTTGTTGTATTTTGATATTTTAAATACCTTATGAGTGCTGCCCATAATTATGTATTCTTTCTTCAGTTCTTCTTTAATATGGTGATGTATATTAATATACATGCGAAGATAATAATGACCAAATGATGATCTTCAGAGGTGTTTATTAAAACATCTTCTCTCAACCAGTTTTACACGTATAATGATATAAAATCTATTTACATAAATTACTTTAATTATTCTTACGAAATCTGCCTTACTATGCTTTTAAAGCGCATACTCTGCTACTTTATGTTGTAGACACTATTAATAATTATGTTACTGTTAAACACTAAATAGCGACTTATTACACCCGTCTGCCGGACCACCTTCTCGTCCGTGCGCAACCGCGCCATGGAGGGGGTCAGTATAGCGCCGCTGGCACACCCGGAGCGGACGGAGCCGAGGGCACAGTCCGGCGTGGGGGATATTTAACGCAATTTCACGAGTGTTCAACGTAAAACCTCGGTTTTTTTAAATAAACAACTTGATAAAATCGAACTGCCTAAGGCGGGAATCGAACGACCTTTCGCTTTCTGGCGACTACTCTTCCAACTGTTTAGGTGTTTGAATTAGATATGAGACGTATTTACTAGAACAGATCCACACACTAGGTATTTTACAGTACTAGGCGGTACCTATTCCAATTTTTTAAATACTTGATCCACCTAGTATTTTATAAATTACACGATTTCCGACCCTACTGTCAAAGTAATAGAGGTTATTATTGCGTAATGCGTAGTCGTGTATTACGCGCCGTAGTCCGCACTAGTCGCGTCAAGTATGCTAAATTACTACGTATTAGGTGGATTAGGTATATGGATCGAGTATTAATAAATACTAGGAATAGGTGCACCTAGTATCAAATTTACCTAGTCTCTAGTTTGAATGCGAAAGAGTATAGGTGTGTGGTCTCATTTGCAAGTTGCTGAGTTGTCGCGGGCACCTTATCTCACTCCTGTAGGCCTAAGATGCGCGCCGCGATAAGCGGTTATCACAACCATTTAATCGATTTTGCCCATACATTTTGACGTCGATAAAAGTTATCACGGCGCGCATCTTTGGCCTACAGTGTGCCTACCATGAGTTTACGTTATGTGAGCTCGCTAGCGAATACTTCAAAAAATTCTATGAAGATTTTATTTCTTGAAAGTAGCCGCTAGCGGCGCTGCACAATATGTCATACATTTAAATGTAATTTTTTTACGCAGTCGCTAGCGAGCACACCTAACGTAATCTCATGGTAGGCACACTGGACTCGTGTTACGCGTGGTGCGAGCTCTCTAGTCTTGTGTTGTGCAGGTGGCTGAGATGGTTCGCTACCCGTGCCGGCACGGCTGCGGGCGCGAGGTGCGGCTGCGGCGGCGCGCGGCGCACGAGGCGTCGTGCGAGGCGCGCCGCTACAACTGCCCCGCGCCGGGCTGCGCCGACCGCGCGCCGCTGCCGAGGGACAGCCTGCACCAGCACTTCCAGGTCAGTGGCTGAGGCCCCGACCACACTGGCGTCACTCGGACGTCATCGTCTCATAGCGCGGCGCACGAGGCGTCGTGCGAGGCGCGCCGCTACAACTGCCCCGCGCCGGGCTGCGCCGACCGCGCGCCGCTGCCACGTGATAGCTTGCACCAGCACTTCCAGGTCAGTGACTCAAACCGCACTTTGTCAGTGGCTAAGGCATTCCCCATTCTAGCGTTTTTCATAGGTCTTCGTCTCAGCCGTGCTGGCACGGCTACGGCCACGAGGCGTGAGAGGCGCGGCGATTGCGCGCCGCTGCCACGGGTTAGCCTGCACCAGCACTTTCAGATTAAGGCCTGAATACTAAATAATTAAGAGCCAAAACACAGGACGCGTAGCGATGCCAGAGCTGTATCACTGCGTCGTTTTACATAGAAATATCTGGGGCGTGTGCGCTGCGGCGCCGCACCAAACTTGCAACCACCGAGAAAAGGCGGGAAAAGTGAATGCGCGTAGACGTCAGAGTGGTACGTCAAGTATTTATTGGCTGCTATTATTCTTATGGTGCGTCCACTGCTGGTCATCCTGCTCACCCTGCTCTTGAGTGAGCAGGATTTCGAGTTTGCCGCGCGAGCCCGTTCGCCAAATGTGGACGCACCATTAGAATTTGCTAGCAAAATGGCGATTGCCATGGCAACCGCCGAAAACTTTAGCATGTTTTCGGCTAGGACACGTTTGCTAAACTTCAAAAGTGACGTTTCCCATACATTTTTGTGACAGTGACAGCACTTACCGCTAAAAGGACGCCACTTAATAGCTTACTTATTAGCCCTAGCTAGCGCAATTTTCCGCCAGACGTCCCCAATGATGTGTAATCACATTGTAGTCAATCTTGACAGTGGTTTTACCAACACCTCTCTCTGCAGAGCAAGCACCCCGCCATGATCAAGACGGGCAGCAAGCACAAGTTCTCGCTGAAGGTGAACTCGGAGCAGCACGAGTCGTGGCTGGTGGCGGCGCTGCACGAGTACTTCTCGCTGCGCGTGGACGCCGACTTGCGCGCGTGGGGCGTGCACGTGCACGTGGCCTACATCGGGCCCAAGTGCCACGCCAAACACTACACCTACGAGGTGAGCTGAGCGCAATAGACATGTTCACACCACCAATAATTTGACGTATAGTTCCAAAATACTGGACTGTCCTGTCGATGACATTGACAGTGGGGCGCCACCGTCAATACCGGATCGCTGGTTCAGATTTTTGCCATGTTGGAAACCATATAGTTGAACGATGGTAGCGCCCCCCTGTCATTGAGTTTGGTGGGACAGTTCAGCGTGGGTCATCTATACTTTTTAAAACTGTCAAAACGAAACTCTCCCATAGATTTTGTATGGCACTACAAGCAAGTGACGTCACTATTTTGTCTACTCAATCAAACTACTTTTTTTCAATTACAATGCGAACAAAAATCGTAATTTACAGGTAATTTAAAATTAATTAAGTTTTTAAGACCAGAATGAAGGGTCTTTTTAAAAAAGTTGTGGTTTCGAATTATTGGGGTATGGTGTCAAACTGTCTATTTATACAGTGTGTTCTGCTTCAACTTCCTATACTTACGTTTTCTTCTTGAATTAATGGACTCTTTTGTTATTTTAAAGCTGATGAATAAATATGCTATCATTTGAAAGCCAACTTCGTCAAGAATTAACAAATAATAATAATAAAAAAACCATTGATTCAATGTAATAAGAAAAAAAATCGATACATAAGTCGATAGGATTTAATTATGGGCCATCTCTAGTATACTGTCAAACTCGAAACGACATAGGAATCATTTTCGTTGAAAAATAAGTAACTAAGCCTGTGACGCCAACTGGTGAGCGCTGAATCGGTAGGAGCACTATCGTATTTACACTCACCAGGATATCGCCACCGTAAAGCAAGTTGCTGTCACTCGTCAGTGGTGACAGTGGTGCCAACTGTTAAGTATAAAAATGATAGCCTCATTGTATAATCATATTTCCAGGTGTCCATAGTCGGGCAGAACAACTCCCGCAAGCTCTCATACACGCGCGCCACCCACAGCGACCTGGAGAACTACTCGCTCAACGTCAGTTCCCAAGACTGTTTCCACCTCACCATCGACCAGGCATTAGCTTTCCTTCGCATCAAGAACCGCCACAGCGAGCCAGACAAGTTCCTCGTCTTCCACGTCGAGATCAACGAGATTGACACGGAGAACAGAGACTCGGACTCCTGATTCGGATCCATAAATCAAATGCTCCGGCGGCGCATCGCCAAGGCCACTAAAATGGCTCGGCGCACCAAATTCAAGAAACAATGGCCCGAGATGATCAAGGAAGTGATGCAGTGAACTGTGATGTGTGTCCGCTCTCGAATACGAGGTATCGTTATCGGTTACTATCTTCTTTGTAGGACGTTAAGCGGAATTGTTTTTCACCTTTCTTCTTTAAAGTTTTTGTGATGATATACCGTAGCCATGACCGATTCATGTGTAACCCCAGCAAAATGCCGATTTATTTGTATTCAGATGAACTCGTAGCATTTTTTTTATTTTTTATTATAGGTAAAATACCTGTATTATAGTCCCTTCAGTCAAATCTATTTTCTTGAATACTTGTGAAAACACCTCTCGGTACATTTACTTGAGTGCTCTAGTCATTCATTTAAATTTTTGGTAAGAGGTAACGTTTTGCGGGGGTAACGCAAACAACAGATTGCGATACTTGTCTAGAAATGGGGCGTTGGCGTGACACACTCACAGGTGATGAAATTCTGCAGTGATTGTTGTGACGTATACGTTATTGAGTCGCTTGACAAAGAAATGGACTTTACATAACTTTTAGTATAAGTTCAATACTGTCATATATTTTAGACAAGTTAACTGTATAATTTAGTCAGACAGAAAACTTGTGCATCGTCCGCCTTGGGATAGGCCAAAATAAATATGCCAGTATAATGGAATAGTAACTTGCAACTTGCATGTCAGTTGATGGCATGTGTTTCTCGCTAGAGTTATGTGCCAGCGCAACCGACGGTTTTAAAGTGTATTTGAATAACATATTTTATCAGAAATGTAAGCAGCAAACCCTTCATCTTTACGGTTGTACGTTCATTGCTCACGTATGTCGTTTGTAACACCTTGATTACGCATATTGCATGTCAGAAAATCCAATCTTTGCATTCTTCTCGCATGCCAGAGACTGACTAGCCGTTTATCTTATTAAAACACATTAAAGTAACTACGTTCACAGTACTGGCACGTATATTACGGCCTTTAGTTAATTGTATTTTATGAAATAATAGAAAAAGCAGTTCACAACTGTCCTGCCTGTCTCAAATAAGTTTTTATTATCATGCACCCGGGCTATAAATTATCATCATCGATTTATTGGTAAATAGAGAAATCCATATAATGTTATTTTACACGCATGTTAATTTATATCGTTTCGTTTAAAAATTCGGAATTTGTTAAATTTTTATTAATAGATAATGTTAAGTTTATAACATCTTAATGGAATAGTGAATCTAAGGGCCACTTAGATTTTCGATATTAAATAAAATGTAGGCTATTTCAAAAACTTTTCTATCGACTACGAGATACAATGTTTTAAGATTTTGGCCGTAAGACCTTATTTTGTGTGCATAAGAAAACCATACTAACATTAAGACACTTGAATCAGGTACTTGTTTTAATATAAAACCAGTAAGTACTAACCCTTTTTAATGAGTAACTGTAAATATAACCAAAGAGGATAGAAGATCCTAACATAACTATCATATAAGCTATTATGTAACAGCTGTTAGTTTGCAATAGCCGTTTTATGATTAGTGAACAATAGATGATTAATTTCTATAGTTATTCAACTAAGTGTCTAGAGCTGTTATAAGGCTTTAGTTTAGTTATTAGATTATATTATACAATATTCATATACCTATTATGTAGTTGGCGTTTAGAAGAACTAGATTTTAATATTTTATTATATGATCTTAATCAACTATTAAATTATGGCGAAGTCCAAGTTAAGAAAAGTGTCATACGATTATGCTATATTGATCAGTGCGAATGCGAATATTCTTTTATAACGTGAATATTCGTCTTATATGACGAATGCATGCGTTAATAGGGGACTCGACATCACGGATAATGAGCCAGTGTCTCATACATTACCGATTTTTAAATGAATTATCTGAGAATAGTCCCCTATTTGGCATATTTTGAAAAAGCAGTAAAATAGATGTAAATGGTAAAAAAGTACTTATGATTTGTGCGCATCATAACGTCTCATTCTCGTATGTAATAAAATAAGTCAGTATTTGTTTGCATCGACTGGGGTGTATCCTACTATTTCCTTGTCTTAAGTCAGTGTTATAAGCGCCACAAGGGAACTTAAACCGCCTATCCCACCTTTATCGCACCATATTGTGAATACGTTCTCACTTATAGGATATAATTAATTATGTTAAAACCATTTTTCCCATTGTGTGTTTCAATTTCTATGAAAATGTGGGATACACCCAGGATCTGCATATGCTTATTTTAGTGCCCATATAAAATTAAGATTGATGTTTTTACGGTACTCTACAAAAATATATTTATATGATCTCATTTTGGTATATGTGTAATTGATTGTAAATTAAAAAATATATAAAAACAGTAGATTAGTTTTACACAAATATTAATCACGAATATTACGTCTGAATGTTACAAAAATATTTAATCATTTTGATTGATATAACATCAAATAAAACAAATAAATTCTTAAATACGTTCTTTTATTTCTTTTCACGTATTCTAAAATAACTTATTAAATAGTAATAAAACAATATACTTTAAAGCGACATGTATAAATAATACACTATTGCTTATTGGATACTACGTCATTTCTACAAAAAACTATTTCCAAAGTTTTCTTTCAATTCTTCGTCATTCAGGAAAAATATAGGATACTTATTTAAATATTCACAATTTCATAGTCAACCTAATAATAAATGTACAAAATAAGTGAATTTGTTTCTGATCTGAAACCATTAAAAGAGATCAATAAAAAACTAGTTTTGTTTTAGGTCACGAGCTGTTTGGAAGCGAGGGTTTGCCGCGCGTACTCCGTGCCGATAAGGCCGCGGCAAACTAACGAGAATTCTTGGACTGTTTCTAATAGCCTTCGCTTGCTGCACTTCTCCCTGAAACAAATAAGTCAGATTGTGAATAATTATTCAAATGTCATGTCAATGTCATCACTCGCAGTGATAAATGTAACATTTACACGTACACGCTCGCAGCCTCGCACTGATATCGATAGAAGCATTTTGCAATGAAGGCTATTGCTGCCTTCCGGACTTATGTGTGGGTCGCTGTTGAGATGTTTTAGTTTATTTTTCTTTATTCAGAAAATCACAGTTATTGTTTTGCTTGCACAAAAGCAAATAACACATTATTGTGCAGTTAGTTGTCGCGCAGTCGCACTGGTTCTAATCTAACGCACCCAGCGTTGGAATTGCATTGCGCATTCACTTGACGACGTTGGCGATGAAGTTCTTGGGCGTGGCGTAGTGCGTAAGATAAAACGTGTACCAAAAAATGTTTTGCTTAACACAGTCACAGAGGGTGGGTTTGTTAGAACAGTACCGTGCACTCACTTGACGACGCTGACAACTCTGCTAGCGGCTCGATGTCGTCGCGTGGATTGGAGCGTGGCATACGTGTCATACTGGGTGGTGTGTTACATTAGTACCGCGCACTAACTTGACGACACTATACAGCTTTGCTAGCGGCTTGATGTCGCGTGGAGTGGCGCGTGCTATACGTGTCATACTGGGTGGTGTGTTAGATTAGTACCGCGCACTCACTTGACGACGTTGGCGATGAAGGCGGTCTTGTTAGAATAGTACCGCGCACTCACTTGACGACCTGGACAACTCTGCTAGCGGCTCGATATGGTTGCGTGGAGTGGCGCGTGCTATACGTGTCATACTAGGTTGTGTGTTAGAATGGTATCGCGCACTCACTTGACGACGTTGGCGATGAAGGCGGTCTTGCTGGCGGGCGTGGCGTGGTGCGTAAGAGGTACACCGACAAATCTTTTGCTTGCTGTGTGCGTTTTAGTAGTACTTAGTAGAATAGTACCGCGCACTCACTTGACGACGTTGGCGATGAAGGCGGGCGTGGAGTGGCGCGTGCTATACGTGCTGTATTAACCTTCAAGCGGGCGCGCGGTCTTTTGTAACGGCAGCGGTCGCGCGTAAACGAAAAGACCTATAGGGTCTAGTTGAGAAATAAAGCACTTATTTTCAAAAAATCATTTATTATTTTGTACGCAGATATATTATGATTGTATTAAAGTCATAAATAATTAGAATTAAGTAAAAGAAACAATTATTTAATCAATTAACATAACGCAAATATATTATTTGGATCAATAACCAATTTTGGAACACAAAATCTTTTAAAATACATCAGAATAGTTCATATACCTGGTAAAAACGATAAAAATGGCAAAATAATGATAAAACATAATTTTATAATTTTGGTTCAGTTTAGCTTGGTCTCTGAGCTCCGATTCACTCTCTTTTTCATCTTTTCTTAGTAATGCCTCTGTTATTTCACTTTGTACTAGCAGTCTACGACTTATTTAATAAGAAAAAATAGCAAGCATAATTCAATTATATTGAAGAAATGTAATATCGCATAGAGTCGCGCGTAACCTTTTCGACTACAGGCGCGTGGCGTGCTTTCGACGCCGGCGCCGCGACTAAAACAACAGCAAGCCATGGGGTGGGAAAAGCGCGGAGAGCTGAGATAAGCTTTTTATTTCACTCATAATGAGCAAACGACAGGCTACTAAAAATGAGAAATATGTGTAACAAGTAAAAAAAAGTTATGAACGAAAATGTGTTAGGCGCGGTCGATTCGACGCCGCGCGCCCGCTTTAAGGTTAAGTGGTGTGTTACATTAGTACCGCGCACTCACTTGACGACGTTGGCGATGAAGGCGGTCTTGTTAGAATAGTACCGCGTACTCACTTGACGACGCTGACAACTCTGCTAGCGGCTCGATTTCGCGTGGAGTGGCGCGTGCTATACGTGTCATACTAGGTTGTGTGTTAGAATGGTATCGCGCACTCACTTGACGACGTTGGCGATGAAGGCGGTCTTGCTGGCGGGCGTGGCGTGGTGCGTAAGAGGTACACCGACAAATCTTTTGCTTGCTGTGTGCGTTTTAGTAGTACTTAGTAGAATAGTACTACCGCGCACTCATTTGACGACGTTGGCGATGAAGGCGGGCGTGGAGTGGCGCGTGCTATACGTGCTATATTAAGTGGTGTGTTACATTAGTACCGCGCACTCACTTGACGACGTTGGCGATGAAGGCGGTCTTGCTGGCAGGCGTGGCGTGGTGCGTTGGGAAGCCGTCGCCGGCGAGCGCGGCGCGCAGCCAGCCGCCTAGGTCGCCGCCCAGCGCCCACGGCGCGCGGTTCAGAGCCAATAATAGTTCCGCTAGCGGCTCGATGTGGTTGCGCGGAGTGGCGCCGCCTGCACGTGCACAAACGATAGGTTAGAACACATATCACAGAAACTAAAGGGAGATGTGATAAGGGGGCGGGGCCGATGTCGCAGCAATATGCCCAAAAACAGAACACATTGCTCGTAAAAGCAATGATGACAGCAGCGACGTCATAATGTCACATTGCTTGGAAATTATTTTGATTACTTTGTGTGTGTGTGAATTTCTAATGCGACACTTGAGTTTCGAACTCAACGCATTAATAGGCATCTCTCTATATCTCTATGGGTTAGAACTTTTAATTGCTTTGTAGACGAAGTCGAAAAAAGCACGAACGGCAAGCGGCGCAGAAAACGCTATCGGTGTATTATGGCATTTTAAAGAAAACCGCGCTGATTCAAAGTGAGTAAAAGTTTGGACTTTCTATCTATCTATCTGTCTATCATACTATATGTGCCGATAGAGTAAAAAGTAAGATTAGCGTATAAATATAATTTTGATAAAATGGATCGATATTATCTTTTGTCAATAAGTACTAAATGGAAAGAATCGCGACAAACGGTGCCATTACTTTTGTAATAGAGACGCACACGCAAATTGCTGAACTATCGTTAAATTATAATAGTTTCACAACAAACCAAGGGTATGTTCTGATAAAGCACTGAAGTAAATAAATTAGCTAAGTAACTCACGACAACCTCTCATTACAACGTGGTTAAAAGGCTAAAAAGAAACTACGTGATTTAAGAAGACAGCTTAGCATAGGCTAGCTGCTCTTTAATAATAAAAAGACATTCAACACATCGATGGGTCTAGAAAGTGCACATTATAATCGCAAACCAGTCGCAAAATGGTCGAAATGCTTTTTTTTGTATGGAGTTATGACGGATTCGATTTTCGATTCGATCAAAAAGTGCAACTTGTCTAGGTGGGTTGATTATAGTCTGGCGACTGATTGCAGAAAAACCAACACAAAAAAAAACTCACCGATGCATCTCAGCGCGGCAGCTGTAAGCGCTGGAGCGCGCGGCTGCAGCGCGGCGGGCCGCTGCAGCGCCAGCACGGCCAGCCAGCCGCACGCCGCGCGCGCCGCACGCGCCTCCCACATGCGCACGCACTCGCACGCTGCAGAATACGAAAGCGATTTTACATTGGAGTATTGCAGATTCAACTTTTAGAAATGCGTGGGACACTATTTAAGTTGTGAGCCTAACTATGAAAACAAAGTAGTTAATTATTAAAATGGTATTGATTGCGTTTATTGGTATTGTCTTTCATGATTTATGTACTTTTTAATGTGTCCGAAACACTTTTCATAGCATTTTTTCCACTCAGCTTGAGGCACCTCCAAAACATGGTTTTTGACCGCACCGACAGTTGCTTCTGGCTACATAAATCGCTGTTCATGCATTTAATTTTAATATATGGGTACCAAAAGAAGTGTTTAGATTCCAAGCAAGAATTTTGTAGCGTTGGACCTGTTTATTTCATATTTTGAGTGTTCAAATAGTCAGTTGTTTGACGAGACGTGTAAAAGCTCACATTTTCGTTACGAATGGCGATTCGCTTCCCTTATTAAGTCAGTTTCCCTTATTAAACTGAAGACTTTTGGAAAAAAAGTGGCTGTTTACTGTTACGAATTAACCATTCTAAATTTCTTTAGTGACGTTTCTGTCATATAATCGGATATTTCGGAAAAATAGGCGACCGTAAGTTTCAAAGTGTTCCGAGCGCATGGGACTTTTGTTGGAATTGGTTCATCTTAAACCACCTCCATAGTCGATAGCTGTTTATTTTCAGGATCATTGCATAGATCCTTAATTCGTCAACTGTCACAATTTTAGAAACGGCTTTTAAACCTTTTTAAACGTATTTATCAAAGATTTCCAAGGACTAAACGACACAAGCATCCTATTGAGCGTTTGAAAAATTTTGTGACATCCAGCAAGAAAAAAACGTATTAACCATAATATGGTCATACAATATTTTATTACTGCTAGTGGAATTAATGCCTAGGATTATCTCTATCCTACGATATATCACATGACGAGGTTTCTCTTCCATTTTTCTGACAACATCAATGTTTTCCGCCACTATTAGTCATTTTGGACGACTTTCGCAAAGTTCACTGGTGAGCCAATGACATACAATATTATACTTGTTAAACTAGCGTTTTACAATGGTAAAGGACAGATCTTTATCACCAAAAGTGAAATTTAGCTGACCGCTTCACTTTTGTATTGATTAACCACGTCGAAAGTCATAATAAATCTTCGCGCGAAAATTTCCGCAAGTCAATTCCATGTTTTTGTAGTCAAGATAATTTTCAATTCAATGTTAATAATACAAAACGTGCTCAAATGATAAAAAGTTTTGAACAAGATTGTAGTCAAAAATGTCAAACTTTTCATTAAAAGTATCAGATGTCGTCTAACAACACGTTATGTTGTAGAGGCTCACAACTTAAATAGTGCCCTAGTACGATCGTACATCCTGCTGCACCGTCAGCATCGACCGCCGGGCGACCCATGAACCCTCAACGTGCACCGTCGGCACTCTACACCGACGGCACACTAGCAAATACGTTTCATTGTGTACAGTAAATAACTTATGTATAAATAGCAATAGAATCATAACAATAAACAGATATCAACCGTCCGTCGTTGTGTCTCATTTCCCCCCGCTGCGGCCAAGACAACCTTAGCCGTCGCTATGATCAGTCCGGTGAGTCTGCCGGGCTGGCAGCGGGTCCCCGCCGCCTACCTGCCGTCCTAACGCTGCTGCCCTGGGCGACCTGGGCACAGCTTCCTTCCTATCAAACATTATTATGTCTAAGTATTTATTGTTAGGCAGGGCTAGGGCTCTAGGGACTTAGTGTCTTAGGGAATAGGGACTCTAGGCTCACTAGGGAGTTAGTTCCCTTCCTGACCGCATTCCCGGGCACGGGAGCGGTGCCTTACAACCACTGCCTCCCGCCCGTACAATAAGATTTATTTATTTAAAATCTTTATTGCACACAAAAAAGCGGTACAAAAGGAGAACTTAATGCCATGTGGCATTCTTTACCAGCTAGTTAGCTAAGTTAATTTTTGTTACCACGTAGGTATACAAATACGTGAAACTTGCATGAACGAAGACGCGTTCAGTACGCGCCAACCGCTTAGAACGATTCGAGATTGCACGCGCGTGTGAGCATGTTGCGTTCATTGAAGCGCGAAATGTAGTGAGTATAACGTAACTTGTAAAATCTTGTGTGCGAAAACGTGCTAAAAACTTGCGCGCGTACACGGTATTCATCCGTGGTGGGCACCCGTCGCGTCAGTGGGCCTATTATTGTATGGAAAATTGGAAATAAACCCCCGCGGCGTGCGTCCACCGTCCGGGTTGAAAGCCTATGTCAAACGCATGCGCGTCACACGCGCTAGTTTCGGCACCTCGACCAGCTCGGGCGAAGCGCCAGCGCCAGCGCCTGCACCGCCCGCAGGGCCTAGTTTCGTCTGACTCTGCACCTATACTATAACCACTTACCCAGCTCGACAAAATCAGGCAGCAGATCTTCAAGCCCGTCCATGCACTGCGGGCGCTTCTTAGTAAGCGTGTGCTGTATCGCAAGTAGCGCAAACAGCGCTTCAGCCAGCTCGGGCGCGGCGCTAGGCTCTCATGACACCGCGCGCGCTGCTGCTTTCTCAGTCCCATTATGCGGGACTCTCCTCGCTAAAAGAGCTTAGCCAATGCTGGTTTTACTTACCCAGCTCCACCAGATCGGGTAGCAAATCTTCAAGCCAGTCCATGCACTGTGGGCGCTTCTTAATGAGCGTGTGGAGCAGCGCAAACAGCGCTTCAGCCAGTTCGGGCGCGCGCCAATCTCTCGCAGACTCTCCCCGCTAGAAGGGCGGGGCCTAGTTTCATTTGTTCCTCATACTGTAACCACTCACCCAGTTCCACCAGACCAGGTAGCAGATCTTCAAGCCAGTCCATGCACTGCGGGCGTTTCTTAGTAAGCGTGTGCAGCAGCGCTTCAGCCATCTCGGGCGCGTAATGGCTCGCGCGGCTGATTTCCCAGTCCCATTATGCGGGACTCTTCTCGCTAGAAGGGCGGGGCATATCCTGACGCTAAAGACACTTACCCAGCTCCACCAGATCGGGTAGTAGATCTTCAAGCCAGTCCATACACTGCGGGCGCTTCTTAGTAAGTGTATGGAGCAGCGCAAACAGCGCTTCAGCCAGCTCGGGCTCGTGCAGAAGCGCACGCGCCGCATATTTGCCAGTCCCGTTATGTGGGACTCTCCACGCTAGAAGAGTGGAGCATAGCTTTGTCTGTTCCTATACTATAACCACTCACCTAGCTCCACCAGATCGGGCAGTAGGTCCTCAAGCCAGTCCATGCACTGCGGGCGCTTCTTAGTAAGCGTATGGAGCAGCGCAAACAGCCCTTCAGCCAGCTCGGGCGCGCGCCAGTCTCTCGCAGACTCTCCTCGCTGGAAGGGCGGGGCCTAGTTTCATTTGCTCCTCATACTGTAACCACTCACCGAGCTCGACCAAGTCAGGCAGTAGATCTTCAAGCCAGTCCATACACTGCGGGCGTTTCTTAGTAAGCGTGTGGAGCAGCGCAAACAGCGCTTCAGCCAGTTCAGGCGCGGCGCCGGGCTCTCGCAGACTCTCCTCGCTAGAAGGGCGGGGCCTAGTTTCATTTGCTCCTCATACTGTAACCATTCACCCAGTTCCACCAGACCAGGTAGCAGATCTTCAAGCCAGTCCATGCACTGCGGGCGTTTCTTAGTAAGCGTGTGCAGTAGCGCTTCAGCCATCTCGGGCGCGTAATGGCTCGCGCGGCTGATTTCCCAGTCCCATTATGCGGGACTCTTCTCGCTAGAAGGGCGGGGCATATCCTGACGCTAAAGACACTTACCCAGCTCCACCAGATCGGGTAGCAGATCTTCAAGCCAGTCCATGTCCAGTCTCTCCTCGCTAGAAGGGCGGGGCCTAGTTTCATCTGCTCCTATACTATAACCACTCACCGAGCTCGACCAAGTCAGGCAGTAGATCTTCAAGCCAGTCCATGCACTGCGGGCGCTTCTTAGTAAGCGTGTGCAACAGCGCAAAAAGCGCTTCAGCCAATTCAGGCGCGGCGCTGGGCTCGCGTAATACCGCGCGCGCCGCTGCGCCCACGCACGCGTGTAATAACCGTCCCGCATCCGCCCACTCGCGCCCGTGGATCATGGTTATCTGTTGGGAAGCAACTATTCTCAGTCGATCGGCTGGTGAACTGCAAAGGGTGTTTTGGTAAACGGTCTTAGGCGGTTATCACACTGCGCCGCGATCCGCCGCGGAGCGCGGGGCGACAGATTTAATCATTGTATGCAAGTACCTCAGTTTGTATAGAAAACACGCGCGGCACTTCACACTGACAACGCGTCCGCGCGCGTGATTTTTTATATGAAAATCACGCGCTCCGAGGCGGAGCGCGGCGCAGTGTGATAACCGCCTTATCTTTATAATCCAGTATAATGTATAGGAATAAAACCGATGAAAAAGACATTCTCAAAGTCCAACCTTTCTAATTGAAAAAAAAACCTGTTAAAAATTAAGTTATTTAACCCCATGCGTGTACGTAACGGTCGCAGCGTAGTAAATGCCATCATCGACAATCATCAAACAACAAATAATGAAACCCCCTATTTTCTTCTTGAGTAAAAATATAAATTCTTATTTATAATCAGTTTTGTTATAATCTCTGAAAGCCTTACCAGTTTTACGACATCAAGGCCTGTAGGACACGGCTGTGTGTTGAAACTAGTGATGGTGAGTTGTGCTATGTCTCCTATCACAGCGTTGCATTCGTTTGATAACGTCAACACGGTGTGTTTCAGTATCTGGAACAATGGCTGCAAGAAAAAAGATACAACTTTACGATCTGAACTTGACATCTAGGTGGAGTAGAAATGTAAGGAGATATTGGTCTCCACTGCAGAAGGAAGACCCTCTCTTATTTACGACAAGCAAATGGTAAATGAATCTAGGCCAAATCATGGTTTACGCTTCACACTGGCCAGATGGGATGGAGTAGCTTGATGATTTTTATTTACTTCTCTGTATAGCCAGAACCACACGGCTTTTGAAAGTTAATAGAGGTAAATTAGACCTGACATCCGCGTAAAATATACTGAAAATTAGACTTAATATCTGCAGTTTATAAATTGGAAATTAGACCTTATGTCCGCGCAATAAGAGTGCCCACCTCGACCAATGGCGGGTGTTGGGCTAGTGCGGCTAGCGTGGGCAGCAGTAGACGGAATAGCTCGTCGGCCAGCGCCAGTCGCATGGGACATTAGATTTTATGTCGCCGCAATAAGTGTGACCACCACAGCGCCTCAATTAGGACCGCCGCGCACTCGCCCGACCCGTTAGATCGCTGCGGCTCTAACGCCGGGTAAATTAAACCTTATGTCCTCACTTCATAAGAGTGCTCACCTCGACCAGTGGCGGGTGTTGGGCTAGTGCGGCTAGCGTGGGCAGCAATAAAGCCTGGTCCGTGAGCACGTAGAATCCCGTCCAATGACCCCAAGCTGCCCATCCTTATCGCTCGCACGTAATTATGTTGCTGTCGCGCTCGCACACTCACTGCGGGCGCGCGTCGCACAGTCGCGATAAGGATGGGTAGCTTGGGGTCATTGGACGGGATTCTACGTGCTCACGGACCAGGCTTTAGACGGAACAATTCTTCGGCCAGCGCCGGCTGCATGGACATTAGATCTTATGTCGCCGCAATAAGTGTGCCCACCTCGAATAGCGCCCCGATCAGCACCACCGCGCATTCGCCTGACCCGTTGGATCGCTGCGGTTCTAACGCTTGGTAAATTAGACCTTATATCCGCGCAATAAGAGCGCTAACCTCAACCAGCGGCGGGTGTTGTGCTAGCGCGGCCAGCGTAGGCAGCAGTAGGCAGAACAGTTCGTCAGCCAGCGCTGGTTGTGCGCCCAGAGCCTCGATCAGCACCGCCGCGCATCGCCCGACCCTTTGAACGCTGCGGCGTTGTATATTAGACCTTGTGTCTTCGCAATAAGAGCGCTAACCTCAACCAGTGGCGGGTGTTGGGCTAGTGCGGCTAGCGTAGGCAGTAGAAGACGAAACAGCTCGTCAGCCAGCGCTGGCTGCATGGACATTAGATCTTATGTCGCTGCAATAAGTGTGACCACCGCAGCGCCTCAATTAGGACCGCCGCGCACTCGCCCGACCCGTTGGACCGCTGCGGCGTGGTATATTAGACCTTGTGTCTTCGCAATAAGAGTGCTCACCTCGACCAATGGCGGGTGTTGTGCTAGTGCGGCTAGCGTAGGCAGTAGAAGACGAAACAGCTCGTCAGCCAGCGCTGGTTGTGCGCCCAGAGCCTCGATCAGTACCGCCGCGCACTCGCCTGAGCCATTGGACCGCTGCGGCTCCAGAGCCTGGTACAAAACATTGGTTCATGGTAAACTGAGTTTTAGCCTAGGCGCAGACCATCAACATTTAGTTGGCCGATAGTTGGGCCTGCCCGACTAAACTATCGGCAGATAAAAAATCGGTGATCTGCACCTAGGCTTCAGGTACGTTTGAATGAGTTTATTAATAATGAATTGAAGAAATATGATTGGAGTTAATAAAGGTACTTGAACATTTACTTAAACATAGATAAACGTATAAAAACAATTTTAAAGCCTAAATATTTTGGGTAAATGTTACTTTGTATGAAATCATTCTTATGTTCTCCACCGACTCCGCCTACGGCCGCTATCAGCTCCGCCCATTGCTTCCGCCAGCCAAACCCGTGGCCACGCCCCCTACATGCTGCAATGGCTGCTCCTTTATAATCGTCAAACTGTAATAAGCGTTACCTGAGCCTGTAGCAAGCGGTGCAGCGCAGCCGCCGGGCCCCGCAGCAACGCGGCCGCTACGCTAGGCTCGCACGCCGCCAACACAGCACCTGCCGCTCCCGCCAATTGTCGCGCCACCCACACGTCGCATTTGCCAGGCTCGCTCTGCTGCATAAGGAAAGTATAATCAGTAAGCGCTAACAGACTATGATATTAACAAAAACAAAAAAAATATCAGGAGGCAGCGCCATCTGTTGGTAAATTAACTGTTACAACGCACGGTTGCTTTTTGTGGCATACGCTGCGGAAACGGAAGACGCATGCGATTATTTATTTATTTATTATTCATTATTGAGCAATTACATATTTGATCCAAATAGCGTCCTAAATCCTCTTTAGGTTTGTCTAGACACTATTGTTCTCTATACAAATAAAAACAAACGTTTTAGTATAAGCATTCACAACACTTTCAGATATACAAAATATTATTTCAGCGAGTGCGCACTACGATGACGAAAGACTCGACGTTCGATCGCGATCGCAGACCGGTTGGGTACGCATTGTCTTTGTGTGCGTAGATAATACACAAAGCCCCGTCCAGTCGTCCGCCACACACGTCTGCGCTTGCGCCCGCTTTTATAGGATGTTCCAATTTGGTACACGCTAATCATACAGTTGTATGTATATGTGCGGTAGTAGTATGTAGTTTAATAGACGCGTATGCGTGACATTACGTGTGTCAAAAAGCAACCGAATGGGTTGTGCGAATATAATCGCAGTCTCTCTATAAAGCGACAGCATTTATTATTATTATTATTTATTTGTACAAAATATGCGAGACCACAAACGCTGCAGGCGCAAGTCAGCGCTGCAAGACTGTACTGTAAAGCGGCTACGTTTAGAGTAGTAGACTAGGTGCTAGGTGCTTACCTCAAGATGCATCTGCGCAATTTGCGCCGGGCAACCTGCACAGTTTCCGCAAGGCGAGTGCAGCGGGCGCGAACAAAAGTTGTAAGGCTGCACTATTGGGCTGTTGCTAAGAAAGAATATCTCTAAAGGTGCTTACTTCAAGATGCGTTTGCGCAATTTGTACGATATCCGAGGCCACAGCGGTCGCAGGCGCGGTACAATCAGAGCAGAGCTTTCGTAACGCGAGCGCTGCAGGCGCAGGGCAACGCTACACTGTACAGGAGGTTACCTCTAGAGTAGATTAAGTGCTTACTTCAAGATGCGTCTGCGCAATTTGTACGATATCCGAGGCCACAGCGGTCGCAGGTGCTGTACAATCAGAGCAGAACTTTCGTAACGCGAGCGCTGCAGGCGCAGGGCAACGCTACACTGTACAGGAGGTTACCTCTAGAGTAGATTAAGTGCTTACTTCAAGATGCGTCTGCGCAATTTGTACAATATCCGAGGCCACAGCGGTCGCAGGCGCGGTACAATCAGAGCAGAACTTTCGTAACGCGAGCGCTGCAGGCGCAGGGCAACGCTACACTGTACAGGAGGTTACCTCTAGAGTAGATTAAGTGCTTACTTCAAGATGCGTCTGCGCAATTTGTACGATATCCGAAGCCACAGCGGTCGCAGGTGCTGTACAATCTGAGCAGAGCTTTCGTAATGCGAGCGCTGCAGGCGCAGGACAGCGCTGTAAAGCGGCGCCCGCGGCTTGTACGCATTCTCCACCGAGTTCGGCGCCGCGTGCGCCCGGTATTGAGCTCAGCCACGACGCGTAACTGCCTGGAAATGACACGTTGTTGTATTACAACAGTTGTTATAGTTTTTATTATTTTTTTCCTTATATTGGGGTATTATTCGTTTTTTTTAAATTGTAATCGAGTGAGGCATTGTCCTACGTTATGGGCACGTGTGAAGCGGCCTGTATTTGTTGATGACGTCACCGCAGTCACTTACCGAGGCAGTCGAGCGCAGTATGAAGCGTCTGCGTCGATCTTGCGGTGTGCGCCGCTTGCACTGCTTGCTGTAGTAACGCTAGCAGCCCTTGTGGCGCGCGTTGATGTGGTGCGGCGTCAGCCAATGACACGAATACGTGTAAAGCTGCTTCTCGCCGCGCCTCCGTCTAGGATGACGTCACCGCAGTCACTTACCGAGGCAGTCGAGCGCAGTATGCAGCGTCTGCGTCGATCTTGCGGTGTGCGCCGCTTGCACCGCTTGCTGTAGTAGCGCTAACAGCCCCGCCGGCGCGCGTTGACGCGGTGCGGCGTCAGCTAATGACACGAATACGTGTAAAGCGGCTTCTCGCCGCGCCTCCGTCTCTGATGACGTCACCGCAATCACTTACCGAGGCAGTCGAGCGCAGTGTGCAACGTCTGCGTCGATCTTGCGGTGTGCGCCGCTTGCACTGCTTGCTGTAGTAACGCTAGCAGCCCTTGTGGCGCGCGTTGATGTGGTGCGGCGTCAGCCAATGACACGAATACGTGTAAAGCGGCTTCTCGCCGCGCCTCCGTCTAGGATGACGTCACCGAAATCACTTACCGAGGCAGTCGAGCGCAGTATGCAGCGTCTGCGTCGATCTTGCGGTATGCGCCGCTTGCACCGCTTGCTGCAGTAACGCTAACAGCCCTTGTGGCGCGCGTTGATGCGGCGCGGCGTCCGCTAACGACACGAATACGTGTAAAGCGGCTTCTCGCCGCGCCTCCGTCTCTGATGACGTCACCGCAATCACTTACCGAGGCAGTCGAGCGCAGTATGCAGCGTCTGCGTCGATCTTGCGGTGTGCGCCGCTTGCACTGCTTGCTGTAGTAGCGCTAACAGCCCCGCCGGCGTGCGTTGATGCGGCGCGGCGTCAGTCAATGACACGAACACGTGTGAAGCGGCTTCTCGCCTCCGTCTCTGATGACGTCACCGCAGTCACTTACCGAGGCAGTCGAGCGCAGTGTGCAACGTCTGCGTCGATCTTGCGGTATGCGCCGCTTGCACTGCTTGCTGTAGTAACGCTAGCAGCCCTTGTGGCGCGCGTTGATGTGGTGCGGCGTCAGCTAACGACACGAATACGTGTAAAGCGGCTTCTCGCCGCGCCTCCGTTTCGGATGACGTCAGAGCCGCCTCCACGCGCGACCAGCACCAGTCGCCTAGGATGCCGAAGCAGTACATCTGGGGAGAGAAGCAACTGACTTATTCCAATGCTATTAGCGCATATAGCATCCTAAGCTAAGCCTGCAGTATGAGGGCAAACCCAAAGAATAGGAGACACTAGCAAGACGAATCAGCAGAATATCTTTGATTATAAAATATGTCGGCGTAAAGTCACAAGAAATCAGAAATCGTCGTATCATTGACGCTCTCAACCATTATTTGGTGGAAATTTACGTCCATTATTAGACTACTAGGTTGAAATTAAGAATTTTGCGTGTACAATTGGCGCTAGAAAAGGTACACCTTGAAAGTAGAGGTAACGGTTAAATTCCACTTACGACTGTGTCAGCGATGTCTTGTCTATAGCAACGCAGCAGTTCGACGTCATCACGTGACATAGCAGCGTCGTCGGGCGCCTCGGACTTGCATACGAGCGCGTCGAGCAGTCGCGAGAACACCTCGCGCCAGAAGAAGCTCACTTTCTTGGTGTCCTCCATCACGAATAGGACGTCATCCTGGGAAAAAACAAATAAAATAAATAAAATAAAAAAATAAATCAATAATCCGAATTTGAATTTGTGACTTCTAGTTACCTGTAGCTAGTACCACAAGCCAACCAAGAAGACCAAGTTGGATGGTGATGGTTAGATGGCGCCGTTTGCGCAGCTAGCCTATCATCTGTCGCGTGCCTGCCGGCGCCTAGCCTCTAGAAACTACCCTAATTGTGATGGCCTTCTAGGTACATACCTGTAGCGAGTACCAGAATCCAAACACGAGATTAGACCTAGTCTCGTACAGCAGGTAGTGCCCGGGTGCTTGCGCAGCTAGCAACAGCTCTATCATCTGCCTGGCGCACACTGTGCCCAAGCCCAGCCCGCCGGAGCTTCTAGAAACTACCCTAATTGTGACGGTCTTCTAGGTACATACCTGTAGCAAGTACCAGAAGCCGAACACCAGGTTGGACCTGTTCTCATGCAGCGGGCAGTGTCCGAGCGCCGCTTGCGCAGCTAGCAACAGCTTTATAATCTGACGAGCGCCCGCGACCTCACACGCCTTTACTATGGGAGAATCCTAAGAAACTACCATGAGCGTGACGTCTTCTTACCTGTAGCGAGTACCAGAAGCCGAACACCAGGTTGGACCTGTTCTCGTGCAGCGAGTAGTGGCCGGGCGCTCCTTGGGCGGCTAACAGCAGTTCTATCATCTGTCTTACGCCCGCGCCCAGCCTGCCCACGCCTTCACCAGGGGCCTTTAGACACTTATCTTAAATGTGACGGCCTTCTAGATACATACCTGTAGCGAGTACCAGAAGCCGAACCACAGGTTGAATCTGGGCTCGTGCTGGCGCAGCTATCAACTGTTCTATCATAGTTCTCTTTAGAAACCACTGTAAGCGTGACCTGTAGCGAGTAACAGAAGCCGAACACGAGATTAGACCTGGTCTCGTGCAGCAGGTAGTGCCCGGGCTCTTGCGCATCTATAGTCTGGTCTGTGAGCACGTAGAATTTTATCCAATGACCCCAAGCTACCCATCCTTATCGCTCGCGCGTAATTATATTGCTGTCGCGACTGTGCGACGCGCGCCTGCAGTGAGTGTGCGAGCGAGACAGCAACATAATTACGCGCGAGCGATAAGGATGGGTAGCTTGGGGTCATTGGACAAAATTCTACGTGCTCACAGACCAGGCTTTAGCAACAGTTCTGTCATCTGTCTTGCGCCCGCGCCCAACCCGCCCGCGCCTTCACTATGGGAGGAGTCTTTACACACTATCTCAAGTATGACGGCCTTCTAGATACATACCTGTAGTGAGTACCAGAAGCCGAACACCAGGTTAGACCTGTTCTCATGCAGCGGGTAGTGTCCGGGCGCTCCTTGGGCAGCTAGCAACAGCTCTATTATCTGTCTTGCGCCCGCGCCTTCACTATGGGAGGAGCTTTTAGATACTATCTAAAGTGACGGCCTTCTAGGTACATACTTGTAAAGAGTACTAGAAGCCGAACACAAGATTGGATCCTTTTCTCATGGTAGTGCCCTGGCGCCGCTTGCGCAGCTAGGAACAGTTCTAGTATCATCTGTCGCGCGCTCGCCGGCGCCCTCGCACGGTTTCAGCATGCGAGGAGCTTCTAGAAACTATCTTAATTGCCTTCTAGGTACATACCTGTAGCGAGTACCAGAAGCCGAACACGAGATTAGATCTAGTCTCGTGCAGCAGGTAGTGCCCGGGCGCTTGCGCAGCTAGCAACAGTTCTATCATCTGTCTTACGCCCGCGCCCAGCCTGCCCGCGCCTTCACCATGGGAGGAGCCTTTAGACACTTATCTTAAATGTGACGGCCTTTTAGGTACATACCTTAGCGAGTACCAGAAGCCGAACCACAGGTTGAATCTGGGCTCGTGCTGGCGCAGCTATCAACTGTTCTGTCACAGTTCTCTTCAGAAACCACTGTAAGCGTGACCTGTAGCGAGTACCAGAAGCCGAACACCAGGTTGGACCTGTTCTCATGCAGCGGGTAGTGCCCGAGCGCTTGCGCAGCTAGCAACAGTTCTATCATCTGTAGCGCGCCCGCGCCTTCACAATGGGAGGAGCTTCTAGAAACTAGCATAAGCGTGACGTCATCATACCTGTAGCGAGTACCAGAAGCCGAACACCAGGTTGGACCTGTTCTTCGGTACTAGCAACTGTTATATCACAGTTGTTTATTGTTTATTCACACGCGCCCAGCCCGCCCGCGCCTTCACTATGGGAGGAGTCTTTAGACACTATCTCAAATGTAACGGCCTTCTAGATGCATACCTGTAGCGAGTACCAGAAGCCGAACACCAGATTGGACCTGTTCTCATGCAGCGGGTAGTGCCCGAGCCCTTGCGCAGCTAGCAACAGTTCTATCATCTGTAGTCCGCCCGCGCCTTCACTATGGGAGGAGTCTTTAGACACTATGTCAAGTATGACGGCCTTCTAGATACATACCTGTAGCGAGTACCAGAAGCCGAACACCAGATTGGACCTGTTCTCATGCAGCGGGTAGTGGCCGGGCGCTCCCTGGGCGGCCAGTAACAGTTCTATCATCTGTCTTGCGCCCGCGCCTTCACTATGGGAGGAGTCTTTAGACACTATCTCAAGTATGACGGCCTTCTAGATGCATACCTGTAGCGAGTACCAGAAGCCGAACACCAGGTTGGACCTGTTCTCGTGCAGCGGGTAGTGGCCGGGCGCTCCCTGGGCGGCCAGTAACAGTTCTATCATCTGTCTTGCGCCCGCGCCTTCACTATGGGAGGAGTCTTTAGACACTATCTCAAGTATGACGGCCTTCTAGATGCATACCTGTAGCGAGTACCAGAAGCCGAACACCAGGTTGGACCTGTTCTCGTGCAGCGGGTAGTGGCCGGGCGCTCCCTGGGCGGCCAGTAACAGTTCTATCATCTGTCTTGCGCCCGCGCCTTCACTATGGGAGGAGTCTTTAGACACTATCTCAAGTATGACGGCCTTCTAGATGCATACCTGTAGCGAGTACCAGAAGCCGAACACCAGGTTGGACCTGTTCTCGTGCAGCGGGTAGTGGCCGGGCGCTCCCTGGGCGGCCAGTAACAGTTCTATCATCTGTCTTGCGCCCGCGCCTTCACTATGGGAGGAGTCTTTAGACACTATCTCAAGTATGACGGCCTTCTAGATGCATACCTGTAGCGAGTACCAGAAGCCGAACACCAGGTTGGACCTGTTCTCGTGCAGCGGGTAGTGGCCGGGCGCTCCCTGGGCAGCCAGCAGCAGTTCTATCATCAGCCGCGCGCCCGCCGCCCTCGCACGCCTTCACCATGGGAGGAGCCTTTAGACACTATCTAAAGTGATGGCCTTCTAGGTACATACCTGTAGAGAGTACCAGAAGCCGAATCACAGGTTGAATCTGGGCTCCTGCTGGCGCAGCTATCAACTGTTCTATTACAGTTCTCTTTAGAAACCACTGTAAGCGTGACCTGTAGCGAGTACCAGAAGCCGAGCACGAGATTAGACCTAGTCTCGTGCAACAGGTAGTGCCCGGGCTCTTGCGCAGCTATAGTCTGGTCCGTGAGCACGTAGAATTTTGTCCAATGGCCCCAAGCTACCCATCCCTATCGCTCGCGCGTAATTATGTTGCTGTCGCGACTGTGCGACGGGCGCCTGCAGTGAGTGTGCGAGCGAGACAGCAACATAATTACGCGCAAGGGATAGGGATGGGTAGCTTGGGGCCATTGGACAGGATTCTACGTGCACACGGACCAGGCTTTATCATCTGTCGCGCCATCCGCGCCTGCGCTCAGCCCGCCGGCGCCCTCACACGCCTTTAGAAAACACTGTAAGCGTGACGTCATCTTACCTTTAGCGAGTACCAGAATCCAAACACGAGATTAGACCTGTTCTCATGTAGCGGGTAGTGTCCGGGCGCTTACGCAGCTAGCAACAGTTCTATCATCTGTAGCGCGCCCATGCCTTCACAATGGGAGGAGCCTTTAGAAACCACTGTAAGCGTGACGTCATCTTACCTGTAGCGAGTACCAGAAGCCGAACACCAGGTTGGACCTGTTCTCGTGCAGCGGGTAGTGTCCGGGCGCTCCCTGGGCAGCCAGCAACAGCTCTATCATCTGCCGCGCACCAGCCGCGCCTGCGCCCAGGCCGCCGGCGCCCTCGCACGCCTTGACCATGGCCTGCGAGTGGCACTCGCTCAGCGCCACGCAGCACGTGATCAGCGCTGACAGCAGCTCCTGTTTGTAAATAGTGTAGATTTTGAATAGAAGGCACACCGGACGATCTATGGTTAAAGACACTTTATTTCTCATAAGAATACAAATTTGATTCACTTACTGAGAAACTAACATTTTAATACATTTTTATACGACACGAGCTTCGCTAAAAACAAAGAAATAATAAAATATCTAAACTATTATTTCATAAAAGTCGGTAGGTAGTCTTAAAAAAACAAACCAAACAGTCTCAGCGCGGACCATTCTACCGAGCTCTACTATCACGGCGCCTATGGTTCGCTAGGAATGTAAAGGATTGCAAGTTATAACAAATTGGAAATCAGTGGAGTCTAAAAGACTGATGGCCATGATGATGTGCTTGATAAGACGCACGCTGATCGTAGGCATTGACAGCTGAAATCTAACAGGACCGACGTCTTACGATTTGACGTTGAACGATCAGCATCACTCAGGAACGCATCCTTTAATTACATACATATTTATTTGATCTGTCAGCGCCGACGATCAGCGTGCTTTCAGCGCGATTCTAAAACCAGCTGCCCACAAAAATGAATGATTGTTTCGGGCGTACATAGCCCGACGGATTAGCAAGCTGAAGTGGCAATGGGCAGGGCAAATAGTACGCAGAACGCTGATGGGGCAGCAAGATTCTGTGTGGAGACCGCGTATCGGAAAACGCAGCGTGGGAAATCTACCCACAAGGTAGACCGATGACATCATAAAGGTAGCAGGAAGGTGCTGAACGCAGGCTACCAATCGATTAACATAGGAATCATTGGGGGAGGCTTATGTTCAGCAGTAGACGTCCTATGGCTGAAATGATGATGATGAGGTTTCGGAGGTCGATTCACTTCGTTGATGGAGTTGGGCACGTTATCCCGCTGTATCACGGGCGCGGCGAGGCTTGCCGGCTCAGCAATAAGCTCTAGCGCCGTANCCGACGATCTAGTAAAGGTCGCGGGAAGAGCCTGGATGCGGGCAGCGCAGGACCGTTCCTTGTGGAAAACCTTGGGGGAGGCCTTTGTCCAGCAGTGGACGTCATTTGGCTAAAACGAGCGAACGAACGAACGCTAACACTTGCCTCGTTAATAGAGTTGGGCACGTTATCCCGCTGTATCACGGGCGCGGCGAGGCTTGCCAGCTCAGCGATAAGTTCTAACGCCGTGTGCGGGAAGCGCGCCGCGTCGTGCGAGCCTCCCGCCGCGCGGACCGCCGCTAGGCACGCTTCGCACGCGTCAAGCGCCACGTCACTCACGCACTCGTTGATGCTGCAAGGTAAATACACATAGGATTAAATACATAGTCAAACATTTCCGCACTATCCAGTCACGCATCTAGCGCTATGTCGCTCACACATTCGTTGATGCTGCAAGGTATAGTAGATAAACTTTAGGGTTCAAGTCAAAGTCAAACTATTCTGTACCGCCGCTAAAGCCTGGTCCGTGAGCACGTAGAATTTTGTCCAATGACCCCAAGCTACCCATCCTTATCGCTCGCGCGTAATTATATTGCTGTGTCCGTGCTCACGGACCAGGCTTTAGACACGCTTCGCAAGCGTCAAGCGCCACGTCGCTCACGCACTCGTTGATGCTGCAAGGTATGGAGAGAAAGTATAGACACGTTAGGGTCAAAGTTAAAAATGTTCGCACTCTCGCCAGTCACGCATCTAGCTCTACGTCGCTCACGCGCTCGTTGATGCTGCGAGGTATAGATAAACATTAGGGTCAAAGTCAAACTATTCTGTATCGCCGCCAGTCAATAATCTAGCTAGCACTATGTCGCTCATGAACTAAGAGCCAGTGAACACCAGACCTATGTTATTTTATAAAAGCTGAACTATCTGGCTGATGAGGAAACAACATCTAATGATCGCCTCAATAAACTGTGGTACAGTCGACCGACAGTACATCAGACTATACATTTTCGTTGGAAAGTCGCCCCTATCGCAACTACGTAAGATACCGCAGTGTTTACGTTGACGTGCTGTCGACTGTACAAACTGTACAAGTACATGTTACAAAGAAGATAATCCTGTTGCACTATTTACTCACGAATATAACAGATGAACAACAGTCAACAGCGCGCGGCACAAGGGCATGCGATCGGCTAGGGACCCCGGGCCTCTCTCGAGCGAGTCCTCGCCGCCGAGCGTCAACCAACTACAAGCGCACGTCGCTGCGTTCTGCCAGGACTGGATAATCTCGTCTGACGGTGGTTCCTTGCTGTAGTCACTGTAACAGATAAGAAATATCCTTTACAATTTTTTTTTAATATTTATAAAAGAGATGTTCCATTGCATGTTTTCATTATGGATTTCTCTGTCATTGTAGACTCAATGTTTTTTATTCAATGGGGTATTTTGAAGTTTATTGCTTGAACCAGAGGGCTTTGCTTGATTCAGCTTATCAGAAGATCATCAAAAGCTTAGTCATGATTAGCAAACTTAAATACTTTATTGATCAGAAGCTTAACTATAGGGTGGCAAAATGCCATAGGCTCCCAACCTGAGGGGGCCCATGCACAGAATTTGCCATGGACCTCGGATGGTATAGTTACGCCACTGTTATTGATAAGACTGACAGAGCAGAAATATGTTTCACTTACTTGTAAACAGTTTGCAAGTATCTTAGCATGTCATCTAAAACAGCAGGACAGGCTTGCTGCAGCGCTGCACGATTTTTAGCTCTCAGGGCTGATCCCATTGTCATACTATTATACTGAAAGAAAAAAAAAACTATATTATTAAAAATTTACTTTTAAAGCTTGTTTTTATAATAATACTATATTTTCATAGTCTTATCAAATAAATTTATGTTTTTGATGTGTCCAAATATTGATTAACCCACTTGTTACGGAATTCACTTTTTCTATCACATACCTAAATCAGTCATGATAAATTTATCTCAAAACAATCGCTCCAAAACTTAATAGTTATTTACGTCTGTGTACTTATAAGACTTGGACAGTACTGCGACACACCTCATCTTTTGTTTACACTACCCACATTAGTAAAAATACTTATGTAAAAACTAGCGTTCTTTTAAAAGAACGCTAACGTAACAAGTGGGTTAAGATATTGTATTATGCAATTCTTACTTCTTCTGGTATCACAGTAAGTACTTCTAGAAGCAAAGATGTGCTCTCTGCACTTGCCAAGGGCCTTAATATCGTGGCCAAGTCTGTTGTGCCTTGCTGCAGAATGAATGCTGCCAACTGAAAAAAATATTAATCATAATAATTGAAAATTACTATAAAAAATAGACTCTGTAGGTGTAGGGTATTTTTAAAATATTAAAAGTATTTCTGCATAAAATAAAACCTTTTACAATACTTATAGCATAACAAAACAAATGTATTTTATCATCAAATAATATTGTACTTACACTGATACATAGTCGATTTGTAACAATTTTAGGGCCTTTTGAATAAGCAAAGACCGCTTGCAATATCTTTTCTTTTAGTTCGTCGTGGCTCTCTGGTGGCACTTCACTCCAGCATCGAAGGATCTTAGTATGAAGAGTTGTGGCACCATAAAATTGAACTTCGGTTCCCTGTGCACATAATGAAGTTATAGTTAAGGTTAATCATACTATTGATTATGGATTCAGGATAAATAGCACATACTGGTCATCACCAGTTCACATAGGCCTTCGTCTATGTCCAGCAGTGGACTGCTATAAGATGTTGATCACAGTATATTCCATGCAAATTCAGAAAAACGATGTAATGATTTGACCATTTAGGAAGCATGGTATGTTCAGTACCTTAGTGGGTTGAAGTAATTCCCACACGAAGTTCCATGCTTCAGGAACCCTCTGGGCAGCTGTGAGCCACGCGTGAGCTTTAGCTCGGTCTGCTTGCTCTCCATTATAGAATACTGAGACAGCATATTCCAAATGCTGTGCTGTATACTCCATCGTTGTCTTGAGTCTTAAGAACAGCAATGAAGCAGTCGCTTTTCAAAACATAATCACCGTATTTTTCGCAACAGCTGCGAAATCTCAATAACCTTTATAAATACAAAATAATTCCTACTTTTTGAAAATGAAATCAAGGGGAAAATATTTTCTACTGCAGGTATTCGTTGATTAAAATCAAGAGTACGTTAAAATACTGTCACTTTTAGTAAAAATAGATTAGTCATATATCAGGAGAAACGAGAGTGAAAGAGATAGCATAATAATCGGGATTCGATTTAATTCGGTAGGGTTATCACAGCTGCCTTTGACATATTTATTAGTGCGTTCAGTGTACTGCATTTACTGTGAATGTAATCATGTTCAAAGAAATTAATTCGAAGTAATTTTCCCATTCATGCTTTTCAAGAGATTCAAGCATTAATGCATTCCATGAAAATTTTAATTATTTTCTATGACATTCATTATAAAATTATATTATAATTAAAATATTTAATCTTATTTCTCAAAATGATACTGAGCATGCTGATGCTGCATTTTTAAATAGTATTTGTAAACCGACCATATTCCCTTTCCTTAAAGTTTATTTTGCTATACATATATTACTCAATCGTTCACTCCTCGTTCATTTGTTTTTAATTGTCCGAATCCATATCTGTGCACGGTGGATCGAAATGGCATTAAAGTGGACATAGGGATTTTTTTCGGAAAATCGAATTTTAAAAATTGCTAATCGATAGTCCTTTGCTCACTCATCACGACATGTCATATCACATTTTTCTCTAAACCTGATACTTTAGCTTAAAAAAAATAATTTGTGTTTTTTTTGTATGAAACGAGACATAAAGTGCTAATTTTCTCCGAAGACCTGCTAGGTCGTGACTTGAAACAACCTAGGTCGGTATAACTGCATTATTTATTAATATTCTAAGCTATTTCCAGCTGCTCCAAACCGCAACTTAGCCTGTTAAACGATTACGAAAAAAATTAAAATTGACTCTTTTTGTAATTGTATTTTAGTTCTTTTTTTTAGAAAAAGCTTCGATTACGGTACTAGAAAGTGATTTTATCGTTAGGTGACATTGTTATCTATTCTCAGAATCTGTTAAACCCTTTCTTTCCTATCAGCACATGACTTTAAAACAACAATGAAGTTACTCATACCTCGTAAATAACGTGTTTTGCGAATAAGCAGATAATGGTCAGGGGTGGGGGTAAAAAACAGATAAGGATTGTTTGTTTGTTTTAAATTTAGTTTGGGCTGTGTAACGTCACCAATAACATTCAACTTTAAATGTGGTTTTAACATGTAATTACAATGGAAGCTATTGTGAATAATATAGATTTGTTCGTAGTCTTAAGAAATACCTTAAAACCTTTCATGGACAGTGAGGAACTTTGTAATCACCTTTAGCAGAAAATGGTACATTTGTCAGAAGAAAACAGTGTTAAGTTAAAAAAAGTTTGCCGGAATTTTTGTACTAATCTTAATGGACGATGGACAAACTGTCATCTATCTCTACCCCAATTTTTAAGAAGAAACAGTGATTGCCTTGAATCTCCAATTAACTGGGTCTGGCAACTAGTTTTTGATGAAGACAAAATTGAGGAAAATGTTGGTTCAATTACTGAACCTAGTGAAAAAACAACGTTAAAATATATAGATGCTATTACCGAAAACATGCCAACTTCTACACTACATGCTTCGACTACTTCCTTTATCCCGAGGAAACCGTTACATAAATTAACTCAGAAACAGAAAAAAAGATGAATTACACGTTACATAAATTAACTCAGAAACAGAACATTTTCCTCAATTTTGTCTTCATCAAAAACTAGTTGCCAGACCCAGTTAATTGGAGATTCAAGCCAATCACTGTTTCTTCTTAAAAATTGGGGTGTCTTATTGTTATGAGTAAGTACGGTTCCTTGGGATCGGTATGAGTGCACCACATACAGGGACCATGGTTTTAACTCTTAATAGTACATCGCAGGATATGTATTAAAAACAATGCTACTTTATACTTCTTCTACTGCTACTTTATTCTAATTAATTATTTGTTACTTGTGCTGTTAATTACAATTCTCAATCCGTAAATAATTTCTTCTTTCTACCGTGTTCGTACTACTGTCCTCGTAAAATCATCGTAACCGATTTTTGTAATCGGATTACATGAACATCACTCAACCATGTATGTCCATTTGGACATATCGGAATGGCACGCTTTGACGATCAACTTGCTGTATCTACTCTAATCCATATCTGTGGGTCCGTCCGACTGACTGCTGACTGATATTAAACCCACTCATTCATTCATTCATTCGCAGTTGCTTGGTTGCATGAAGCTAAAGATAAAAATGGAGGCCAGACTTAGAATACCTACTTGAAGCACAACCTATGTATCACTATCTCGCTCTCTGTGGGCAGGCTCTCTCTTTCTAAGTAGGGTAACCTTTTATTTATTTTTCTCAGGACGACAAAGACTGATTTACGTTTAAACAGTGTGTCTTGATAAAGTGCACTTAATATGATTATGAAAAAAGGTTTTCGATGTTTTTGTTTTAAGATGAATTACAACATTAAGAAAGTGTAAAGGCATCGAAAACTGTGGATATTTGATAGAAAACAGATTTTAATTTGGCAGTTGACAGACGGATTTGGATATGGATTGATTACAGTAAACGGCCGTAGAAAACATTATGCAAAATTAGATAAGTAAGGTCCCACAGAAAGTCCCAGATATATCCTCAATATGGTCATACTACTTCAAAATGTCTTATAGAAACAAAAATTTTAAATTTGCTCAAAGTCAATGAAACTCAATGTAAAATCTTCTTTTTCTTGACATATGTAACATTTAATAATAAGTTTAAATACTGGTAAAACGTTTTAGGAAGTAATTACTGTGAAAATACAAAGAAATATGTTAACAATGATCCACTGTCAGAAATCACGAAATAAACACTTACGCGTGGAATTTTATATCACTTCCAGGACAACACGAACTACCGCAACCACGCACTATACAATTTTGCACCATTTCTTCAGACAAAACAATGATAAGGTCCCTTGAAAAATCTCAAACGAAATCAACTGCATAGTAAACAACCGCCATGATGGGCCGGATTCGGCCGATGTTGCCACATTACCGATACCTCAGAAATTGGGATTGTAATTCCCTGATTCGCCAACACATTAAGCCTAAATGGCCGACAATTTTGTGATTTTTTATTTAACTAGGTAATCTAAGTTTCAAATATTAATTATTTATTTATTTAACTTCTTATTTGGTTAGTGAATTGGCTATTTCGAAGAATTTACAAGGAGATTTAAATAAGAAGATAGCAATACTACAGTTCACACTAAAAAGAGAGGTAGGGCCACAGAGAGCGAGATAGATATAAGTAGGTATTTGACTCAAGTTTTGTTCCCAACTTTGCCCTCCATTTTTATCTGTAGCTTCATGCTTGGTTGCTTGATCGTTGTTGTTGTGGTGGTTGGAAATTTTTGCAATAGATTTTGAAAATGAAGATAGAAGAAGTTAAGAGTACTGCGAAAACGCAAAGAATATCAGCACACACCCACATAAAAGGTTTGGGTTTAGACGAAAATGGTGTTCCTATTCAAATGGCAGCCGGTCTCGTGGGCCAAGAGTCCGCCCGAGAAGTAAGTTTTATCCTATCTTTAGCTTAAAACAGCGTTTATGTAGATGCTTAGCATAATATTCTTTATTTTTTTGATTAAGATAGCAGTGTAAAATCCAAAAATTTTAATAAATGTAACTGCATATTGATCAAACAATGAGGTTATGTTTTTGGTTACCATGGTGCTCACATTAGGGGAATTTTTCACTTTAATAGATAATATGTGCTGATACTTGTACCGTGCATTATTAGTAGAATATAATCGACAGGCGATTAAAATTTTATTTCAGCAATGTTCTTTGATAGTCAAATTTTTTTATCAATGATTAATGTTTTTCAGGCTGCTGGTATAGTAGTAGATATGATTAGAAGCAAAAAAATGGCAGGGCGTGCCTTGTTGCTGGCTGGGCCACCTGGAACTGGCAAGACTGCCATTGCTCTAGCCATAGCGCAGGAACTTGGCAACAAAGTAAGTTTCATTTTGATTAGGTACTTAAAATAGTGAAGTCCTGTATTTCCTTTATTTGCAAATCTTGTATCATTTATAGGTTCCATTCTGTCCAATGGTCGGCAGTGAAGTATACAGTACCGAGATAAAGAAAACAGAAGTGTTGATGGAGAATTTCCGCCGAGCCATTGGACTACGTATCCGAGAGACCAAAGAGGTTTACGAGGGTGAGGTCACTGAGCTAACACCTGTTGAAACTGAAAATCCAGCAGGAGGTATGACCAACCTTTTTTTAATTTTATTAGTTGGAAAACGATTTACAAATTTTGAGATGGGAATGTGTGACATACTGATAATAAATTTCAGGTTATGGAAAAACAGTTTCACATGTTATCATCGGGCTCAAAACAGCTAAAGGAACAAAACAATTGAAACTAGATCCAACAATATATGAATCTCTACAGAAAGAGAAGGTGGAGGTTGGAGACGTAATCTACATTGAAGCCAATTCTGGTGCAGTGAAACGCCAAGGCAGAAGTGACACATTTGCCACCGAGTTTGATTTAGAGGTAAACAAGTTAAAATAATCTGCTTAAAATGAAAGTTAACATCTGAAGGGATGCATTTATCTGGTTTTTCTGTCAGCCCATAGCCTTTTTCTTGAGAAAAGTTGGTAATATTGAATGAGTTTCTTCCACAACTTCTCAGCAACAGCTGGTTGTCCCAAAGTGGTGGTGGAAGGGCTGGCTATATTGGAACATGAGTATAAGTGTCCTAAAAAGGGCCTACACAGTAATAAATAATTTGAATTTCTTAATATCTTAGGCGGAGGAATATGTGCCACTGCCAAAAGGAGATGTTCACAAAAAGAAGGAGGTAGTGCAAGACGTAACGTTGCACGACTTGGACTGCGCAAACGCAAGACCGCAGGGTGGCCATGACATCATGTCCATGATGGGGCAGCTGATGAAGCCCAAGAAGACTGAAATTACAGGTGATTACTACCTTATTACCTTATTGAATTTGTATGTCCTTTGGGTAGGAAGATACAAACTTTGCTACATATAGATGAATGTTCTATTCTCAATTCTTATTCTGTGGTCATTCCCCATCACTAGTTGAATATCTTTAATAATTGTTTCTTTGTTTATTTTTGATGAAATTACAATTTTATAGAAAAAAAATACTTATGCCATTTAAAAAAGACTAACGTCTTTTTGATTTGATTTAATATGATAGAATTATTTTTATGTTTTTTACAGATAAACTTAGGAAAGAAATAAACAAAGTGGTCAACAAATACATTGATCAAGGCATTGCTGAATTAGTTCCTGGAGTATTATTCATTGATGAGGTCAGTAAATAGTCTCTTTCTATGTTTTAAATAAGGACTGATATAATTTAAAAACTAAATTATATTTTTTTTCGCAGGTTCACATGTTAGACATTGAAACGTTCACATACTTACATCGCGCCCTAGAATCTGCGATTGCACCTATTGTAATATTCGCTACCAATAGAGGAAAATGCCAAATTAGGTAAGCAGTTGGTACATACATGTTATTTGTAAGGGCAGACTTTCTGTATATCTTACCTCTGGGAATCTTTTCACACTATTTTCAAAAATCACAGCTAGCTTAGATCTCGCCGCGGCATAAAAAGGCCTTAAAGGAAACAGCTATAATAAAATGTACTAGTAATTGTGTAATATTAACTATTGCCTAATATTTCAGAGGCACGGAAGACATTATATCACCGCACGGAATCCCTCTCGATCTTTTAGATAGGCTGCTAATAATTCGTACTTTGCCATACAACAAAGCCGAACTTTTGCAGGTATGTTACGCTCTATATTGTAAAGTTTTTTATTATCTAACTAGCGGCCGCCCGCGACTTCGTACGCGTGGATCCTGTTTTACCCCCTTTTCCCGAATTTTCTTTGCTATAAACCTCACGGAGCCCGAGACCTTTCCAACGAATGCAAAACCGTGGAAATCGGTTCGTGCGTTCTGGAGTTATAGCGTCAGGGAGGAAAACCCGACTTATTTTTATATAGAAGATAATATGAATGTCGTGTCATTACAGATTTTAAAACTGCGTGCAGCTACAGAAGGAATCGCCATTGACGAGGATGCCCTGGCTGCGCTCGCCGAAGTTGGTGCTAGCAGCACCCTTAGGTATGTTGTGCAACAATAGTCTTCTTCAAATGCATTTTAGTCCAGTCATTTTAGTAAGTTCACCTCGGAATTCGAGATACCCAGCTGTAAGTCTGTAAATACGTGTATATTGACACCCTAAAAGTTGTCTCAAAACCTACATATGGTAGGGTGTAAGCAACTATTAAATTTCAAGATCTACGGTCACAAAAATCGGTTTTTTGCGCTTTTTTTTAGAAATATCTCATTTCCTATGGGTTTTCTGCTATTTGTATTTATTATCAATATTGTAGAATACTAAATTCTCACGAATTTTGTTTAAAAATTTTTTTTATACTGTGAACCGTTTTCGAGATAAAGGGCGGAGAGCGCGCGGTCACTGCATCACTTCAGGTCAACTTAAGCGGTTTAGATTTTGCATACAAAAGGATTTTCCCGCTAATTCCCGTGGGAATTTCGGGAATTCCTTGTTGTTTACTTTTACTAAGGTACCTACATGCCATTTTTCAAGCGTCTAACTTCCGTTAAGCGTTTAGATTTTTCATACAAAAGGATTTTCCCGCTAATTCCTGTTTCCGTGGGAATTCCTAAGTATACTATAACCTGCCCAGGAGTATGAAAAATAATTGTACCAAGTTTCGTTAAAATCCGTCAAGTAGTTTTTGTTTCTATAAGGAACATACAGACTAGTGATGAAACGGATAGTTGTTTGGCCGGATACCGGATACCGGATATCCGGCCAGCTGCTAGGCCGGATAGCCGGATATCCGGCGGCCGGATAGTTGGCCCATTGTCTCGTTGCATGTCGTGACGAGTTTAGCGCCGCACAGGTGTTTCGAACGCGATCAGTGGGTCTATTAGTAGACTAGACTAAACTTTTCGAAAATCGAATTCATCCGAATAGAATGTCAGATTTTGCCACTTGTCTAGGGGGCAGATTAATTCGGACGATTTTGGTTGCCATCGTGAGTGTGTGATTGAATAGCGAAAAGGACATCATCCACGTTTCATATATTTTTGGTCCAAAATCAAAAGTGCCGGCCAACAAAAAAAAGTGCTGTATTCTGACAGAATACGTCTGCCTTAGCATTTGTTACTATGGCACCAAAGCTGTAACACCACTGTGCGTCGAGTATTTGAGATCTAAAAGTCATCGACTATTCATACATTTTTTGTTCAAAATCAAAAGTGTCGGCCAATAAAAAAAAGTGCTGTATTCTGACAGAATACGTCCGCCTTAGCATTTTTTACTATGGCACCAAAGCTGTAGCACCACTGTGCTTCGAGTATTTGAGATCTAAAATTCATCGACGATTCATACATTTTTTGTTCAAAATCAAGTGTCTGCCAATAAAAAAAAAGTGTTGTAGTCTGACAGAATACGTCCGCCTTAAATAAATGCTAAGGCGGACGTATTCTGTCAGAATACAGCACTTTTATTTTTTGGCCGGCACTTTTGCTTTTGGACCAAAATGGATGATGTCCTTTATTTGGCAATATTTTAACATTAACAGATATTTACCATATAATATGTATTCGTCATTAGAGAGAATAGCCCAGAAAAAGAAATTAGTTTTTTGAAAGGCCTTAATATGGCTTTTTTGTAACTTTTTGGACTTTAAATAAAAGCCGTCATTATTATAAGCCATTTTATTGATGTTTACCCCAAAGATTTAATGTATTTCATTTTATTAATAGGAAATTGTCGTAGTTTTTTAATATCCGGTATCCGGCCGGATAGTGAGTTACTATCCGGTATCCGGCCGGATAGTAAATTTAGGCCGGATATCCGGCCTACCGGATAGTTACCGAATATCCGTTTCATCTCTAATACAGACGGACAGACAGATAAAAATTTTACTGATTGCATTTTTGGCATCAGTATCGATCACTAATCACCCCCTGATAGTTATTTTGAAAATATATTTCATGTACAGAATTGACCTCTACAGATTTATTATAAGTACTAGCGGCCGCCCTCTATCTCGAAAACGGTTCACCGTATAAAAAAAATTTTTGAACAAAATTTGTAGAGAATTTTGTATTCTACAATATTAAAAATAAATAAATATAAATAGCAAAAAACCCATAGGAAATGAGATATTTCCAAAAAAAGCGATTTTTGTGAGCTGATGTGCTGTTGATAGTACAGTTAACAGCATAAAATATTCCTAAAAAATTCTTAATAAGTTTGGCCAAACTATGCCCCATCATACTTAAAATTTCAAGCAATAGAGAGTACCTGCAGCCTTTTATTTATGTTAAGGGCTAACCCCTATCTGGTATTTGCACTAACCACTTTACTGCTTTGTTTTAATGACATCTCCTATTTTGCATCCAGTTTAAAGAACACTTGTTGATCAATTATTTGAAAAAGTAGCCGAGTCCTAAGTTTCAGCCAAACCAATGCGATCACACGCAATCAGCCGGCGTGCAGCGATGGCGATCAGACTTAAATGCATTGATCGCCATCGCTTGCACGCCGGCTGATCGCGTTGGTTTGGCTGAACCTTAAGGCCCTTTTCACACGTCCCGGTTGCCGGCTAACCGGCGCCGGGTATCCGGTGGTGAAGTGTATGGGCATGGTACGTAGCTTTCACATGTTCCGGCGTAATGAGGGCTATCGTTTTTATACTTAACAGTTGGCACCCCTGGCGATTGACAGGACCTTACTCTACAGTGGCGCCATCTTGATGAGTGCAAATGCGATAGTCCTACCACTTTAGCGCTCACAAGCTGGCGCCACTGTCTTCGCGACTAGCAAGTGACAGGACCTTACTCTACAGTGGCGCCAACTGGTGAGCGCTAAAACGGTAGCCCTCATTAATCCGGCATGCCCATACACTTCACCACCGGGTACCGGATAACCGGAACATGTGAAAAGGGCCTAAGGAGTTGAACCTTTGTGTCCAGGTATGCGGCCCAGCTGCTGACACCGGCAGCGCTGACGGCGCGCGCGGACGGCGCGTCACGCATCGCGCCGGGACACATATCCGCGGTACACACGCTCTTCCTCGACGCCAAGTCTTCGGCGCGCATCCTCACGCAGCAATCCGACAAGTTCATGAAGTAATCCCATTCGTTCATTCGTTCGTTCGTTCATTTTAAGCGGAGAGCTTATTCTAAAAGAATTCTCTTTATCGATGTGTAAAGCCTGGTCCGTGAGCACGTAGAATTTTGTCCAATGACCCCAAGCTACCCATCCTTATCGATCGCGCGTAATTATATTGCTATCGAGACTGTGCGACGGGCGCCCGCAGTGAGTGTGCGAGCGCGATAGCAACATAATTACGCGCGAGCGATAAGGATGGGTAGCTTGGGGTCATTGGACAAAATTCTACAGGCTCACGGACCAGGCTTTAGTCAGAATTTTCTCAGAATGAGGGTTTTCGCGAATGAAAAATCCGCCAGATGGCAATACGTAGACGCGAAGTCCAAATGCTGCATGATTGGTTATTTTTGACATGACATTGACAGATTTATGTCAAAATCCACCAATCACGCAGCAGTCAGACCCCACATCCACGTCCCGCCATATAGAGGATCTTTCATTCGCGAAAACCCTCATTGTTTTTCGCAGTCAAACTCATTCTTACGTCTGTGTCATCTCTCAATCATCTCAAGATGTGTGTAAACATTTACGGCTTGCATGTTTCTGGTAGGCATGTTACGATATTTGTGATGCTCTTCAATATAATGTTCGCAACCGGGCCACAATGTTGTCGGAAAGTATAGGCGTTTTGACAGATTTTGGTTGCTGAAATGTACACGAGGTGTTGTGCACGCATTGCTTTGTATTTCTTTATTTTAAATACCTTAATATACCTTGATACAAGTCATAGCACTTGTTATCCTATAAAATGTAATTAATGAAAACAAGCCCAACTAAACACTATACTCGATGTGTTGTTGTAAAATTATAAATGTCTTCTTGAAATAATCTCTAAGTCAATTTATGATAATGGCATAGCATTCCGAACAGTCGTCGTACCTACATTGTGCTAATATTTAGCTACAAACTTCATTAGGATAAAATATGTAATTAAGTTTTTGATGAGAATTAAGATGTTTGTCGTATAGTCGACATATTCAATCATTTATTTTGTTTCAAATTCGTCTTTTTGTTTTAAGTTTCCTGTTTTACCAAAAATAATGTTTATGTTCAAAAGCGAAAGCACCGACGGTAATAAATAAGATTTTTATTTTATAAAATAGTCTTTTCTTAACTCTACATAACATCTAAGTTTATTTACAACCTTTTTCTTAACCGATAATATCAAAGGCAACATTTATAATTCAACAATTTCACCATTATTTTACACTGGGATTTTAAATATCACTTCAGGAAACAATAATAATTTCTAACATCAGTGCGGCAGTCTAAAAAAAGTTAACAAATTTTCACGTCAACCATCCAAAACGTAGCCTCCAACCGGCATAATTTAATCGTACCCGGACAGGTAACAGAACGAAGATCATGGAACCTTAAAATTACTGATATCGAATTCACGTGGGTTTCGTTTTCGAGTCCAATTTGTTGTCCGAATTCGAGAAGAGCATCGGGACGAAACCCGAATCGGAGTCAGGGGCACTGGGACTGGGCGCGGGCGGCGCAAATGTGGGCAGGTCCACGCGCAGCGCGGGCGCGGCCGTGCGCCGGTACAGCGCCTCGAACTGCAGCTCCTCGGGGTACGAGTGCGAGCGGATCTTGCGCTCGTCGCGCGCGTTGCTCGGGTACACGATGACGATCTTCTCGCTGTCGCTGCGCAGCGCCACCGGCGGCAGCGCGGTCGTGGTGGACGCGGCCGGCGCCGACACCACCTGCAGCGTCTCGCTCGGCGCCGCGCGCAGCCGCTCCGTCGTCGTCGTCGTCGTCGTCGTCGTGGATATCACCACCGGGATGTCGGGCTCCTCCGGCGTCTCGACCTCGCGGCGCTCGCCGGGCGGCCCGACCGACCTCAGCGTCTCGATCTTCATCTCCAGTGTCGGCGTCGGCACGGGCACCGAGCTCGTCGCGTTGAAGTCCTCGGTGGGGATGTACCTCGCGGTCGGTTTGGCGACCTCCCGGGAGCCGAATATCGGCAGACGAGGCGCGTACGCGGAGACGAGCGGCAGCAGGGTGTCTCGGGCGTATCTCTCGGCCCTCGAGATGAAGGACGCGAGGCGCGACGGGAGGAACTGGACCGCGAAGCTGGGCTCGTCCTTCTCGGCGCGGTCGCCCCACGACATCGCCTCGTAGCTGGGCGTGGTGGAGCCGTCGTAGTTCTTGGCCCGGCGGGAGGGGGGCGCGGTGGGGCGCGGCGGCTGCGTGGCGCGGAGGATGGGCTCGGATATCTCGTGGGCCTCGGTCGCGTCGGCGCGGTGGCGCGGCGTCTTGCGCGGCCGCGGGCGCAGCACGGGCTCGGCGATCTCGACGATGCCGCTGGGCGCCGTCTTGATGTTGGTCATGCCGAAGGCGCGGCCGTTCTCGGCGCCGGTCCACTCGGAGTTGTCGACGAGCACGAAGGGCCGCTGCGGCGAGTCCTCGGGCAGCTCGTTGTCCAGCGGGTCGACTACGTTTTTAGTTGTATTTTCTTTAGTTACATACTCGTAGTCTCCGCTCGTAGAATTTGTTCGGTCATCCTGTAAACAGAACGGTTGATAGATTAGAATAGAAATAGAGATTTTGTGTTATTTTGATTAATTACATACTATCATATGCATACCTCTGGTATTTGGCAGTCTCCAGGATACAAAGGCAATTCAACAGCTTCTTCAGATTGTAGCTGTAGTCCTCTTTTGCAGAATGATGATCTGTAAAATTCATTAAAGAATTTGAAAAAGGCTGACTTAAAGGATTAGTCCATTACAAGTCTACATACGTAATCGACAATCACAATGACCTTTATGAACCGTGCGTCAAGCGCATTTTCATGACGTCTGGTCGAGATGTGCGTAAGATCATAAATAAGTTGTGCGTCACGTAGACGTAGCAATGCTGTCATATGAGCAGTTTAAACCGTCCGAGTTCATAGATCTTGGCGCTAGCGCAGAACTGTCGTTGAAATTGCAAATTTTAAAGCGTGTCGCTATTACGAGTTCTCATACGTGATGACCGCATCATGCGAAGGCTAGGCTCATCAGACTATACATTTTTGTTGCAAAATAGCCTGTATTACAACGAGGTAAGACACCACTGTGTTTAGCTTGGTGTACTTTAACGATCTTGGCGCATACTAGGACATCGTGACTCGCAGCAGCAGGCCCAAAGCACCCAGAGCTCTATGACCTTATTGTACTTGACTAGAACTTAGAAGTATAAATGCTTACGTCTTGGAGAAGCTATCGGCGATGAGCAGCTTGTCCACGTTGACGATTTTGGCTCCGGCGCTGAGCCAGCCGGAATACGCAGCGTATTGCAATGTGGCTCGCAGTGGAACGCCTAGAGCGGGGTGCGGGACAATCACTCGGGAGAAACGCGCGCCGCCGAACGATGTGTTTTCACGCCTGAAAGTATTGTTTATTTGTTAAGAAACTATAGGCGTTTTCAATGAAATAGAAACATTATTTGCATTTGGTAGCTGGTAACAAACGTTTATGGCTAAAAAAGAGAACACCTTTTAGAACTCCTATTCACAATGCAAAAGTTCCACGCGTCATGACACAGAATGTGCACTTCGCAAAATAATGTGCATATTTTGCCCTAATACATATTACACAAAATAACCTTTCAACCTTTACTATTCGTATAGTAAAGTGCGCATTTTTCGAAAGTACACATTCTGCGTTTTCATAATTCTATACAAAATCGTCTGCAGTTGTGCGCATATGGCGCGTGTTGTTTGTAGTCACCGCTTCAAACGCTATTCCGGAACCACATAATACTAGTCTGTAACTATTTGTACAATGCTGACATACGAGTGTTGTGTGCATGCGCTGCTAGGGCGGGCTAGTGGCATTATACACAAAACAACTTTACTAACATCCGGTTTACATGTTTGGTAATCTAACGATTGGTTATGATGTAGCACATAAACTTATGCTTAGATCTAGATCATCACTCAAATAACGTCTTATTACAGTCAAAACTCCTCACAATCGGTCTAAACTTTTGACTGCAAAAATCAGTCAAACAATTTTGACTGATAGCCTTGGTCGATATCACTTTTGACTGATTTTTCTAGGCAAAAGTGGTTTTGACCGATTATGAGATTTGACTGCAACATAATAATGTTGAAATGTTACTTGGTCATAGGGAAGGTTTCATTGAGCCCGGTGTCTCCATGCAATGTCAGAGTCATGCGGCCGAAGTTAGGTTTCTCGCCAGGTTCAATCCTTGTCCACACTGACACGTGGTACTGGTGTGCTGTAACAATAAGTTTGCTTATTACGTAAATACGTATGCACTTGCATAACGTTCGTTAAAGAAGTTTGCCAGTCAGTGTGCGCACAGCATAAAAAAAATGCAATTGGCATGCATATGCCATTAGGAATAGGAAGATCCTATTCGGATTTAAATGCTTATTGCTGTTTTGATTTTTGGTGGTCATGGTATACCTACGCTCAGCTTCAAAATTTTGTGTAACAATTCAAAACAGCAGCCGTTCAAAAAGTAATCGAAACAAAAACGCTTTCAACCGAATAACAGCATTGATATGCAGGCCAAACCGATTACTCGTAATAGCATCGGGGTTACCGTGGTTTCGTCATGGTACTGACCGCAGAACGGTTCTTCCTCCCTAGTTAGCAAGTAGAGCTGGCCGCGGCCCAGCGACCGGTCGGCGTAGTAGCCCATATTGCCGCAGCGTCGCTGACCGTCGCATGGGAAACATCGGCCCTGGAAATCAGATGGTATTGATTACTCCACGTATTTATGATTAATATGTTATACAGTTCCATCAGGTGATCCGTCTGCTCGTTTGCCTCCTATCACATAAAAAAAAAGTTAAAGATTACGGGTCATTTTTCCTGTAAAAAAAAAATAGTGCAGTCAGCGTCTAATAATTTGTGACATCCAAAAGTGACCAAAAAGTTGACAACACAACCTTATTCCACTTGAATGAATACTGCTTCCTACGGATTATTCCACTTTGTTCACCTGAGTCTAAAATTCATTTTCATTTATGCAAGACAGTCAAAAAATTAATTAGCGCCATATGCACGGGAAGCCTTACTGTTTCTTCACTAAATAATTGCAAGATATTAAAGAATACTTGTAATGAAGAAACACTTCAGTTATGATTCATGCTATACCTATG